CGTGGTGGATATGCTCACTAAATAACCCATTTTATCCTGAGTTCAGGTCTACCCATGGCTCAGTCTATGGCCCAGTTATTCATCCGCAATATGTTCTGGCTGCACGGTCTGCCAGACCAGGTCATGTCAAATTGAGGAGCACAATTCATAGCACAGTTTTGGCAGGCTCTGCTGAAAGAATTCTAGATCCAAGTGTGTCTCTCCTTCGTCCATCATCCAGAGACCTCAAGCAATATCTCTGATGTTTCACTAATCAAGAGCAGGACAACTGGGTGGATGTCCTAGTGGTGACTGAGTTTACATATAACAACTCTCAACACATCTGCATCCAAGTGATCCCATTCTTCACCAGTTACGTCTTTTGCCTGTGCCTCTTTCCCTTAGCCCCATCGGGCTATCCCATGTACACATTCCTCCAAGAGCTTCAGGCTCAATACAACTATAAGAAGTTTGCAGACTGCCATTGCAGAGACATTCCCCTGCTAGCCATGGAGGATCAAGTTTGGCTTTCCACATGGCACTTGCCTTCAAATCGATCATTCAAAAAACAGGACCACCGCTATCTGGACCTATTTCCTATCAATGCTGTAATAGAAGATAATAGAGCTGGAAGGGACCTTGAAATCTTCTATTCCAGCCCCCTGCTCAAGCAAGAGAACCTATACCATCTCAGACAGGTGACTGTCTAGTCTCTTCTTAAAAATCTCCAATGATGGAGTGCTCACGATTTCTGGAGGCAAGCTGTTCCATTGGTTAATTGTCATCATTGTCAGGAAGTTTCTCCTTAATTCCAGGTTGCTTCTCTCTTTGATCAGTTTCCAACCATTGTTTCTTGTCCTTTCCTTTGGTGCTCTGGTGAATAACGTGACCCCCTCTTCCTTGTGGCAGCCCCCCAGATACTGGAATCAACCTGATGTAATGTAATCAACACTGTCGCTTTCCGGCTAACCTTGCTGAGGAATTCTGGGAGTTGAAGTCCACAAGTCATAAAAGGGCCAAGTTTGAAGACCCCTGATTTATACAAGGGGTTTTAGTTTATCTTGATGACATCCTGATCTACACTAAAATTAGTCCGTGATGTATTAAGAAAACTGTTGAAAGCCAAACTGTATGCAAAACTGTCAAAATGTGGATTTCACCAGACACACATTGACTACCTGGGATTTTGGATTTCGAATGAGGGAGTAGAAATGGATCCTGCCAAAGTCAAAGCAATTTTGGAATGGCAACCCCCAAGCACCTGTAAGCAGCTTCTAAGCTTTCTAGGCTTTGTCAACTTTTATCATCAATTTATTCCTTCTTTTGCAATGATAGCCATGCCAATCACCAACTTACTAAAGTCAGACAAAGGGGGGAATACCCCCGAATTATCAGCCGTTACAATGATCATTTTGAATGCCAGGTGGCATTCAAAACCTAAAGAGACTCTTTGCAGCTGAACCAGTCCTTAAACACCCTGACCCCGAGCAACAATTCATCATTCAAGCTGATGCAAGCGACATGGCCATGGATGCCATTCTGTTACAAAAAAATCACAGAGGAGAATTACAACCTTGTGGTTACACTTCCCTGAAATTAACTGAGACCTAGAGGAGGTGGGTGGTTTGGGAGAAAGAGGCTTTTGTAGTTCATTGGGCATCGCTGACATGGCATCATTTCTTGGAAGGGGGGAATTACCTTTTGAGATATGGACTGATCACAAAAGCTTGGAGGCTCTCAAGACCCCTCGTAAATTATCCCCCAAGCAAGTTCGAGGGGCTCAATATTTCAACCATTTTAATTTCAGCTTAAAATATTTTCCTGGAGGCAAGAACTTTCTGGCAGATGCCTTGTCTAGAATGTCCCATTTCAACAGCAACAGAGAGGAAGTAATTAATTCCATTATTCCTGTGCCACAATCTGCTTCCCAAATAAGAACCAGATCACACACAGAGAGACCCCCTGCGGGTCCTGATGATCAATTGTTAAAGGAGCTAAAGGAGAAGTTAGATACTGATGCCTGGTTTAAAGATAACAGGTGTATATTGACTTTAAGAGGGGGATTAGTTTGGAAATGTTCTAAGTTATACCTCCCAGAAAGCCTCAGACTCCAGGTGTTGCAATGGAGTCATGACGCTAAGAAAGCAGGTCACTTTGGATTTTTAAAAATATCGCATCTATTGTGGAGGCAATTCTGGTGGCCGAAAATGAAAAAAAAGACATTGAGAGTTATATAAAAAGTTGTGCCACTTGTGCTACCATGAAGAAACATCCTGGGAAACTACCAGGTGTATTGCAGAAGGGGCCGACCCCTCTCAGCCTTGGGAGGAGATAGCCATGGATTTTATAGTAGAATTACCTGAGAGCAAGGGAAACACTGTGATATGGACTGTGATTGATCTATTTTCCAAACAGGCACATTTCATTGCTTGCTTGGGACTTCCTTCTGCCCAGAAACTAACCAAACTGTTTTTGAATCACATATCTCCATGATGCTCCAAAGCGAATTATTTCTGACAGAGGGGTACAGTTTATGCAAAATTCTGGAGGGAGTTTGTTAAACTGATTGGATCCTCCCAGGGGCTTTCATCTGCTTTTCATCCCAATACTAATGGAGCCACTGAAAAAGCTAACACAATGGTGAAACATTATCTCAAATGCTATGTAAATTACCAGCAGTCAAATTGGGCTGATCTTTTACCTTTTGCAGAGGTAACCTACAATAATAGTGTGCACAGTAGTACTGGTCTCACCCCATTCAAAATAGTGATGGATAGGGATTTTGTGTCCTGAATTCCCACAGGAGCCACCTACTTCCCAGACCTTGGACCAATGGGTGACATCTTTCCAGGGGGTTGGGTGAATGTGAAGGAAGCATTGGGAAAAGCTACAAAGGTTTACAAGGAGCAAGCAGATAAATGACATTCCCCTCAAAAACCTTTTTATGTTGGACAATTAGTTTATCTTTCAACAAAGTATTTACAGTTAAAATTGCCCAGCAAAAAATTGGGTCCGAAATTCCTTGGTCCTTTTCCCATTGTCAGGATCATAAACTCTGTGACAGTGGAGTTAAAACTTCTGCAATTGTTGGGGAAAGTTAATCCTGTGTAGAGATAGGGGCCAGGTAGAGGTCGTGAGCAGCAAACTGCCCTTCCAACACCTGCATGCCTCTTCTCTCTACATGATCTCATCCATTCACATCACCATGGCAATGTAGGGAAATACCCCAGGTTGGTACATGATATCATCTGGTTCACATGATATCAGCCTGGTTACATCAACAGGATGTGGTAGAAACTGCTCCCTGGCTGGGCCTCCTGGATGATATCTTCTTAAGGATTGCTAAGGAGTTTAACCAATGAAATGCTATTGCTACGCTATTGCCATGTTAAACTTTTGCTGCTTGGAAAACTGTATAAAAGAATAAACGCTGTGAAGGCAGTCAGCCATATTTGCACCCTGCAATGACTGAGCACTGGTTACTACAATCCTGTATTTCATTGCAGTCTTTTAAAACCTGTGTCAGAATCCACCTTAAGACCTATTCCAAAAAAAGCTGCCTGGTCCAATAGTGGTGGACGGAGAGACACATTATGAGATCAAATGTATTCTGGATTCTAGGTTGCACAAGGGAAAACTACAATACCTTGTCCAGTGGAAAGGTTACCCTCTTTCAGAGGTTACATGGGTGAAATGTACGAATGTTAAGGCGGATAGGTTGATAAAAAAAGTTTTATGATAAATACTCTCACAAGCCCCGAGGGGATGGCTAACCTGATTTCTGTTTCCCTTGCCGGAGACTCTTTCTTTCTGAGGTGGAACCGACTGTCAACTTTAGAATGAGCATGGCTGCAGCTATTTTTTCCTTCTCGTTTCTAGTTGCCAAATAGCACGGAGGGAGGGGGAATTGCCAGGTGTTGCACTACACAAAACAGACTTTCTCTCATGGGAACCAAGGTCATCGGCTGTTCCCGAGATTGTGAGCTGGGCATTTCATGAAAAGCCCACCAACAAGCTGCATGGGAAACTGTAGTTGCTTACAATCCTCCTTAGGGGTGGGATTTCTTAACTTTGTATTGGGGAATTGCTATGCATCTCTTAAGACTTGGTTTCACTTTTGAAGTGCCAATACTTTATATCAACAAACATGTTCTTTGAGGAATTTGCAAGCCTTGGAGTTCTGCTTTATTTGTCTCTGTCTATTGGAACCTTGACAGGGGGATAGTAGCATGGCCCCACTGGAGCCCAGTTCAGAGGAGGAAGAGTTGGAACCGGGACCATGCAATGGGGATGGCACGTCTATCTTGGCATGTTTGGAGAGGCCAGGGGCTGAGGACAATGCTGTCCCAGTCACTTCAGGCATTGGGGGAGGTGGTTGTCTGGATGGAGAGCTGCTTGCCCTCACAGACACAAGGGAGAATTGGCTGCTGATAGGCAGCAGATCCCTTCTGATAAGGAACAGCTGCCTCTCCCACTCAATCCAAGGGCACGGAGTGTGGAGTGTAGGCAAGCTCAAAGAAGGGCTGTGAGACTACTCAGCAGAAGGTCGCCCCACCCTTCCTCACAAGGAACACCTGGATTGGATTGACTTAAGGAAAAGCCATGGGGAGTTATTTTTGCCAGGAACAATAGTTTGTTTTGGTTTACACTTTGACTTGTGCCTTTTGCCTAGCTTTGAGGACTGCCTTTTGCTTTATATCTTGCCTTTGCCCTGAAGACTGCCTTTTGTCTTCTGCCTTGACTCTGCCTTGTGGACTTGCTTAGCCGGGTGGATTTGACTGGGCACTTGCCCTGTGAATGTGTTCCTACTCTGTGGATGTTCTTTGTTATATATGGGGTGTTGTTAGGGGGACTGAGGGTGGCTGCCTTCAGGGTAGAGTGAGGCCATTGGAGGGCCATTTGTTGGGACATTACTTAGAGCAATAAAAGACTCTCTAGAGGTGTGCCTTGCCTTGAGTAACTGGGTCATAACAGCAGCTTCCACATTAATGTGAAAATGCTTAGGTTTTCCAAACACTTACCATAGTTCCCTCTGCAATTTTCTCAGGCTCCTGCCTGCTTGTGCTGGCCTTCTCAAAACATTCAGCATCTGGTCCATGCGGTATCATGATGCTGTGCAGAGTGGCTCCTCCTGGTAGAAATCCTTGTTCCTTTGCTTCATAATTCCCTTTGATTAAGCCCATAAATTCACTCATACAGTTTCCTGTGGATTTTTTTTAAAAAAATCTTGATTTAAATTTATTAAATTTGATCAATTAAATTGTATAGCTTAAGTTGGGCATGAGCTTGAAATGAAAGAAAAGACACCGCTGCAAATTGGTATTTAGCATTTAGTGGTTTAGTCCAAAGTCCCACTGGCTGGTTTTTTTTTTTCTGGACAAGCAAACAGCAGAGTATTCCTTCCCTTCCTTCTCTTTAGTTTATACTGTATTTCCAAGAATTGCAGGAAATACTTCTCATCCACTTGACTTGCAGCCCTTTATCAAGGGTCTTTCAGACATCTGGCCTTCTTAATTTCTATTAAGTAAGTCTTCTGTATCTTGCAGGTACAGATAATCCTCAACTTATAATGATAATTGAGTCTGGAATTACAACTGCAGGTTGTTGAGTTGTAAATCAAGGCAGCACATAATTGGATTTGAAATTATAACCATTTTTACAGTTCTTAAATGAATGCCATTGTTACGCAAATCCATTTCTTCCAATAGCTCATTTTGCCAAAAAGTGGCAGAAAATGTGGTCATGTACCTGTAGGACACTGCAAACAGCTATAAAGATGAGGCAGTTGCCAAGCATCCAAAATGCAAATGTGTGTGTACGGCTGATATAACTCTGAAAACGAGTCATAAGTAGCTTTGATGTAGGAGAAGAAGAAGCAGAGCCGGGGGCAATATCAAGAGAGTGATCTGCTTGAAGCCATTATGTTCCCATAAGTGATCCAAGTGCAGCCCCTCTTGAATTCCATTAACTTTTACCTAGTGCCAATTTAGAGCTGACTGTTGACTAGATTCTTAGGTATAGGTGTGAGCAATAAAACAGCTTAACTGCAACTTAACAGACAGTCCTGATTCTTTGTGCCTGACATTTGGGGTTGGTCTGTTGTAATTTCAAGAAATTATTAAGTGAGTGTAAGTCGAGGACTATCTGTGTGTGAAATCACACAGTAAAAATGGCATACATACTGTGATAATAAGGTGGACGGAAAGTGTTGTTGGCCACTGCCCAGCGGGGTGGAAATATAACAAAATCAGCAATTGCCACTCCAGGACGGGTTGATTTTGCAGTTAAGACAGTAAAGATGGAAGGATCCTTAAAAAACAGTGGAGTGAGGGGAAATTGGCAATTATTAAAACAACTGTGCTAATCTGAAAAATCAATTACATTTAAGGCAAATTCAGAGTCATAACTGTAAATATTTCAGTTCAGTGTAAATTACAAAGCAGTAACTTGCAATTTAGTTGAGGTTTCCCGAAGTCCAAAGTCTGTTTTGTTTAATTCAAAAGAATTAACCAAAGTACTCTAAGATCAGAATTAAGACCTAACAAGAACTTACCGCATGATCAAAAGCTACAGAATTTATGACCATGAACTTGCTGAAATTATACTTGTATGGTGTGTAATTCCCATGCCAAGCCACAACATTGAAGGGAGACCAGTTCTGTAAGATTAAACAACACAGCTATCTTAAGACATGGAAAGTATCTGATATCCAAAACCACATTTAAAAAAAATCATATTTGGGGGGGAGGGAGACTTCAGTAGCTGAAAACATAAATAAAGCATAGAGTAAATATATAATGCAAATTACCATTACAATATAAGTATATGAAATACAGCAGCAACACACATATTTTCCACTTTTTTCAGGATAGTAAAGGGACTCCACCTTGGGAGTGAAACATTTCTATTTCCCTTAAAAGCATTATCTGCCAATAATGCTCCTCATCCATTGGTAATTGACCAGCAGAAGCAAACTGGAAAACCAGCAATTCATTGCGCTGACTCCATTAGTTCCACAACTTCTGCCTAAATAACCATGGATGGGATCTTAAGCAGCAGGCAGAAAACTCTCGCAAAGTAAGGCAAACTACTGTTTTGTTAGAAGATACAGGATTATCATTTAGTTCCATTTGTATTTTCTGATCTTTAAAGACACAAATTTTAATAATTTAAATACCATTTATTAAACTTTATTTATTATGTCACTTGATTATCAACAACTCAATGATTTTTCATTTTTGTCTTCTATTTCTTATGGGTGCGTATGTCAAGCACTTTTTATATTTCCACACAGCATGTATGCATCTTCGTCTAAAATAAGGTTACTAGAAACAGGAAAATTTTCACTATTTTGGTCGATTCCTGAGAATTACAGAAGTATCCAACCCCAAAGCACAAACAAATTCATAAGTCAAGACAAAGAGGCCTCCTTTGAGTAAGATGGGCTGTTTAGATATAGGAAATAGAAATAAATAGATAATTCACAGTTAGCTAAGTAATGAGTATGCTCAGCAGCCTTCAAATGTTGGGTATTTGTTGAAAAGAAAACAGAATACTGAGGGAAAGCAGAGCACCCTTCTTGATGCTAATAATCAGCATTTATGGTAAGAAATGGATAGACTTCTGTATTTTGTTGTAAATTTTATATCTGATTTCTGATTAATAAAAAGAGTAATGATTAATGCAAAAAGGCATAAATACAGGGAAGCTAATTTTTAATGAAATTCCTAATTCTCTAAATTCTAACTCCTCACCTGTTTTGCTTCAAAGAGTTTCCCTTGGTACTTGTTGATCACTGTGTAACCCTCAGCTATTTGGCCCTCTTCATACCAGGCAACCGGCACAAGGAAGTCTCGTGGATTAGCTAAGCCATTGGCTCCTAAAAAAACACACACAAAGGCTTTGTAACCAATTGTATATTTGAAATTTGAGATCAGTCCAATCATGGTCATTGGATACTTTACCATTAAACATACTAAAAATACAACTTGAACTAAAGAATAAAATTCAAAATAAAAAATCATTAAAACTAATCAACTGCAAAGTCAAAAATTCAAATAAAATTCATATAAAGCAAAATGAATTAAAATACAGTTAATAGCCAGTTAAAAACCTAGGAAAATAAGAATTTTAGTGTGAAGACCAGTTAAACCACCCAGGAGAGGGCATTCCATAAATTGGGTGCTCCTATAGAAAAAGCTCTCCCCTACTAAGAAGGCCTCATTAAATGATCTTAAAGTCCAGTTAAGGAGCCCCTTCGGGTAACCTGGTTCTAAGTCATATAGAGCTTTAAAAGTCAAAATCAGCATTTTGGCTCCAAAACAGCCAGCCAGTCTAGATAGCAAAAAATGGCATAGTACATTCACATTAGCCAATCCCATTGAGCAGCCTAGTTGCTGTATTTTGAACTAACAGAAGTTTCCAGTTTGTTTTCAAAGAAAGCCCCACATACAGCATTCTGTAGAGTAATTTTAACATTTTTAACTTGAATCAGAATCTGGCTTCGTCTAAGTTTAAATGCATTATTTCATGCCTTCCACTCTGGAACAAGAGAAAACATTCTTCTGCATAACAGAAGAATGTCTCCTATAAGACATGCATTCAAATATTTCAAGAGTACAATCATATCCACATTGTTATCTTTTTTTGAAGGCTAAACATACCTTCCATACCCTGATCATCCTTTTTGCCCTTATCTGAATTGTCCTAATTTCCTGAATTCTTAAAACATGTCACAACTGGACAGAATACTCAAAGTGAGGTCTGATCAATGCACAATACACTGGAAGTATTACCTTTCATGTATTGAAAATTACACTTGATGCACCCTAAAATTGCACTTATATTTTTGCAGCTATATCACATTGGCTTCAGTGTGCAATCAATTTTCATTCTGTTACCTTTAGCTCAATCTTTATGAACATTGTTATGAAATTTATTCCTGTTTTCAAGGATACTATACAATCCATATCTGTCATTCTCAAATTTGATATGCATTCCCTTTACTATTTAGTCAAGTAATTAATGAAAATACTGAAATAATAGACTCAAGACTCATCTTTGTGATGCCCCATTCAATTCTCCAAATTTATGACAAATATTGAGACGCTCTCTTGAATATGGTTTCAAGCCAGCTATGTATCTACTTAATTGTCACAACATCCACCTCTCACTTCAGTAGCTTACTAACCAGTATGTGCTGATGTTTTTAATCAGCTGCTTTGCTGAAATCAAGATACAAAATTCCCATAATTTACCATGGATATTAATCAATCAGAAGATAACATAAAATAAATCCAGTAAAAAAATTTCTTGACAGATCCATTCTGAATTCCATAATAGTTGCATTGTTTTTAATGTCCTTACAAATCTAATCTCCGTAGGTATTGATATCTGCTAATCTTATTTCCCCACTTTTGAAGATAGGGACATTTGCTGTCCAGTCATTTCACATTTCACTAGTATTCTTTGTTTAGGATAATATACTGTATAAGGGCTTCAGCCAAGCCATTAACTCATAGATATCAAACTCGATCAGTCAAGTGACGTATTGTAACATTTTTTGCCTTTGCGGAGCTGAGGTGGGCATGGCCTGTGCATGATGCATCCGACCTGCGGGTTGCCAGTTTTACACCTCTGCATTAACTAGTTCCTTCAGTATTCTAGAATGCAGTTTCTCTGGTCATAGGGACAGTCATACCAAGTGAACAGATATTTCCTGACTATCTGTCTCTCAAGCCTCTGATTTGATTCTCAAGGGAGAGGCTATGAGAAAAATGAAGGGTATCCTCAATAGACAAAATGTTGCCTTTTCAGTTTTTTATACTCTGATTCAGAGAGGGGTAAGTTAAAGATGCATTTTAGCTTCCCCACTTTTTCACTTGTATACTAATTCAGTCCAGGTTTCTACTCATCACCACCATATATTAACAACTGAATGCTTCCAGCAAATTTATAGGAAGACAACAATGTAATCAGGTCTATATCTCAAGTGGGAATGAGAAGAGCATTGGCATCTTTTTGTCCAGAAGATAATATACAACGAGCCATTAGAAACTCAGGTTTTACTACTTTCATGAATTGGGAAATCAATTATATTTCTATTGAGCAAGTACATGGCTATAAATGCCTTGGAGTGCTGTTCCACACCTCACTATATTGAACAGCTCTCTGCTGGTGTGTTTAGTATAGTGTTTAGTATAGTTCTTCAGTTATCCTGAGGTTTGTCATTTTTTATCACCACAGTTTGTAAGGTCTTTATAGTCAAGTTTCAGTTTCTCTATGGTGCCTAAGACTGTAATTTATGAAGCTTAACATCCTCAAAGTTATTCACTATACAATTATTCTTGCAATTCCAAGATATATTAAGAATGCTACTTTATGTTTAGAGCTAGACTTGATCTCGATGCTAGAGCTCTCTTTAGCTTCTGGATAAAGACTTTTTTTCCCAGTGGGTTTTGCCCTTTCAGAGACCACTTACTGAAGTTGGTGAAAGAAAGAGAGAGAGAGAGAAAGAGAGAGAGAGAGAGGGAGGGAGGGAGGGAGGGAGGGAGGGAGCGAGGGAGGGAGAGAGAGAGAGAGAGAGAGAGAGAAAGAAGAAAAAGGAAGGAAGGAAGGAAGGAAGGAAGGAAGGAAGGAAGGAAGGAAGGAAGGAAGGAAGGAAGGAAGGAAGGAAGGAAGGAAGGAAGCTAGCTATTGGCAAGTTCCATTCCATAGGATCTCTTTGGAGAGCCTTTGCCTACTAAGCTTTGAAAATGTCACAAGTGTTCTTAAGCAGCATCTCAACACACAGATCTTCAAATTAAATCTAATTTCCAGTCTTAAATTCATGGAATTTTCCTAAAAGTATACATGCCAGCTTTTCTACATCACAGTTTGAAAATGTTTTGGTATTTGCTCTGGCCAAGTGTTTTCTCAGTACTTTTATTAGCATTATGAAGGACAGAGATGAACTTTTTTTTTTGCTGTCATGAATAATTTGTTACCCAGTTCCACGTGCCTTATAGATAAAAACATAAATGTATGCTAGGAGTGTTAAATAAGTATTATTAAGAAAAATGACATAATTATTTTTGGAAGCAGAAATAGTATTAAATATATTTACCAATTGGTCCTAGATCAGGTAACTCAAAATGTACACCATATATTTCTAGGATGTAGCCTCGAGTTTCTCCAAATACTTCCACATTAAAACGCATTCCTTTCTAAGGAGGAGACAAAATATGAATATAAATATTAAGACTGATTATTATTGTTCTACTATCAGATAAAGAGATAAAGCTATCTCTGTTTATCAGGTGATGGCGGTATCTTTACAAAAGCATCTGAATTCTGTTGATATTACAGAAAAGTATAGCTATTTATTTATTTTGTTTCTATGTTATCGGTCAGGAGATTGTCAACATAAAATAGTAACTCCCAAACCCCAAGAACTTATATATATAAATCAAAAAAGATAAAAGCTAGATGATACAAACATCACTTATTCTGTCTTCCAGGGCAATTTTCCTAAAATCCCAGAGGAACGAAGGCGGCCATCTCTCTGCCAGGAGGGAGTTCCAAAGTGTGGTGGTATCAACTGAAAGGCTTTCCTTTCGGAAGCCTTCCAATTTCACAACTCAGATTTCTTTTATTTTTCTCCTAATAAAATCCCTTTGAGATAATTTCTGAACACTTACCCTGACAGTAGTTCTACTGTCTATACAAAAATTATTAATCTTAATTTGACAAATTGCTAATTTGTGAGCCAATTGTGGACAACAATAAGCCACCTGAAGTAAGAACAAAGACTGCATTACAAAGAGGTTCCCCTCAAAGCAGGCAGGCACGTTGCCCAGACTTGGATTCAGCTGTAGAATATAGGTGTTATGAGAAAGCAAGAAAATATTTGAGCCTATGTTATGCTTAGCATGGTTGTAAAAGAAACCAAGTCTTGACAGGTACAGGGAATTTGTTTTTCTTCCTAGCATTTTCCAGTTTTTTCAAGTCAACCAAATATTGATCCAATGGTTGCGAAAGGAATAGCCAGCTGGCTTGTCACCTGAGCCTGATGTCATGGACTAAGAGAGAATGCTGGCTCCAAAACATCCAAAAGACTTAATATGCCATAGTCTTGCACATAAACAATAAACAAGTAATGTGAAATATATTCACATCACTTAAAACGTTAAAAAGTTACACGTGGGTATAAAAGTACATCTTTTCAGAGAAAGTATAGCAAGCAGGCTTTTTTTTTTTTTAAGGACCCATGGAGTAACTTCAAACGTGGATACACATCAGTATTCATCTGTCCCTTTCACTCAGGAGTTACGAGGTAAAGAGTGAAGGATAGGCATATGGCTCCAGTGCTTACCTGAATGACACAGAACTCATTCGGCTCCACTAGCAGCTTGCCAAACTCTGTAGTGATGAGCAGTTTGCCTTGCTGTGGTACTGAATAAAGAAAATGCAAGGGCAGAATTCTATTTGTTTACCCCAGACAATATTGTGATACTTTAAAAAGATCTTGCTTTTTAAATTAATCTTGTCAATTTTTAAAAGGAAATTTAGGAGAAGGTATTGAAATCTATAAGTTTCTATGTTTTAATATTCCTTTTGATATTGTGTTTAATTCCAAACTCCTACTAGGCATGCCTGAGTGTTGCTTCTGTAAGCAACCAACATGTTCAGAACATATGGAAGGCAAAGACTGCAGCATTAAAGATGTGGAAACAGAATGGCCAGGAATTATGATTATTTAGAAACACAGGATAAAATTCCAGAATCATGGATATCATAAACAAATTCAAAATAAAATGTGGGCATTCATAACTAGAATGCAACATGATTATGGACTTTGGATTTTGTTCAAAATGAACCAGTTGAAATATTTTGGGTTAGTTCATTGAATTAAAATCTTTTGTAAGAGCAGTGGTGGGATTCAGCCGGTTTGCACCGCTTCAACAGAATTGGTAGCTAATTTTTTTGTTGCCCAGGCCCAGAATGGACTTCCAGAAGCGGCATCCACACAGAGAACCGGTTGTTCACATATTTGAATACCACCACTGCGTAAGAGTAATCATGCTGAGATGCAAAATGAATTGACATTTTCACAGAGCCCTGATTCACAGGAAGCAAGATCTAATTACAATCAGAAATAATTTGGGAGGCATTACTCACTATAGTGAGAGCCAGTGTGCTTAAGGCAGCAGACTAAAAACCAGGAAATTGTGAGTTCTAGTCCCACCTAAGGCAAAAACTAGCTGATCAACTTCGGGCCAGCCCTGTGAGCCCTAGGAAGCAGGCAAGGGCAAAATCCTACCAAGGAAACTGCAGAGACCTGTTAAGACAATTGCCAGGAGTCAACACTGACTTAAAGAGGAAAAAAAAGTCACCATTGTAAGTAGCATTATAATGGGAGAGAAGCTGGACTTGGAGTATCAAATACTGTTATCTAACGCCTATAGATTTTTTAAATAACAAATTATTTAAAATAATACTTGATATTTGTGTTTCCTTTTTTCAAGTCAGACTAATTTTTCTTTTTTTTATTTCTGATTGCATAGTTGCTAATACACTTTTTAAATATGATATTGCTATGAAATAGGATGATTTTCTAAGTTCTTGATAAACTTGATAAATTTGGATGTCATAGATGATATCCTTTCATGAATTATAACATAGAAAAATATTGGAAGAATATACAGTACTTACAAGATCTTATTCTAGGACACGTGTCTTTACAAAACTTTATTTTATAAAAAGGGTAGCCCAAGTTTTATTTTACTTGATCAGTATGTCATCTGACTGTGTAATAAAGATTCTTCACATTCTTTCATTAGCCAAATTAACATTCCAGTTTGTAAAAGAAATAACAGTATTTCAGAGTAATAGTTCGCAACTTACCAATCAGAAAGTCTCCATCGGAATTACAAAAACATCTATATTGAAAAAAGAATAAGTGATTACACAATTCTGAGGAATATACAGTATTATGAACTCTAGATTCTAAATTCATACCAAGTACCAATCCTTGTCCGGAGAGGAATTATACTTACAAGGTATTCAATCCACTCTGTTTATCGATAGAACTGTTTTTAGGCTGCCATTTCTTCCTCAGAAGGCCGATGAAACTTAATTTTTAAGTAAACTCCTACAAAAACTCCATGCTAGTGTGTTTGTGTATGGAACATTCAAATGTCTCAAAACAGCTATATTTTTTATATGATTATGTTTTATATTCCACTATTCTGCCCATAGGACATTCAGGATAGTTTAGAGCAGCGATGGTGAACATTTTAGACATCAAATGCCCAAATTGCAACCAAAACCCCACTTATTTATTGCCAGGTGCGCGTGGCCCACTGGGTGGGCATGGCTGTGGTGGTCATGGCAGACTGGGTGGGTGTGGCCAAGGTGGGCATGGTCACCTCGATGTTGCTTGTGGGGAGGGACGCCTGTGGGGGTCGGGCAGGGTTGGAGGAGATCCAGGGGGTCTCTGGCAGGTGGGACAGTGGGCAGGAGGCTCGTCCTGTGGAATGAGGTGAGGCAAGACGAAGCAGAGCGGGGGTGCCATTGTTGCAGGGCAAGGTGAGGTAGGGGCTGGGGAGGCTGCTGCCTGACACCATCAGCCCACGCACACAGAGGCCAGCGAACACATGGGGGCTGACAGTGTCTGTCACCAGCCACAGCCTGCCGGTCCCTCGACGGGCGCACTCTGGGGCTCTACAGCCCACTGCCAGTTCAGAGAAGCCGCTTCTGAGCTGGACGGCCAGCTGACAGCTGATGAGGAGATGCAGTGGGTCGTGCCCAGGAAAAGGAGAGCATGCAAGCTCTCTGACCACATGGGAGAGCATGTGGCATCTGGTCACATGGGAGCTCAGTGAGTTAGCGGATGGCTGGTTGAAGAAGGACAGTTGCCATTTCTGGGGCATGGCACACGTGCCTACAGAGAGGGCTCTGAGTGCCACCTCTGGCATGCATGCCATAGGTTTGCCACCACTGGTTTAGAGTTATTTAAATAATTTAGTACATCTTAGTATATCTAATACTCAGGAATTACAAGTACTTCAGTAAAATCAGGAGGAGTTTGCTTTATGTTTGGATAGAAACATGAGAATCCAGAAACTTATCTTTGACCTATTAAAGGTACTTTCACACCTTCCCCTCTTAATGCTAGATTTGGGTAAATCCTTCAGTGAAAATATTGGGTTCGCCCTCTAGTACTACTACTCTAATCATCTGATAAGAACTTTCTGGTGCACTGCTAAACATTATAATCATAGTATATATTATGCTGCTAGAGCTTAAATCTATAATTTTCAGAGGCTTTTATTATTAAGTGTGGGGAAGTCACTCCCCCCCCCGAGAAGGAAATATTACAAGGGCAGAATATTATATTTCCTCAAAGGATCTTAAAGAGGCAGAAAAGCATGCCCAGTTTTTCTTATTAGCCCCAAGTCTCCCCCCCCCCAAGCAGAAACCAGCTCTGTAGAAATACAGATGTAATAATCCATTCAGGAAGGTTGGAGTCCTCCAGCTAGAAGCTTAGGAAGACAAAGACACCTAAAATCTACATACCCCACCCAAACTCTAAGACAAGACATAATAGGATTAACCCACAGATGCCAAAGGGGCACACTCAGACTCAGGTCACAGTATATGACACAGGAAATACAAAGCCTCAAACAGGAACAGGAAACAACTCCAAACAAAAGCCCAAGAGGGTATAAAAACCCACTCCCTTCTACAGGTGCGGACTCTCTTTTCTTCCAGAGCTATCTTTCTGTCTGGCTCTCCTCTTCAATAAACTACAACCTTCTTTCTAAAGCAGTTGCCATGTTGTTTATTCCTGGCTTGGACTGGACCCTGATGAAGACTTTTCCTTCGACATAAGAAAGTCTTGTTCATCTACCAAGGAACAAACCAGACTAAAATCTGAGCTTCCTTCCTGATCAGGAATTGCACTACATTCACTACATTCACACTACATGGGAGGGTGTATAGGAGTGCAGATTTCACTTGGAGTAGGATACTGTCTTCCCTAACCCAGTCTTTCCTGCCACATGGGCTTGGGAAGAAAACCCTGTGGGAGACTAGAATTTTTGGCTTAATTTGAAGAAAATGGTGACTTCCGGTGGTGACCGCTGCGCCGATGGCGGCTTCTTTTTAGCTGCCAGTCCTGGGACTGTGTGAAAGTACGCAGAGACTGCTAAAATCAGTTGTCCTGCGGCTTGAAACCTCTTTCATCGGGAGAAGAGGAAGAGGAGAGTTTTCCACGGGTAGAGGTTGAGCTCCCCTGGACCCCCTTAATCATCAGGAGATCGGAGGATAGAGCTCCCTCGGAGCCCGAGGTTTTTCTCCGCACTCCAGGACGCCTTTGTTCCGAACTTCAGGAACAAAGCCAGACGCCGCTTCCACATCTGCATATTAAAGAAAATTCGTGAGTAAATTAAAAGCAGACGGAGCTGACCAGGAGAGATTAGAATTGTAATTGCTTGGAACTTTAACTCAGTAAAAGAATCTTCTCTACATTTTAACATCTTTAAAAGGAAGAAGAAAGTTGGATAAAATGGCGTTGGAATGTTGTTTCTTTGTGTGAAGAAAGACTCACATTTGGCAACAAAGTTTAGATATTGTAATAGATTCTGATTATTTATTCAAGTGGCAAGAATTTTTCTTTTTTATTTTTCTTGGAACTTGCTTTTTCTTTTTTCTCTTTTTTGTATTTTATAAGAGGTTGTAAATTGAAAGAAAATGGCTTCAAAGCGCTTTGGAATCCCTGCTGTTCCTAAAGGCTCAATTTCTTCTCCGGTTTCACAGACTGTGTTGCAAATTAAACCAAAATCACCTCCACCCTCTCCCCCACCACCAGCATTTACACTCAAAGATTTACAAGAAGCTTTGAAAAAAACAGCACAAGAAATTAAAGATGAAGTGGCTGATCTTTTAGACACTACAATGAATTTAGAGATGCCAGTGATGGCAGAGCTTCTTGAGAATAAAAATAGAGAGATGAGGGAAGACATAGTGTTTGCATTTCAAGGGCTAGCTGCGCACATTGAACGTCTGGATGATAGGGTGGATGAAGTTGTGGAAAATACTGTAAGATTAGAAAGTAGAGTTGGCAAAATTGAAAACAAGATTGATTTAACACAGGATGAACTTATTATATCACAATATAAAGAAATGGAATTTGCTTTGCGAATAAGAGGATTGAAGGAGAATCTGCAAGAGAACTTGAGAGAAGAGATGGCAAGAGACATAGCTCCTATTTTGGGATGTGAACTGAAGGAGATATTAAGAGAGATGGAAAAAATATTTAGGGTTAACCCATGGATTGTGAGGCAGAGAAATTTACCCAGAGATGTGGTCATTTATTTTTCCAGGAGATCACTTCGTAATTAAATTATTCAGGCTTTTTACAAGCAAAGATTTCAAATTGCTGCTCAAAATGTTATAATTTTAAAAGAAATTACCTCCAAAAATTCTTAGAAAAAAAAAGGATTTTGCTTTTTTGTCTGAGGAGCTTAAACGCTGACAAGTTCAGTTTAGATGGGAGATACCGGTTGGAATAGTGGTGAACTATGCAGGGATATGATATAGACTTAATACAATTTCAAAAGCAAAAGATTTTTATACCTCTGTTTTGAAAGCAGGTTTGCCACCATCTCCACGAGTTAAAAGAATAGAAGAGAGGTCGGAAGAACAATTAGGAGAAGGTGTAACATCATTGGTTGTGGGAGATTTGCAGGCTGAATGTATGGAACAGTCTTTGGAGGTAAAAGAGGATCTAAAGGAACAGAGGAGGACTCGTGCTGCACATAGACGTAAAGAAAAGGAGCAGAAGCAGAAGGCTGATGTTGGATCAACAACACAAGGTTCATTTACTACAGAGCCCATGGGAGGGACAAGACCGAAGAGATCATCAACAGCTGATCTTCAAGTTGTGTTCCAGAGGTTTCAGGCCATTAAGAATGGCAAAGTTTCTGACATGGAATGTTAATGGCCTGAATTCACCACAGAAAAGGAAAAAAGTATTTCATTATTTGAAACAATATGAGCACAATATTGTTTGTCTGCAGGAGACTCGTATTGCTTCGAAGGACCAAAAGTATTTGATAAATTCCCGGTTGGGATCACATTTTATAGCTTCTGCCCCAGAAAAAAAGGAGGAATAGTTATTTATGTAAGAAGAGCTTTATCAGCTAAATTAATTGATTCTGATATACAAGGAAGATACGTTATCATTGATTTAGTATTACAAGGCAAGAAGTTCCTCATTGTTGGACTATATGCGCCCAATCAACAACAAAAACAGTTTTATAAGGTGTTACATCAGAAATTAAGTCAATTGGATTATAAATCTGTTATCGTGATGGGTGATTGAAATGGTGTTTTAGATTCAAGGAAGGACAAGAAGGGATTTTTTAAAACTTCCAACCATGCTAAATTACCTAAAGCTTTTTTTGATATGAAAGATGACTTGGAACTTAGAGACATTTGGCGAGAATGGAATATGGAGGATAGAGATTTCACTTTTTATTCGGATAGGCATCAATCGTTCTCCAGAATTGATTTTTTTTAATTACTACTGATCTTTTTTCAAAGGTTAAGAATGTCAAGATCTTTCCTAGAACATTGTCGGATCATAGTCCTGTATGGTTGGAGTTATTTGCTGAAGATGGGAATGGAAGATCTTGGAGATTGAATGAAAATTTATTTAGACATGAGGGGCTTTCGCAGAAATGCAGAGAATATTCGAAGGATTTTTTTGTTTTGAATATATATAAGGGTACTTCAATGGCAATGGTCTGGGACACTAGTAAAGCTTACATGAGAGGGGTTTTGATTCATATGAATAATGCATATAGGCGTAAACAGACGCAAAAACGTAAAGATTTAGAAGAAGAGATTAAATTGAAAGAGAAGTGATCAGATTGCAATTAACTTGCGTTATATGAAACATAACACATTTTGTAATGCAAATAAGCTGGTAGGTGGTTGGCTTATCAATTACGGAAGAAACAGAAGGCAAGGATTATAGTATAGATGGATTAACAGCAATTTACTATAAAATATTATTTGAAGAAATGGTACAGCCATTAAAGGAACTTTTTAATAGTATTTTGTTGGGAGCAGAGGTACCTCCATCTTGGAGAAGGGCTTTTATATCCTTGATTCCAAAAGAAGATCAAGACCTTACCCAGTCTAAGAATTATAGACCTATATCTCTTTTGAATATAGATTATAAGATTTTTTCAAAAATACTGGCAAATAGGTTAATGCAAGTTATGAAGCAATTGATTCATAGTGATCAATCTGGATTTATAACTGGAAGATATATGAAATATAATGTAAGACAAATTGTTAACTTAATTGAATATTTGGATAAGAATAATCAAATTTCTGCGGCTTTGATATTTCTGGATACTGAGAAAGCTTTTGATCAGTTAGATTGGCAATTCTTATTGGGAGTTGTAGAGAAAATGAATTTTGGGGATAAATTTTTATATGCCCTTAAGGCTATATATCAAAAACAATCAGCACAAATTATAATTAATGGGGGATTAACAGAGGCATTTAAAATTGAATAGGGTACAAGACAGGGATGTCCATTATCGCCATTGTTATTGTTTTAACAATGGAGATTTTATTAATTAAAATCCGTGAATCAACTATAATAAAGGGAATAAAAATAAAGAAGAATGATTATAGGTTGAGAGCTTTTGCTGATGATTTGGTTTTGACATTATCTCAACCGACTCAATCGGTTGTGCATTTGGTGGAAATTATAACCCAGTATGGGAAAGTTTCTGGTTTTAAGATAAATAATAATAAGACTAAAATATTACCAAAAAATATTATTATGAAGGAAAAGGAAATTTTAGCTAAATTTACAGGTTTTGAAATAGTGAAAAAGGTTAAATATCTGGGAGTATATATTGCAGCTTCTAATGGAAAATTGTATAAAAATAATTATGAGACACTATGGGTAAAAGTGCAAAAGGATCTAAGTGATTGGAAAAAATTACAATTATCTTTGTTGGGGAGAATTTTAGCTGTTAAAATGAATGTTCTACCAAAGTTTCTTTTTTTGTTTCAAATGATACCCATTTTGAAAAAAGATACTAATCTGGGTGAATGGCAGAAGGGTATCAATAAATTTATCTGGGCTGGGAAAAAATCAAGAGTAAAGTTTAAGATTTTACAAGATGCTCGGGAAAGAGGAGGGCTTAAGGCACCTAATTTGAAATTATATTATGATGCGGCGGCCCTAACAATGATTAGTGACTGGGTTAACTTAACAAATAAAAATATACTCTCTTGAGGGATGGGACATTATATGGATGGCATGCATATTTAATTTATAATAAAAAAGTAGATCAGGCTTTTAAATCCCATATTTTAAGGAATGCCTTATTGCGTGTCTGGAAGAAGTATTATTATAGGTTAAATTATAAAATACCAATCTGGGGGATTCCTGGACACGTGATAGAGGGGGTATCTATGGGTGTGAATTTAGATAGGATTTCTTATAAGGAACTTCTTAAATTGGTAGGGAATGATTGGCAATTAAAACCGTTATTTGAGTTAAAGCAAGAAAATATTGTACAATCTTGGTTTTAGTATAATCAATTGTTGGTTAGGTGGAAGTTATATCAAAAGGTTGGGATTACTTTAATAGATGAGAATTTGGTAAAACAGATTAAAGACCAAAACCGAGTGCATATAAAGAGAATTTATAATGTTTTAATAGAATTGGATTCAGAAATGGATTTAGTTAAAGATTGCATGGTAAAATGGGCTCAAAATATCCAGGAACCGATTCCGTTGGATACATGGGAAATAATTTGGGTTAGAAATGTAAATTTTATACAGACTCAAAATTTAAGAGAAAATTTTTATAAAATGTTTTATAGGTGGCATTTGGATCCTAAAAAGTTGTCTTGTATGTATCCTAACTTACAGCCCAAATGTTGGAGATGGGTAGCTTGGACGCAACGTATTTTCATATTTGGTGGACTTGTAGAGATATAAAAGCTTTTTGGATTAAGATTTGGTGGAACATTCAAAAGATTTTTAAAAGAAAGATAAAGTTTACTCCTCAATTATTTTTGTTGGATATTATGGTAGATTTCGATGTTAAAGAAATTAATTTGATGTTGAATTTAATAACAGCAGCAAGGTTATTGGTAGGGCAATATTGGAAGAAAGATTTCTTGCCTATTATAGAAGAATGGATATTGTATACTGTATAAAACTTTTCAATAAAAAGAAAGAAAATGGGAAAATATGATTATCTTTCTGGATGAGTTCTAATGAGTCAAAGAAGGAAGCACTGAGAGACTCTATTTGTCTAATTGTGAAAGAAAAGCAGATATTTAAGCCTTTGACAAGATTTGTTTTCTTCTCAAGTCAACTGAGAGTCAGATAAATCAATGGAAGAGTATTTTGCTACCACCTAGGGAACTGCATGCCAAATTACTTGTCTTTTATGGTTTTATTGAAAACAGCCTTTCATTTTTCTGCTACGTGTTGTCTGGGGTTCACATATAGCTGCCAACCCTAGATTTCTGAATTACTTTTTACAGCATATCAATTACTTCCCACCTAAAGATTAAAAAGGTCGCATGTAACCTTTAATGAGAAGATTAATCAATCAGTCAACAAGGTTTGGTAAGTTGGGAATTCCCGCCCCCTCCCTAAAATATTAACCTTCTTTACTGGACTAGTCATCAATTTCCTGGTTTCTATTGCTAGAGAATATGCTTTTCTTCTTACAAAATGAAATTCCAATATTCAATTGCTCGTTCTAGTGATGCATAGATTTCTAAAAATTCTCTAGTCAAATAGATTGCTATGTCTTGTTTCAGACCCACTGAGAGAATATTATTGTACATTTCCTTCTGCCTATTGCAGTGATGGCAAATCTTTTAGAGACCGAGTGCCCCAAAATTGCCCCGCCCCCGTTCTGCCTCCCACCCTGCCTGCTCCAGCCCCGCCCACCCCTGCCCCACCCACCCACAGGGCTACGCACTGTCTCCATGGCCTGCCACAGCAGATCACCCAGGCAGCCCTGCAGTGCCATGGAAGCCACACCCTCCGCCCACACCCCGCAGCATCATCTGCATGCTATGGGGTGCAAGGGCGGAATCTTGTTCCTGCTGCCCGGCTATGTCCTTAGCTGCGCTGCTTCGTGCAGCCGCGCCGGGGGGTGACTCTCCTCCAGGGGGGCTGCTGGTGAGGAGGGGGCTGTGGGCAGAGGCGGGGCTGGGGCAATGGCACGCGTGCCCACAGAGAGGGCTCTGAGTGCCATCTCTGGCACGTGTGCCATAGGTTCGCCACCACTGGCCTATTGTCACTTTTACTTTTTTACTATATTTACTTATCTAAGATCAGTAAAGATCCCAAATCTAAGATCAGTAAAATATTCTGTTTAACTTTTTTTGATGGAGGGGACGTATACGGCTAAACTTAAATTCAGGGCCTTCTTCTAAGCAGACAAGGCCTGAATCAAGGTTCATCAAAGTTGTAATGAAATTTGCAACATTTGATAAAGAATCAGGCTAGAACAAATCTAACACATTTTGTGACATAAACCTTTCAATTATTCATAATATATAGATGAAGAAAGAAAGGAAAAGTTCCTTAATAATAGTCAAGTCTCAACAAATAGTCAGAACATCTGGACTATCTCCAAATGTCCACTCTTTTAGAAGTTTAGATAGAACCCATGAGATACTCTGACTCCATACAGACCTGTTAATCATGGAGTTGTTACAGATGAAGATGTGAATTGCCAGCCCATTCCCTGACTTTGGCTCACCAGCACCACACAAAGTATATAGTCCCTATATATAATATATAATTATAAGAAAACAAAGGTATAATCATTAGAATCGCTTTGATTTCCTTTGGTTACCAAAATAATGCATGGCAGAATCAGAAATTCAGAACTTTAATACAATAGTGTTTGACCAGTTCTGCCTTCCTAAAACTAAAATCCACGTCTGGATTTAAGAGCCAAGGTTTTTAGCTTGCTCTTTCAGAATAATTGAGAAATTCTTTAATGCAAGGTTTAATTGCCATGAGCATCCTGGATTCTAGTTTACATAGACATCTATTGGAAGATTTTGATCTGACCTTGTAAAAAGTTGAAAAGCAGAAATGAGGTGGTATAGTGTTCATACAGTTGAAAAGGGGCAGGGTGAAATTAATGTGGAGAATATTACCAAAGTTAATGATAAAGAAGAGCTTTAAATGTTGAAAGATCAATTTATTTAGTACTTTTTCAAAAGAGTTATTTGCCATTATAGTAGGAATTGGAAGTCTATAAAAGTTGTCATCTTACAGTAATTAGCAAGTGGTCGCTAAACAAAACAGTTATAAAATGAAGACTAAATGAAGGTTAATGTGTATGCATACAAGAATTAAGATTGGAGGCAAGTCTACCATGACTTCAAGTACCTTCCCTTCAGGTTGAAAACTCCATTCTTATTCATATCAGAAAGATTAAGTGAAAAATGCTTTTAATGCTTCTGTATGGTTACTTACAGTTACAAAGTCCAGTGTTTTTTGAAAGATTGTAGGGATCTCAAATGGCTTCCATCTCAACTGAAAGAAAGACAGACATCATTCTAAAATAATTGATGCCATCTGAGGTATTTTATACTACAATTAATATGCAACTTATATAAAATGTCCAGGTTTGGTCATCATAGTACAAGAAAGATGCTGAGGAACTGGAAAGAGGTGCAGAGAAAAGCAACAAAAATGGCAAGAAGTTTGAAGGCTAAATTCTATGAAGAATTGTGTGTTTTGCATAAAGTAGAGAAAGCTAAGGAGAGACAGGATAGCAATTTTCTGATAACTACTGCTACAGAGAAGAGATTGTGGATTTAGTCTCCATACAGTCTGGGGAAGGGCAAGAGTCAGCAGGTGAATACTTTGCAGAGCAAGATCCATACTTGAAATAAGGAATAATTTCCTGACTGTAAAGGCTATGATGTAATAGGACAGATTGTCCCCTAGAATCATAGATGTTCCAGCACTGTTGGTTTTTTTAAAAAAATATTTTTCTGGGATAGTCTGAAGATTTCTTCCCTGTGCAGGGGGTAAGATTTGAAGGCTTCTGAGGTTCCTTTGATATCCTCTGCTTGATATCTCAGTTCCAGTTTTTAGGATGAGGAGCCACTAATGCTCAGTCTTTAGTACTGTAGGAGTTTTGAAACTGCTTTTTTGAAACAGTTGTAGCTAGCAGACTTAATTTTCAGCCATCACCTTAATCTGATTATCAGATTTATTATTAATTCATTGGCCACACAACTTGGAGTGAACTGTGACAAATGTAATGAGGGTATCTTGACAAGTACTTTCTTGAAACCAAAATACATTTGCTAAGAAATTTAGCAGATCAAAGCATGAGATAAATTTAAACTCTCAGGACTTGTTCTAATAAATCCATGCTGATTTATCTGCAAACTGTTTACTGATTGAGTTCTCTTCCCAAGAACTTTCCCAGAGACTTATCTTTGAGAGTTTGGTAAGCAATTCCTCAGTCCATTTGTTCTGCACACTTTAATCCAGGGATAATGTTTGATGAGATTCATTCAAAGCAGATCACAGAGATGGAAGGGTTTGTTCTGGGAGATTTTAGTTTATGTAGCATAAACAAAAACTTGTAAAAAACTTATTAAAAATTCAACCAGAGGTGGCTCTCTAAAGCACAGGTGATTCCAAACTGAACTAGATAAGGAAAATGGCACTCAGGTAGAAAAATACCAAAAAATATGAGAACAGCAACCAAGCTGGCTCTGGCTAAGCCTGTTGGACAGTTATAAAAGTGAACAACAGTAGCATTTTGGAGCCAATATACAGAAGCTGGAGATTCCTTGCCAGATATGATTACCTGGTTGGGTTCCGGTTCAGTTTCATTCCAGTTATGTGTCAGATGACCCTGATCAATAGGCTGGAAGGGCTTATGGCAAGCAGAAGGCAGAATTCTATATAACCAGCTAGGGAGAAAACAAATGCAGAGATTATCCAAGAAATGATAATATTCAGTGCTTTGTTGAACTCTGAAATAAGCTACAACTTTCTCTAGAAAATCTAGAAAATGCACTGCATCTTCCAGGTAATTATATTAGAGCAATAGGGGAGGGAAAAACCCCTTAAACATATAAATCTACTTTCCATGTATTGCAAATTGAGTAATCTAAACCAGATGTTCAAGTCTTTTATTACTTTCTCTGTAACACTCCTAAATCATGAATACCTTTGACACTTCTGTAATCATTTCTTTCATAATTGTTCAGTCTCCCTCCCCAGTGCTAGACTGTGTGCATGTCTTGCTACTTGAACATTTATGTGTAGGGAAGAAATGGATGAACTGCAGCACAGTCATCCTTTCTAGAAAGTTTTGCTGATTTTGTCAGAAAGTGTTACTAAGGGAATTTTGAGCTTGCAATTTTTTTAGAAGCCTTTCCACTGTCCCTTGCTGGTTAGAATGTATATTGCAGAGGGTGGCAACATTCTGGTGTCTAGAGCTGCTGATGAGCAGAGCTAGTCACCTATATGGTACAACATATTACCCTGTGCATACTTGATACTACTCCCTGCCAGAAGAATGTTGTTCCAAAAGGCTTATTTATTAGGGATACATAAAAACAATTTAAATTTGAAACATTTTGAAGGTCAAGTGCCCCATTTTGCCATTCTGGAAATCTGCTTGAAACACCAACACTTCCAATTCAAAATAAAAAATCCCTTACAGAAAAGTTGGAACCATTTATTTCAAACTTAAAATGGAGTGTTTTGAGCTCAAAATATTTCAGATTTGAAAAGTTTGGGATTTTGTTTTGAATGATACACCATAATTTATTATTTTTGATACATAATACATCTCATTTTTGCATGGGTAAATAAGGAATACTACCAGACACCATCTTGGAGAATAGGGTTTTCCTGGGTGGGAATATGAGTCAGAATTTAATATAAAAGAAGCACAAAGTTACTAAATCCAGGTATCTAAAGGAACCCAAAAATTCAGTGTAATTGTTGAGACTGATTTTGGTGTAAAGTATTAAGGGGTTAATTGTCTTTTTCTTGCAACTTTCAAAGATGTGGTAAGCTTCTTTGACTCTTCTTTTTTCACATTTTTTTACATCAGTATAAAATTCTGGATTTCTTTTTTTTTTTGACAAAGCAAGAAACCATTGAAGGTAGTCTAGAACACACATGAACATGCATCAGTTATGTCAACTGATTTCAGCATTCATCATCATACAAATGTTTTCTTTCAACAAAAATATGTATTTTCTTGTACACACCAACTTTTTCCCACTTAGTGGGAATTCATAGAAGGGAAAAGGCACACAGTGTTATTCTCAGATATAAAGGTTCAGTTTTTGTGCCATTCTGGGAAAAAAGGACATATGAGAAAACCCTTTGCCCCAGCTCACACATCCTTCTTTTCTATTAAAATCTGACTCAACATACTTTTGCTCTTCTCCCTTCAGTTGTACACTGTGGAAAATGTGTTTGTTCTACTTAGTTGCAGCATCTTTCTGTTTCTGCTCTGTGCTTACTTAGTTCTCACAAGTGAAACTATCATTGCACAGTGTGATAAGGAGTTTACAGCTTACTGTAGATGTGGATTTGGCATGAGAAAAAGCGACTGGCCCCTAGGCCACCCCATTAGCTTCTATGCCTAATAAAAGGCCAGACCCTGGGTCTCCATGCTTCTAGTCCAGTATCTCAATGGCTTACCATTTTGTTCTGATGGCTAAGCCTATCACTAATATAGAAGCCAAAGTGCCTTTCTCTTTGAAAGGATATTGCAATGGATTCCATGGCCAATATTATGATGCCGTTTCTCCTAAATTCACACATACCTTCTCCTATTGGAGGATCGTGGACAGGTAAAAGCTGAACCTGAGATCTGTTCAGCATACAGACCATACGGACAGACCTGAGGATTATTCTAAATGAATAGAAATAATTAATTAGAATTAAGTTTTTTCTTTAATATGCAGATTACATAAATGTTATAGTCCTCCTGGATTCAACTGAGAGTGATGACATATTTTATGTCATATTTTGACAGACTCCTCAAGAACACTTTGCATCTTCTTCCATAGGATACTTCTGAATATCCAGTACAGACCAAGAGGCCCTGTAAAGGACACAACTGGAAAAATGAAGTTTCTGTCCCAAGGTTTATGAACAACAATAATGAACCAATGTGACTCTAATTGAACATAACCCAATTTTGCTTTTGTTATAAATAACATAAATATAACTTAAGATAGTTATTGACTAAGGACTCCGTTCAGTTCTCTGAAGGAGACAAATGACCTCCAAGATTGAACTTGGAGGAAGTTCCTCCTGCTGGGCAAAATCATGGAAACATCTGTCTTTTTCAAGCACAAAAAAAGTCAGCAGAAAGTCTCTTCACCTTCTCAAGCAAGGTTGTCTAGGTAAGATGAGCTCCCTGGTAAATGTGAAATTTTCAATCCCTACAACAGGCAAGGAAAAATCTTCTTGCTGTTCTTATCTCCAGGTAACTTTCCTTTTATAGAATTATTTTGTTAGAAACAAAAGAGGGAACCCCATTTTTTAAATTGATGACTCAATGTGTTTCACACAAAATCCATTGTCAAAGAGAAATACATTCTTCTAGTTATGTTGGCACATGGGGGGTACCCCCTTTGTTTGCCTATCCCCCATATGTAGTTTTATTCACAGAATAATGTCTCTTAATTCTTCTAAAAAGGCCAGGCTGAAGAATTCTCTGGTCTTTTGGTCAAATCCATTTCTCAATATTTTAAATACCTGTCCTTCTGGTAAAGCTCCAGGGCAGCGTGGATCTTCAGAGCTGAATTCATTACCAAATCCTGACATGTACTATAAAACAAAAGAACACTTTATACAAAGAAGTATTTTTTATCTTATTGAAAAATTATAGTTTTGCTTTTTCAGATTTATCATAAGATGGGCATGTCATTTTCGATTACAAATTGGATTCTAGTTGAATTTCTGAATTCAATTTCTCTTGCGGTCATTTGATCTATGGTGGAGGACGTGGAAAGTAACTATTTCCCTTATCCCACTACCATGGTGTGGGGTTTAATGGAACAACTTCATTCTCTTAAGCCCTATCTTGATGTCACATGGCTTGCAGGACAAGTGGATATTTGGAGCTGATCTCCGCTCTGGTTTTTAATCAACTACATTACATTCATGGTTTAATAAATCTGACTCTGGACAACCTCTAGAGTTAAAAGAGATACAGGCTGTTGTCTGTTTCTTAAGAAAGAATCCTATTTCTAGAAAATGTTTAATGTCACATGAGAGAGAAGTCTAGCCATTCTAGAACCTGATAATGAAATGCCTGCAGTCAAGAAGTCTGTGTGTTTAGCTGCAATTTTCATTCCTATTGTCTTCTGTTTTATTGATTCTACAGAGTCACATAGCCTCTTCATTAGAACTGATAAAGAGAAGTTTGGCTAATTTTCAGGTTTTAAAAATCTAATTGGGAAATAACTTCCAGGCCACCTAAATATTTTGAAGAGGAAAATTTACAACTAACAAGAAGCTTCCAACTTGTGGCACAGCAGAGTTGGCAATGGCATCTACTCCCACATTGTCAGGTGGTGAAAAACCAGGACCATACCTGAAGGTTTAGTTTAACTGATTTATTACCCTGCTGCCTGATATGCTACATAGCATGGAAGGATCTAATGCTAAAATTACTAAGGTCTATGCATAGGAATCTTCTCTAATGGTCAACAACTGGTTAGGGCTAGATAAGGGGCAACAGCAGGTGGGAGGGGGTTGGACTTATTTCGTCTGTGGCTAAGTAATGACTCTAAACTGATCTCTCTTTTTACCCTTCCCCCTGGCTCTGCCAATTCTCCTATATTCATCCACTATTGAAAGGATAAAAACACATCTTATCTTATAGAAATGAATAAAAACCTGACTGTAGATTTTGATTAATATCCTTTGGGCCTATCCACCCCATATTGAACCTCCCAGTCTTCCCTCCCTGCTACTACAGCTTTTATTACTGCCAAAGTCCATGCATACTGTATCCCTGTTTATTTAATCTGAAGTCTGCTAAACTGAGGTCTGTTAAATGAAATTGTTTGCTGTGATTCAGAGTAAACTGATTTAAACAAATTGTTGTTATAAATTAGTAAAATTTGGTTAGACATGCCTCATTTAAGCTGAGAATTGTACAGTATTGTGAGTTCTGGTCCTGCCTTAGACACAATGTCATCTGGGTCACCTTGAGCCAGTCACTTTCTCCCAGCCCTAAAAAGAAGACAGTGCCAAACCACTTCTGAAAAACCTTACTAAGAAATTTGCAGGGACTTGTCCAGGCAATCCCCAAGAATCACAATTGAACAGAACAACAAAAAATAACATGAATACAGTATAGTATACTATAGTCCTAAAATGTATTTTGTGAACTTAAGTCACTGTTTTGAAATTTGGGGAAATTCTTCCCTTGTTTTTCAATCAGAACTTTTCAGTTGACTGTTGAATTTCAGTTTTTAAGATTCACACTTTTATCATAAAGAGCTTTAATAAGTTGGAATGTGATCAATTAATTTGTCTAAAATGAGTTCTCCCCCTCCTAATATTATCTACAAAAGAGGATTGCATTCAATAACTATTCATTCATTCATTCATTCATTCATTCATGTATTTTATTTATTTATTTATTTATATTTTTTTTATTGAAAGTTTTATAAATTTTACAAAAAGACAAAAACAATACAACACAAAAGACAACATATACAAAAAAGAAACTAAACATTACATATATATATAAAAAAAAAAACCCATCCCCCACCCCTCACAAAAACCCTCCCTTCCCCCCCCTGAGCTTCCCAGAGCAGAATATAGGCTTAATTAAAAATTAAGAAATAAAAATAAAAAATTAAATTAAAAAATTTATATTTATATATATATAAAAAAATATCTATATATATATATAAAAATAAAACTTATAAAAAAGCTATGTGATATTTTTGTATACCCAATCTAAATTGTATAAATTTTATCCATTTGTCCCAAACAGCAAGGAACTTCTCTTGCGTTTGTTGCTTTAAGAAAGCCGAAATCTTTGCCATTTCCGCCAGATAAGCTACTTTAAGAAACCATTCCTGCAATGTAGGCAAAGATTCCTTCTTCCAATATTGTCCTACTAACAGCCTAGCGGCTGTAATCAAATTTAACATCAATACAACCTCCTTTGTATCACAATCTGTAACAATGCCTAACAAAAATAATTGCGGAGTAAATTTTACCCTCCTTCTAAAAATTCTCTGGATATTCCACCATATTTTGATCCAAAATGCTTTTATCTCTCTGCATGACCACCAAATATGATAATAGGAAGCATCCTTATAACCACATCTCCAACATTTGGGTTGCACGTCAGGGTACATAAGAGACATTTTTTGTGGATCAAGGTGCCATCTATAAAACATTTTATAAAAATTCTCCCTAAGGTTCTGTGCTTGTGTAAATTTGACATTTCTCACCCAAATGGTTTCCCAAATGTCCAATGAGACTGGGACACCAAAATTCTGCGCCCATCTAATCATACAATCTTTAATTAATTCCGTTTCTGAGTCCATTTCAACTAATACCCCATAAATTCTCTTGATACGGGTTTGTCTTTGATCCTTGACTTGCTTAATAAGATTTCCATCTTGTCTAAGAAAACCCAATTTACAATCCACCTTCCATTTATCTACTAGTTGCCTATATTGAAACCAAGAATAAATAATATTTCCTTGCGCTAAATCTTCCCGTAATCTTAAGTGCCAGTTTTGCCCATCCCATCTAAGTAACTGACTATAAGACACCATGTCCATTTTTACTCCTCTTTTTATTCCTTCTATCGCATGCCAAGGTATAGCCCATAATGGAACTTTAAAATCACTTTTATAATATTTTCTCCAAATCCTAAGTAAAGAAATTCTTAAAATATGAGATTTAAAGACCCAGTCCATTTTTTTATTAAATATTAAATAGGCATGCCACCCATAAAGTAAATCCCATCCCTCTAAATGAAGTATCTCAGGATTTGTCAAATTTACCCAATCACTGATTAGTGTTAAGACCACCGCATCGTAATATAATTTCAAATTTGGTACCTTAAGTCCACCCCTCTCACGGAAGTCTTGCATAATTTTAAACTTAACCCTTGGCTTTTTCCCTGCCCAAATAAATTTATTAAGACCCTTCTGCCACTCACTTAAATTAATCTCATTTTTCAAAATCGGTAACATTTGAAACAAAAAAAGAAACTTGGGTAGAATATTCATTTTTATCACTGCAATTCTTCCCATGAGGGATAATTGCAACTTCTCCCAATTCTTCAAGTCCTTCTGTACCCTGACCCACAACCTTTCATAATTATTTTTAAATAATTTTACATTAGAAACAGACAACATCACCCCCAAATATTTTACCTTATTAACAATCTCAAAACCCGTCAAGTTAGCCAAAATCTGCTTCTCCTGACTAGACATATTTTTAGGTAAGATTTTAGTCTTATTTACATTAATCTTGAAACCCGAAACCAAACCATAATGATGAATCAACTGTAATAAGTTTACTGCAGAATAATCAGGTTGCGACAAAGTAACAACCAAGTCATCCGCAAAAGCTCTCAACTTATATTCTTTTTTGTTAACTTCTATTCCTTTAATTTCCTGAGACTCTCGAATTTTGATCAATAATATTTCCAGTGTTAAAACAAACAACAATGGCGATAAAGGACACCCCTGTCTAGTACCTTTCTCTATTGTAAAAACCTCCGACAAACCTCCATTAACAATAAGTTGTGCCATTTGTTTTTGATATATTACCGTAAGAGCTTGTAATATCTTTTCGCCAAAATTCATTTCTTCCATTACTCTTAGCATAAAATGCCAATTCAATTGATCAAATGCTTTTTCAGCATCTAAAAATATGAGCCCTGCAGGAACTTGGTTGTTCTTGTCTAAATATTCTAATAGATTAATAATTTGTCTAACATTATTTTTCATATACCTTCCTGTTATAAACCCTGATTGATCTTTATGCACAAGATGATGCGCCACCCTCATAAGCCTATTTACCAAGATTTTTACAAATATCTTATAATCCACATTTAAAAGAGATATAGGCCTATAATTTTTTGGTAAAGTAAGATCTTGATCCTCCTTTGGAATCAATGATATAAAAGCACTACGCCATGAAGGAGGAATCTCTAAACCCTGTAAGATACCATTAAAAAGATCATTTAATGGTTGGATCATCTCCTCCATTAAAGCTTTATAATAAACAGCTGTTAACCCATCCGTACCCGGTGCTTTCCCTAGTTTCAATTGTTGAATTGCTGAGGCAATTTCCTCCTTAGTAATTAAGCCATTAATTTCATGTTTCTGATCCTCAGTCAGTTTAGGAAAACTTGCCTCAGCTAGATATTTATTTATATCTAGCAGTTGCACATTAGTAGATTTGTATAACTTTTGATAATAATCCAAAAAAGATTTTTTAATCAATTCCTTCTGAGAAACTAATTTACCCTTGTAATTTATTTTCTCTATTATTCTCTGTCTCTGTTTCTTTCTTAATTGATAAGCCAACCATCTCCCAGGCTTATTAGCATTACAAAATGTATTTTGTTTCATAAACAATAAATTGGTTGCCGCTTGATCTGCTATCAACATATTAAATTGTGACCTTAGTAACTTTACAGATTCTTTAATACTTTCATCAGAAGGATTTAGAATCAAGGCCCTTTCTTTTGATTTAATTTCATCTTCAAGTTCTCTACGTTTCTGAATCTGCTTCCGCTTATGACAATTATTCATTTTTATCAAAACACCACGCATAAATGCTTTACCTGCATCCCATACCATTGACATTGAAGTCCCCTTATACATGTTCAAAGCAAAATAGTCCTTTAAACACTCCTTTAACTTTTGAACATTCTTCTCTTGTCTGAACAAATTTTCATTAACTCTCCAGGATCTCCTTTCCTCTTTCTCTTGAGTCAGCTCCATCCAAACTGGGCTATGATCCGTCAGTGATCTAGGAAAAATCTTTACATTCTTTACTTTATTATACAAATCCGTAGTAATCAAAAAAAAGTCAATTCTTGAAAAAGATTGGTGTCTATCAGAAAAAAAAGTGAAATCTCTCTCCTCTTGATTACATTCCCGCCAATAATCCCTTAATTCCCAGTCTTCCTTCATATCAAAAAAAGCTTTAGGTAACCTTGCTTGTTTAAGAAAAGGAGAGGAACCTTTCTTGTCCCTTTGTATATCTAAGACACCATTCCAATCACCCATTAATACCACTGATCTATAGTCAAGCAATGTTATTTTTTGATGTAACTGCTTATAAAATTGTTCCTGTTGTTGATTTGGAGCATAAAGTCCCACTATAAGTACTTTCTTACCATATATACCAAGTTCAATCATCACATATCTCCCCTAGGAATCTGATTCTACCAGACAAGCTGGTAGGTTTTGTTTAACATATATAACAACTCCCCCTTTCTTCCCAGGAGCAAAAGATATAAAATGAGATCCCAAACGAGCATTGACTAAATATTTCTGATCTTTAAGTAAAATATGAGTTTCCTGTAAGCAAATAACATCATTGGTATGTTGCTTCAAATAATAAAAGATTTTTTTCCGTTTCTGAGGAGAATTCAATCCATTAACATTCCAGGTCAAAAACTTTGCCATCTCCCTTGGCACGCAGCCTGGAGAAGACACCATCAAGATCTGAAAGAGCTGCATGTGTTGCATAACTCTTGGGTCTTGCTCCTCCCACCGGCGGTGATGCACTTCCAGAAGAATTCGCTTTAGGCTCTTTTTTACGTTGCTCCTTCTCTTTACGCTTATAAGCTGCACGAGTCATCCTCTGCTCTTTAACCTCCATCTGGCGTTGCCTTTCAGCTTGTATCATCCCAGCGGAAACCAAACCTAATGCCTCAGATTGCTGCTCGACTTCCTTGCCACTCGGAGATTTCTGACCAGATGGAGTTGAGCCTGCACCCAGGACCGAAGTATAAAACTCTCTAGCTTTGTCAACTGTATTCAATCTGTAGCGTGTCCCCGCATGGCTCAAAACAATACCCATCGGAATTTCCCATCTAAATGGCATCAATCTAGCTTTGAGCTCATTGGTTAAAAAAGCGAAGTCTTTCCTGCTTCTTAAAATTTTGGATGGGATTTCCTTTAGAATGATAACATCTTGGGCAGCAATCTGAAATCTTTTGTTGTAAAAGGCTTGTATAATCTCATTCCGCAGGGACTTCTTTGTAAAATAAATCACCACATCTCTAGGCAAATTCTTCTGCTTAGCAATCCAGGAGTTAAGTCTATAAATTTTTTCCACTTCTCTATGTAATTCTCCTTTATCCATATCCAAGGCCACTGCCAGATCAGTAAGGACCACCTCCACCAAATCTTGATTCATATCTTCCTTGAGGCCTCTAATCCTCAGGGCATACTCCATCTGTCTGTACTGAAACATCAAAATATCTTCTTGTGAGGACTCCACCTTCCTTTCCACATCTTGAATTTTATCATCAAAGAAATCAACTTTGTTTTCCACTTCCTCAAGCCTTGCATCGAGCTTAACCACCACAGTAGCCAAGCCTGAAACTGCTGCAAGTATATCTTGTCGTAAATCATTATTATTTTCTTGCAATTTAGTCTTTATCCCCGTTATCTCTTCTTTAAGATCAGATTTAATTTCTGATTTAATCTGTGAGGCAAATTGCTTCATTTCCTCTCTCATTTGAACTACAATCTCTCCCATTATGCCTCTGACCTCTTGTGCTGAAAGTCCAGGCAGAGGGGGGGAGGGTGGTGGCTGAGCCGGTGGTACATGTTTAGATTGTTGTTGTAATTGTGCAGTGGAAGTTATAGGAGAAGAAACAACCTTAGGTATTGAAGCAGGCTGCTGTCTCTTTGAAGCCATTTTAAAAAGCGCAGTTCTCACTTCCCTTTCCCCTCCACACAAGAAGGGAGGAGGAAAGAAAAAGAAAAAGAATTTAAAAAGAGACAAACTATAGTCCTTGAAAATCCAGAGAAAATCCAAAGAATAAAAGATAAAAGAGCAAACAATTCAAAAGAAAAAATTCTAAGCCAAAAGCAAAAGCAAAAGCCAGTCCTTAAAAAGGGAAAGTAAAACAAAAGGGAAAGGAAAAAAAAACTCCGACACTTTCAAAACGCCATCTTAAATCCTTTCACTAATATAACAAAGAAAAGGAGGAAAAATAGTAAAAATCAAATAATAAAAAAAAATAAACACCTAAAGTATATAACAAAAATCCTTTAAACTGCTCCGTCCGTTTAAAAATTACTCACCAAAATACTATAAACACGGAGATAGAAGCGGCGGTTTCTTTTGCTTCCTAGGAAGCAAAAACAGCTGGGAGGCGGAGATCAGCAGGAGCTCCGAGGGAACACTCCTTTCACCCCCTCTAGAAATAAATCCAGAGGGGGTTTAGGGGTTCTACCTCTATTCCTGCGTTCTCTGTCCCTTCCCTTTGCCCGGGAAGGGAATTCCGAGCTGCGGGCCAGCTGATGCGCGCTGTGCTCCGCGGCTCTGACACTTCCCCAGCTGGACGGCTAAAAGATAGCCGCCATCGCCGTCGCCTAGTACCGGAAGCCCCCTTATTTATTTATTCTGATTTCCACAGCTGCCCAACTCAAACAAACTGAGCAGATTGCAATTGTACACGAACATTATGGGAAATTGAACCTCAAAAACAGTAAGGCAGTTTTTTCATTGAAGAACCTGAGTGGAATGTGAAATAGATGTCTTAGAACAATTAATAGTATTAGCTGATTTTCATAATACAGATGGCTGCCAAAAATGTATAGAGTGGCAATGCCCTCAATTAAAATATTATTTGATGTTGATGTGGCTGGAGGTCTTAAAGGATTTAATATGTTCTCTACACAATAATACAATGATTACTTTAAAGAAAAGTTCCTCCAACACATAAATTAGATGTTCAAGATTCTAAGGCGGCTTTAAATATAAAACTATGATGTCTCGATTCATGAAAATCAATGGAAGAGCATTTTTACTGTTTCTATAGCAGTAAAATTTTAATTTCAGAGAATTAGTGAGAAATGAAAGAAATGACATATAATAGGTGTATTCTTACCGATTAAAAGGATAGAAAGAAAGAGACAGGCTTTATCAAGGGGCTTCAAGTTAGGATTTTTCAAGTGAAGCGTCAGGTAAGTTGAACCTGGTTAGACTGATGGATCACCAGCTCTAGAAATCTCTTTCAGAGATAATGAAAAAGCCACTTCTCCAGCTGCACTGATAAAATATATTATGTGCAATTAATATTTAGTTTGCTTGATGAGCTAGTTGAGAAATAACCTTTCTACAATTTGTTAAAATATGAATTTTATCTGGAATGGTCAGGATATATTTTCTGCCTTAATGAATCAGTTATCTCTTAGCTCTGCATAACTGATGAAATTTAACCTTCCAAATCGTTTTCTAAGAGATAGCTATTAACAGTTAATGGAATGAAGTTCTTATTCAAAATCTGGGTTTTGTTGCATCAGACCCTCTTGGTGAAATGGATTGGTTTGATTCATTTGGAAATTATTATACAAAGCTGTTTTGGATTACTCCAAAATGTTAAGAAACTTATAAAAGCGTAACAGAGTCATGCTTGTTAAATATTCTTCTCATGTGTTTAACACATTCCATATAATTTTAAAATAGTTCTTTAAAAAAGGGAAAAGTGTTGTAATTCCTGTTTCCCAGAATTTTCTAGATTTAGACTTACAGTTTAAACATGTTAAAAATCTGACTATGCAGCAGTTAGATCCGTCACAATCTAAATTTGAAAAGGCATTACAAAGAATGAAGTTTTAAATATACAGCTTTAAGTGAACTGGGCAAAAACTCCTTACTTCAAGTAAATGACCCCATAGATAAAAGCAATCAAAGCTCTAGCAAACATCTGGGGCTGGTTTCTGCCTGCTCATAGAAAGCCTTTGTATCTGCAGCAAGGATTCCCTATTAAAAAAAAAGTGATTTCACTAGTTCATCACAGAAACGATGAAAGCACTCTAGAATTTTACTCTGTTTAGAAGTATGTTAATGAATGGGAATGAAGAAATTCTGAAATCTTTTAGTCAAAGCAACAAGATACAGATTTTCACTGGTAACTTACCTTTAACTCTGATATTTCTTCCATATTTCTTATCATTCCTGAGGACATTGCAAAAACTAAATGTGTTTGGTCAAATGACTGCCAAAATGGTTTCCAAAATTAGTTTCTTTTAGCAACTGAAGAAAGTTAAAATAGTACGATGGCAACCAAGCTATTCTGCAAGTGAGAAAGTCCAAGAGAGATTTCAAACTATTTACTCAGTTGAGCCTGGTTTAATGAGAAACAGGCTTCTCTTCTGGAACCAATGGAAGGATCTCCGCGAATCAACAACCAGGAAAAAGGGGGAGGAAAAAGCTGACTTGCTTTTGTAATTTTATTTCAGATAATGTTAGCAATGGAACCCAAACATGAGTAAAAAAAACAGCATTTCTATTCCTAATCCTTCAAAATGTCTAAGTGCTGCACAGCCTTATTGCTACTCTTTCCCACTCCACAGGAAAATGAAGTAAACTAAAAAAACTTCATGTTCTTCCTTCATATTATGTACATTTGTCTAGACATTTGTCTAGGTTGTGGGGGAGAGTGGAACTGAAAAGACATTAAAGCCTCCTTTATTTGTAAAAGGCTTGCTAGTGAGGCTGAAATCAAGGAAGCACTGTAGAAAAAAACTGGCAGGTCAGAGGAAATGCTAAGGAACTATTATGGCCGATATTAGCCTCATTTAAAAATGTTCTTTTTTATTAATAATGCTCTAGTAAGTAATGGACAAGCTGGTTTCAGTTTTTACATTGATTTCCAAAAAAATGGGTGTTTTACATCCATTCAACTCCTGCCTTAGGCAGGAAAGCCAGCTGAGTAACCTTGGACCAGTTGCACTCTCTCAGCCCAATTCCCCTCACAGGGTGGTTGCTCTGAGGAAAACAGGAGGAGGAAGGAGCATTAGATATGTTGGCCACCTTGAGATGTTTATAAAAATAATAAAGGTGGGATATAAATTAAAAAATAAATTTTACTTTTTGTGTCATTAAACCCAGCACCTATTTCAACTCTCCATCCCAGCTGTGGTTTACCATGTTACTGCTACCAACAACAGGAAAGATACCACTGCTCCTCATCTTCAAACCTCTACGTGAGTAAGCAAACTGGAACAATATTTTTTTTAAAAAAATCTTTATTCCGTGTCAGAGTGCTTGCATATAACAGGTATCCTCATCTTCATAATACAATTGTTACTCTGGGCTTCTGCTCAGAGTATAATCAGAAGTGATAAGTTATTATACTTGCATAATGCTTTTCAATTTCTAAACTGTGCTTTAGAGTAGGCAAGTGCCAGATTTGTCTGCATTCTTTAAAGCAGGAGCATCTTTTTACTGGGCATCATGGCTGCTGCTAAGGAATAAATGAAATTGCACCCAGCTCCTATGGGTAGGCTCTAATAGAATTTGAAATGTTGCACACCCCTAAAATATAAACTTTCAGACTCTTCTATCTGGAGGGCAGAGGATACTACAAAACAGGAACATTTGTGGCCACTAATTTGTACCCCTTCACTGAGTTGTTTTGTTTTCCTTCTTTTCCAATTTTTCTTTGTATATTTTACCATATAATTAATGACACTTAAAACTGTATAAGTAGAATATACTATTAAATAGGTATGCATGGTCATTTATTTGCAGGCTTGCTTTGCCGATACTATTCCTTCATGTTTGAGACATTATTATTTATAAATATATTTTAATTCAGATGTCCTTTAGCTCTGATTGCTATCAGTGACATAGCAATGGGAATGATGTTGGTATAATTGCTGTAGAATCTCTTTCCTAGTTATCCACTTATCACTGGCTTGTTATTTGTATTTGCAAATTAATAATAACGAACAAAAATGTAATACGAGACAGCATATTCTACAACAAAACTAGGTATTCATTATGCTTCTTGGATAGTGAATTGCAGCTTCTTTCTAAATAAATCTGGGAAGACACAGTTCCATACACTGTAACTGGGAGAAGATCTGACTTTGCTTAGTACCAGAATGCTGCATTCATTTCATTTTGCACACTTTATAGATGGCACAGCAGAGGATCAGTCATAGTGAAAATTCTTTACAAAGCCACTTCCCATTCTCTTTTTTTCTGAGAAGCTAGGAATCTGTTGATGGATAAAAATGTTTGTATTAGAATTCACTATAATTGTTATTAAAATATTATATAACTTATACAAATTAGGCCTTTAGAAATTATTGAACAAAGCACTCCTCTGGGTCTATTCTTTAAGGCTACAAAGTATCCACAGTTTTAAGATCTTCTTGTGGTTCTTCTGGACATATGTTTGCATAAAACAGTATTACAAATTAAAAAAACCCAATCAATCAAAAGGAAGATATTAGGGAGAATTAGCTGTTCAGAAAAGTAGTATATAAAATATACTTGCAACCTCTGATTGCTGGAGTAGATAGGAGCCATCATAGAGAAGTGTCTATGTGGTCTATTATTGCTACCCAAGTCACAAATGCTTATAATCTGAAGATTTTTTTTCAGGGTGATCTGATCTTTCAAGGCTGCTTTGTCAGCCAGCCAATACAAATCTTTTACCACAAGTCTGATATGTGAGAACCTTCTAGATCACTACCAAATACACAGATTGCATCAAAGTAATCTACCCAGAAGTACCAAAACAGCTTTTACTGAGATAAAAGATTCCATGTTCTGAAATAAGCACATTTGTTTAGACCACAGGTCGACAACCTACGGCTCCCAGCCTCCTCTGCCAATTGCAGAGAGAGACAGAGACAGAGAGAGGCACTTGTGTGTGTGTGTGTAAAAAAGAGAGTGGCCTCACCCTGTTCAAAGAGCCGACAAGCTTACTGGGCGGGGCTCCTCCCTTTGCTGCCTCTCTGCAGGAAGCAGGAAACAGGAAGGGCAGGAGAGAGATAGCTAGCTCAGCTATGCTGACTCAGGAATTCTGGGAGTTGAAGGCCATGACATGAGTCATAAAAGAGCTGAGGTTGCCTACCCCTGAGCTTGTTGGAGAACAGCTTGAAGCCAGCTTGCCAGGTGAGCAGAAGATCCGAGAGAGGGGGAGAAAGAGAGAGAGGGAGAGAAAGAGAGGGAAAGAGAGAGAGAGAGAGGGAGAGGAAAGAGAGAGAGAGAGGGAGAGAAAGAAAGAGAATGGAGGAAGAGAACTGGCAGACCAAGAGCAGAAAGAGAGAGAGAGAGAGAGGGAGGGAGGGAGGGATAGAGACTCTTTTGACATCTAAAATGAAAATAACACTGCATATATCCTTTTTTACCTTTATGATACACACACACACACCTATAATAAAGGTAAAAAAGGATATATGCAGTGTTATCTTCATTTTAGATATCAAAAGGATTTTGCGGCTCCCAGTGTTTTGTTTTTGGTGGAAAAGGGTCCAAGTGGCTCTTTGAGTGTTTTGGGTTGCCTACCCCTGCCTTGTTCTAGTCAGAAGCCCAAACGAACAATTATAGATTGTACCTTAAAGACTCCAAGAAGACTTCATGTCTGCAAATACTTATGTGACATTTTCTAAACTGCCTTGTCTCCAAAAAAATACTTGGGCAGGGACATATTTAATTTTGGATCGCCAGCTTTCAAGCCATTTTCCAATCTGTTTAACTGCTTCTGGAAAACCATCATGCTTACAACTTATAGTATTGAAGAGACCACTCAGGAGCAATTAGTGGCCCGCTGTATCTCATCAGTCTAGAGCAGCGGTTCTCAACCTTGGCAACTTTAAGACTTGTGGACTTCAATTCCCAGAATTCCTCAGCCAGCAAAGCTGGCTGAGGAATTCTGGGAGTTGAAGTCCACAAGTCTTAAAGTTGCCAAGGTTGAGAACCTCTGGTCTAGAGTGAGACTACTTCAGCTGCTGAAATATCAACTATTTTATTCAGAAAGCTATTCAACTGATAATTGTTTGATTGATTCAATTGATAATTTAATTGGTAATTTGTTTCACATGCTTTTGTTTGCAGAGCCAATCTCTCTTTCCGTCTCTTCCCTTTCCCACCACACAGTAATTTAAATCTATCAGTCTAGCCACTCTATGCATCTGATGAAGTGAGCTGTAACTCATGAAAATGTGAGCCTTTTAATAAAATGTGTTAGTTGGAAAAAAATGCCACCAGGCTCCTCCTCTTTATGGATTTCACTTGGAAAGGATCTGGTCATGACAATGCAGTTACTATAATTTTACATGTGCTCAAATTAATTCCATCCCTTGGGGCAAAAATCTGTGCTATGCCTTGTGTTCTACTGATGACCACGTGAGACAACCATATAGCTGTTATGAAGACCAAACTAATTAAAGCAATCTATCAGCGGTTTTTCAGCATCAGGGAATCTGTTGCATGAGCAGTAATCCAGGAGTAACCCTAATGGGCCTACTATGTTTTGTGTTGTGATTTTCTACTAGGTCTCTACATTCAGCATTTTTGATAACCTCGCCTCTTTCTCAGTTAATTGGAAATAGCCTAACATTTTGCACTAATTATAGTGGTATAGGTTCTCCTATTTGGGGGGGGGGCTGGACTAGAAGATCTCCAAGGTCCCTTCCAGCTCTATTCTATTCTAGTGTTTTAACCTATTTCTAGATCTATATAATTTCAATAATTTAGTGCAGAAGTTACAAATGCAAGGATTAAATTCACCTGAATCCTGGCAAAGCACACTCATTACCACAGAGACCACTTGTCTCTCCACAGAGAAAGTGAGGATCTCTTTCTTTTTTCCTAATCCAATGAAATTATGTCAGTGCATTGTAGAAAGGAGTTTGCATTTAAAAGATTTTAAACATCAACTCAACTCATGTTATTTATAACTCATGTTATTTATAAAAAATAAAAAAGGGAAATGACACATACCTGATTACCATCTCGTATATAATATCTCTTTTCTATAACCTAAAACACAGTAAAAAAGAAAGGTTATTAAATGTGATCCATCCACAATACTGTGTCATGCGGGAGATAGAAATGTACTTTCTAAGAACTGGGTTTGAGCAGGATGGAGACAAGAACAATGCCCCCTTGATGACCTCCATGGAAATGGCAGAAGTTGGAGATGTATGTGGGGGAGGAGAGAAAGTAGGTGATTTACAATTATAAACAGCTGGAAACAAAGCAGAAAGTGAACACAACCACACTTTCAACTTTGCAGGACCCAAAGTTATCACCCAAGATCCAACGAAGGGTGGCCACCAGCTAAAAGAAGCATGGCTATCTAACAGGCATTCTATTAACTGGCACACAGAATTATTGCCAGCATATCAAACACTAAAATAACATGAACAGTCACACAGGGGATTAAAACGGAGAAACCATCGACCACCCCTCTCTGAAGAAAACAGAAAAATGAAAGATCTTGGCCACATACTTACAGAAACACTGACACAGCAGAGGACTACAAAAAATGAAAACACGGAAGTGCAAATTGAGCCTGCCACAGGATCAAAGGAGAGACAACAAATCAACGCGATCAATGCGGTAAATATGACAGGTAAACCATCAATGGATGCAATCACACCACACACTGACAACGTATCCGAATATGACAATGGAAGGAGTGATCCTGCAACAACTCTTAACAGCCATATTTTGCATGACAGCTGTGCTTTGCAAAACAGAGAAGATCGGCAGGTGAAGCAAGCAGGGAAAGCAGCAACAAAAATGTAACAGATAAACCGTCAACAGATGCAACCACACCACATATTGACAGCATATACAGATATAACAATGAAAAGAGAAGTCCTGCAACAACACTTAACAGCCATGCTTTGCATTACAGCTGCACTTCACGAGACAGAGAAGATCAGCAGACGGAGCAAACAGAGAGAGCAGCGGAACTAAAGCAGACACCGACCAGCGAAGCTGGATCGAGATTGACACCGGAGAGCAAGGATAGACAGCTCTATCGCGTGCCCAATGGCCAGATCATTAACATCTGGAGAGCCGTAGAGACAGGCGCCTACAGACGTTGGCTCATACTTTGAAAATGTCAGCAGTTGCTGACAAAAGCTCAGTGTAAAATAAAAGATTTTATCCCGGAGATCAACATTCTAACAGTCTCTCATAATTTATATCTGCTGACATTGTCAGAGTTCTAGCCAGGATTGAGAATAATGCTTTTATAGTCTCTGTAACGCCAACCGTTTGGCTAATGAGCGTGTTACTGGTCTATTCAGCTCCCGCCCTCCCGTGGTTAATTGCTTTGTTGTTGTTTCCGTTGCACTCATTGACAGCTGTTTGAATTTCGGCGCTCTGCTCCTCTCTTCGTGCCCCGCCCATGTGGAGCATGCATTCTGCCGCATGTAGTCATCTTGCCGCTTTTCTGACGTTTAATTTCATGGAGGCCAGGGTCATTGCTCATGATGTAACAAAGGGTGGCCGTCTGCTAAAAGTGGCATGGCTATCCAACAAGCATTCCATCAACCGGCATATTGAACTGTTACCAGCTTATTAGACATTACGCCGGCAGATATCCTTGAATAAGAAAACTGCAAGGATGAAACAGCCACAGATCCCACTGACACAAATAGGCCAACAGAGGACTGTAACTGTTCCTCAACGGACTTATTGTTACGTCAAATGACCAAGAGGAGGCAGACGGTGCTGATGAGTGACAGCAAAAGACCTGGAACCAACATGGACAGGGACGATGACAGCAAGAAAGAACAACCAGCTGAAATGACAGCATTGCATATGGAGATGTCAGAAAAGCAGCGAGATGACTGCATGCAGCAGAACGCACCCCCTGCACGGGCGGGGCACGAGAGGAGCAGAGCGCCAAAATTCAAACAGCTGTCAACGAGCGCGATGGAAACAACAGAGCAATTAACCACAGGAGGGCAGGAGCCAAATAGACCGGTAAAACGCTTGTTAGCCAAACGATTGGCGTTACAGAGTAGTAGGGATATCTTTGGCAGAAAAGAAACATCTGGTTAGAGTATAATTGTCTTTCTGCCAGATGAGATAAGATGGATAAACAATAAGGGCACAAAGTTCACTAGCATGATTCACATAAGTAACTGGCAAAAGAAAAACACTTCAAGGTAAGTAAACATTAGGAAGAATGGTCTCAAGTATTTTCAGAGTTGACTAAGAAAGAACCATTGAACTCTTCCAAGAAAAAGCCCATCTCAGAAATGGGGATACCTATTAGATTTCACAAAGAAAACTGAAACCAAATGAGGAGAAAAACTGACTAATTCTGGATAAAAGGATGAATAGTAAAAAAGGCCACAACAAGCCTGGGTTGATGGCCTTTCAAAGAAAGTGGAAAGAGACCTTTGGAAAGAAGCCCATTCAGAGCTAAAAAGAACAAAGAACAGAAGACTTCAAAGAGGCATCAGGACCTCTTGTTTAGCAGGTGGCATAAGACAGGCTTCCAGGCTGTCAGACACATATCCACAAACCTTGTGACAGGAGATTTTTGTGAAGGGGAGATGACCAAAATAGCCTTTGCCCTCAAAGTAGTTTAGGAAACCAGAACTGCATGCACCACCAAAAAATCATGAGCATGCATTGCTTTGATTGTAACAGATCTTGGCAAGAGGCCTGGAGAAATGAAACAATATAATATTTAACAATGTGTAACATCTAAATGTTCAGAGGTCCAGAAAGGAGAGTGGATGCAATGGGGAAGCAAGGAGGTATTCAAAGCAAAGATAGTACTAAGAGAACCCTCATTGAAACCACAGATGTGTTTGTGTATGTTTGTCTACCATACATATGCCCATGGGTGTGTGTGTGTGTGTGTGTGTGTGTAAGAGACAGAGGGAGAGGGCGGGAGGGGAGGGAGGGAGAGTGAGTTCTAGTTTATTCTGATCTTCTGAATCGGAGGTGGAAGGGCCTGATCAGGTTATACGGAAATTAAAAGTATGATTGGATAAAGAACCAACTCCTAGAATTATAAAAAGATAAGGTTTAAAAGTATAACAAATAAAAATCACATTCTTGTTTATGTAAGCACTTAATTTATTTTTAATCTATTTTAATAATAAAGCACTCTTTACTCAGTAAGAGCCAAAGGAATCTGTGTAGTTTGTTACCATCACTAAAAAGAATCTCCATGTTCAAGAAAAAATATTGAACAAAGTGGATCAAGAAATACAAGAAGTCCTCGACCTTCAACAGTTCACTTAGTGACCGTTCCAAGTTACAATGGCACTGAAAAAAGTGACTTATGACTGTTTTCACATTTATGGCCATGCAATATTCCTATGGTCATGTGATCAAAATTCACACACTTAGCAATTTGTCCATATTTATAACAGATGCAGTGTCCTGGGATCATATGATCACCATTTGTGACCTTCTGACAATCAAAGTCAATGGGGAAGCCAGATTCACTTAGCAACTGCATTACTAACTTAACAACTGCAGTGATTCATTTAACAACTGTGGCAAGAAAGATCATAAAATGGGGCAAATTCATTTACCAACGATCTCACTTAGCAACAAAAATTTTGAGCTCAATTGTGGACATAAATCAAGGACTACTTGTAAGGAACCCATTAAATCTGAGGGTCTGGTTTGACATCGTGGTGTGAGGGGACCTTCAAAAGGTGCAAAAGTCTCCCCGAAGGGGATCCTCGTTGATCACGGGAGGGCGGCAGCCCTTCCGTTTGATCCGAGGAAGCCCTCCAAACCGGCAGGAGAAAGACTGGCTACATTTGTGTGGCCAGTCAGAAGCTGCTGACAACCGAAGAAAATAAGCATTAACTAGCAATTTTTGAGCAACATGGATGGAACTGGGTGAGACCTATCCTCTCTTTATGACTTTAAGACTTTTTCCTGGGAAAAAGCTGCCCAAAGCAAAGAATCCTCCCCGATGAGAGAGGGAAGGGGAATTCCACTCCATCCCATCAGGAAAAGAAAAGTGGTGAATTAATTGCTTGGGGGGGGAAATAGAGAAAATTACAAGATTAATTTGGAAGCAACACACATATATAACTTTGAAATTTGGGGACTAAAAGTGCTTTTGAGATTTTTTTTTAAAATATAAGTTTGGATGTAAAAAGCTGGAAGATGGTGTCAAGGACATCTAGTGGCGAACTATAGCACTACAATTTGTTGAGCCTAAAAGAAACTTGGCTGGAAGCCCAGACTCAAATAAGACTCTTGTTGCTAAGAGGATTTGAATAAGGAAAGCTTTTGGTTACCCAAATATAACTTATTATGAGAAATTATAAGCGATAGAGACATTTTGAACACTGATGGGAATTTTTTTTAAAAAAAGTGGAAAAACAGGATATTAATTGAACAAATGGATATTAAGCGCAAATGCAATTAAGATATATTTTGGTTAGAAAAATATTTTAAAGTGACATTATTGATATTATTAGGAAAATGTAACAAAGATGTTGATATTCTATTATATATGTATTAACAACAATAAGAATTGTATTTGCCTAATGTGGGAAAATGTACTACTGGAAGTAGAGAGAAAGCATTGGATGGTGTAATACTGGGCCTAAATTGAAGAAGTTAATATGTATCACTGAATTATTAATGGACCCAGGACAACACGTTGTTTATTAAGAACTTATGATTGTAAAACTAGAAAATTAATAAAATATTTATATAAAAAAAATCTGAGGGTCTGATCTATATGCTGTGGAGATATCGCTGTTCTGCTGATGCCCGAATGTGCAAGTACTTCCTAGGCATCTTAGAAAAACAATCGATGATACAAGAACATTCAAGCAACCAAAGTATTCAAGCAATCGAATTCTGCACTAAAATGCCAGTAAAACCATGGGAACTAACAGGCTGACTGTCTAAAGGCAGCACGAAAACATAGGCTTCAGATAGCATAACAACCCTAATAACAGCTGATCTTATTAGTAATAGAACAGTGACGGCAAATCTTTTAGAGACCGAGTGCCCAAACTGCAACCCAAAACCCACTTATGCATCATCGGGTGCCGGGTGGGTGTGGCCCATTGGCTGGGTGTGACCTATTGGGTGGGCGTGGCTGCGGTGGTAACTGCAGACTGGGTGGGACTAAAAAGTTCAATCAACCAATTCCAGCTTTGCAAGATCTTTTTTTTCCTGCGAGTAGTTGAAATTGATTAATTGAACCTTATTTTTTTGTACACGGCAGCGGAGGCCTAAAGCGAAAAGGTTTTATAAAATCCACCTGAAGGCTTCGGACTGGGGTGATGGCGCACGTGCCCACAGAGAGGGCTCTGAGTGCCGCCTTTGGCACCCGTGCCATAGGTTCACCACCACTGTAATAAACTATTAAAAGCATCCTAAATGGAGATAGGTTTGCTTTTACAAAAGCTAAATAGTCCTGAGTAAAATAAACATAACAACCCTAATCTAGGTTATGTTCTTGATGTAATTCCACAGCCCTGATGTTGATAAGGTGTTAGAAAGAGATTAACAGAGAAATATAACATCTCTGAGCACAATTCATGTTGAAATACTAAAACAGAGGGCTTAACATTGATAGGCAAATTCAGGTAAAGCACAAAAGTGAGGGAACTATGCCAGAACCCTACAATTTCTTCTACTTCCTCAAGAGGCTGCTGAGGCGCATGCTCTGAGATGTTTGTGCAGGTCTTATGCAATAAAACCTGTATAATTTAGCTCACGTTTTCATTCCATAATCTATCAATTGAGAAAAATAAACGATTACCTTATCAAAAAATCTGCTGAGCTTGACAGCGTTAGAGGAACCTGCAGCCAAGTAGCGAGGACTTGTACAATCCTGAAAGACCAAAGAATTATTTTTCTCTTTAATTTCTTAATTTTCTCATTGGTAAAAAGTCCCTAAAAGTACAGAGGAGTTTTGAAGTGTGTGCTACAAGCACATGTTCAAACGAAGCTATTGTTAACAACACCAATACGTCAGGCATTTCTCATAAAATACTTTTTTCAATATGTGGAATTCACTAGAAAAAGCAGATTCAGTATTTTTTCCTTCCAAACAACACAATAAAACTTTCTTTTTGGTGGGAAGAGGCATTTGTAGAATTAATATATCTATTGCTTTCAGATAATTACAGAGAACTTATCGGACAGCTGTCATTAGATCCTGAATATTTGAATCTCTGATTTTTAAAAAAATAAATGAAACTATTTCTCTAGGTGCTGTATTAATGTAACTGAAGAATAGTGATTTTTCTAAAACTTCAATCCTGTTTTTACCTTCATTCTCAACTAACAGCTCTTCACAACTAAAATATATTTCTTCCTTAATTCTTTTTTTACACTTAGCAACTTCATTTGTGTATTCATTCCACCAAATATAAGCTGAAGCAAAATTTTATTTTCACATCCAATGGTAATAGTCTTTCTTTCAACATAAATAATCAGTGTTCTTTCCTTTGGCAGCTTAATGCATTTACCCTATTATAATCTCCCTCCCACCCCTACTATATTTATACCTGGTTTTGTAAATCATTAGTTAGTAGCAATCAATACACTTGTTGCCCCAGGGGACAGAAAATATGAACCTCCATCCCAGAATTACTTGTCAAAGACAGAGCAAGTCTATCTATATGCCATCATGTATGTGACACACTTATTTAGGCACGCATGATCAGTGATCATTCTTCACCTAGATAGCCAATGTGGTGTAGTGGTTAAGGTGTTGGGCTATGATACCAATTTTCTTAATATCACTGAAAAAAATATATTTTTGAAGAAAGAGTAGAGGTAGGTTGCTAATAGAAATTCCAGGTAACTGAATGGTAAGCACTACAGTGAGGGAAAAATTATTTGATCCCCTGCTTATTTTGTACGTTTGTCCTCTGACAAGGAAATGATAGGTCTATAATTTTAATGGTAAATTTATTTTAACAGTGAGAGACAGAATAACAACAAAAAAATCCAGAAAACACATTTCAAAGAAGTTATAAATTGATTTTCATTTTAATGAGTGAAATAGGTATTTGATCCCCTATCAATCAGCAAGATTTCTGGCTCCCAGGTGTCTTTTATACAGGTAACGAGCTGAGATTAGGGGCACTCTCTTAAAAGGAGTGCTGCTAATCCCAGCTTGTTACCTGTATAAAAGACACCTGTCCATAGAAGCAATCAACCAATCAGATTCCAAACTCTCCACCATGGCCAAGACCAAAGAGCTGTCCCAGGATAAAAGAGACAAAATTGTAGACCTACACAAGGCTGGAATGGGCTACAAGACCATCGCCAAGCAGCTTGGTAAAAAGGTGACAATACTTGGTGCGATTATTTGCAAATGGAAAAAACACAAAATAACTGTCAATCTCCCTTGATCTGCGGGCTCCATACAAGATCTCACCTCATGGATTTTCAATGATCATGAGAATGGTGAGGAATCAACCCAAGATCTGGGGGGATCTTGTCAATGATCTCAAGGCAGCAGGCAACATAGTCACCAAGAAAACAATTGGTAACACTACGCCGTGAAGGACTGAAATCCTGCAGCGCCTGCAAAGTCCCCCTGCTCAAAAAGCAGATGTACAGGCTTGTCTGAAGTTTGCCAATGAACATCTGAATGATTCAGAGGAGAACTGGGTGAAAGTGTTGTGATCAGATGAGACCAAAATCAAGCTCTTTGGCATCAATTCAACTTGCCGTGTTCGGAGGAGGAGGAATGCTGACTATGACCCCAAGAACACCATGTCCACTGTTAAACACGGAGGTGGGCACATTATGCTTTGGGGATGTTTTTCTGCTAAGGGGACAGAACAACTTCACTGCATAAAAGGGATGATGGATGGGGCCCGTCAAATCTTGAGTGGAACCTCTTTCCCTCAGCCAGGGCATTGAAAATGGATCGTGGTTGGGTATTCTAGCATGACAATAACCCACAATACATGGCCAAGGCAACAAAGAAATAGCTCAAGAAGAAGCACATTGAGGTCCTGGAGTGGCCTAGCCAATCTCCAGACTTAATCCCATAGAAAATCTGTGGAGGGAGCTGAAGGGAACTGCCAAACATCAACCTTGAAACCTTAATGACTTGGAGAGGATCTGCAAAGAGGAATGGGACAAAATCCCTGAGATGTGTGCAAACCTGGTGGCCAACTACAAGAAACGTCTGACCTCTGTGATTGCCAACAAGGGTTTTGCCACCAAGTACTAAGTCATGTTTTGTGAAGGGGTCAAATACTTATTTCACTCATTAAAATGTAAATCAATTTATAACTTTTTTGAAATGTGTTTTTCTGGATTTTTTGTTGTTATTCTGTCTCTCACTGTTAAAATGAACCTACCATTAAAATTATCATTTCCTTGTCAGTGGACAAAATCAGCAGGGGATCAAATAATTTTTTCCCTCACTGTAAAATTGAACTATGGCATTCTGTTAGCAATTTTTTTTAAAAGCCAAATTAGTTGTTGCCATTTCCCTTAAATGTATAGTTCCCAAATTTGAGTCCTCTGATGCTATTAGCTTGCTGTTTCAACACTGTATAATTAGCAATAAATTAATGTTTAATTTTTACAGTAAAATTAATATCTAGATCTATAAAAAACCTGCAATAAGTGCATTAATATCAATTTGAGTTAACATTTTTATTTTTGTGCCTGCCTTTCCTCAAAGGAGTTGAGATAGTATACTAAATAAATAAATAGCAACCTTCAATTAAAACAAAATCAACAAATAAAAGGACAGGTGTTGACAGTGAGACCTGAGATTTAAATGTGTTGAAGCAAAGTTCACTTGGATAAAGGAATCTGAGTGACTGTTATGCCTAGGCCCCCTTGCGGTCTCCAGTGTGGTGAGAGCATATTGATCTCATATATCAAATAACATTCTGTACAAACTAAATAGGGTCTTGATGAAAGTCATAGTTGTGCTATAGCCTAAGGTTTGCAAGGATTGAATTTCTCAATCCTGACATGCAGCTACAAATATGCTGGGAAAAACTGTTTCCTGACTAAAGGGAATCGAATTAGTCTATAGGACAGGGACCATGGTAATGTCCTTCTTCAGGGTTATGAAGGTCTTCTTGGCTAGTTACCTACTTTCATCCTTTCCATGTTAAAACTTGCATAATATACACACTTAGAGGAAATGGAGGAAAGATGCAGAGAAGATCGTTGGGCTCTTTTGATGTTCAAGATATCTGATGCTATGACTCCCTCTGCAGGGAACTGGAACACAAAATGGCTCAGCTTACTGTTAGTTGGAAATACAAGTCTACTAATGGAACTTTAAACCTTGTGGTGATCTCATGACAACCTATGAATGAAGAATTTATTCATTCATATTGTAAGACATAGACTCTGGATGTGTTTTGAAGAAGTTGAGACTCTGGTCATTCCAGCATTGTTGAGGTCTTCCTCGGGAAGGATTGGGGCTCAATTCAATTTAGGTATAAAAAATATGCTTGGGCTGTATTGTGCTTTGTCAAGGACAAACATATTAGAAGCCTGAATTCAAGATTAACTAGTCCAATCACTGTTAATCACCAGAAAAAATTATACTATATTTGTAGTCTGTTGTTGTTGTTGTTCAGGGACACTGAAACATCTACCCAATCATACACCAAGAAAACTTATTTGGGTGGTGTTTAGCGTATGTGTTGACCACTCCCAAATGAATTTCTAGGTTTTAGGACTTCTATTATCTGAAGGACTATTTCAGATGCACGTTTAACTTAATTATGATGTCCCATTTTCATAACTTTATGTAAGAAAAAGACTGCTTGCTATGGGTAAATTATATAAGAAGGAGCATGAACTGAGTCAATGCATAATGTTTTGGGAGGCAGGTCAGAATTGATTGTTTGGCACATGAGATACTGACCTTAGCTCAGATATCTCTTGAGCCAGTCTCTGAAATTCTCATTCCTTTTAGTCTTTAGAGAAAATTGTTGTAGCATTCTGAAAACTATTCTACTGGTGGAACTAGTTTTATGGCCTTGATTTTTAGCAGATGACTGATCTAAATTTGGAAATATTTTTGTTGCAACTTGGGAGGAAAATATAAATGTGTATGCCTTGAAATTCTATGGCATAGCCACAGGCAACTATGAAGCACCAAGTGTCTATGATGAGAGGAATTTACAGTGGATAAATAAGACATAAACTGTCCCTTATTGCTGCCTCTTTACAAAATTGGGAAGGATAAAAGAACTGGTGGGAAAGTTGCTCTGTGGAAGTTAGGTGCTCCATAACATTCTTTGATTCTGTCTGCAAGGGAAAAAATAGCTTAAAGGTACTCTTCAGCGATAATGGAAAATGAGCAGGATTTATTTCAGGAAAATGACTATTCTTTGAAATAAATTTATGGCCAACAATAGCATTAATCCAAGCTGAGAAAATAAAGGATAACACAAACCAGATTGATTTCTTCTGCACTGAAATCCTCAACTAGAAAAGCAGTTCGGCTCAAGACCTCATTGCGTTTTGTCTCTGGGATTTGATCTAATTTTGTTCCTATGACAAGCAGTGGAATCTGGTTATCAGCAAACTGCTCTCGATCATAGTCTCTGTGAAGGAAAGTGAAGATAAGATATAAACCAGTTTGTGAAATATTGCAGGTGGCACACTAGCTAACATTCACCAAATATACTCCTTGCCACAGCTATCTATCAAGATCTGCTCTTTCTTGGGGAATGCAACCCCATCTTTAAGATGCTTCACCCCAATCCCTGAGTAAAAAAGTACATATTTTACTGAAAGTGTAAGGAAACTTTATACCGGATAAAAATTTTAATCAATTTTTTAATCATTTATTACATGTTTTCACTACTTAAGAGCTCTCACATCACAATATAACAACAACCAAATCTAGGATGAATATGGCAAATGAAAAGTAAAGATAATATAAATGTACAAGGCATATTTATGATATATTTAGTGTCAGGCCTTTGAGGCAGGCTAGATCAAGAAACAGACATTGCAACGATTCCAAAAATGATACTTTATTGTGGCAGTATATAGTAACATAATTTTGAAAGCCAGTCTAAGTTTCTCTTAGTTCCATCTTATACTAAACAAAATCAAAATGTGATTATTTTAAATTTCTTTCTCATGCTTCCTTCTATCTCTTTTGATCAAGCCTCTTTTTAGTGGAATGGATTGCTCCTTCCTTCCTCCTTTGACAGCTATCTCAAATCTGCCTAAGGTTAGTTCTCTGGTCATTTACATCAAGATACAACCTGAGTTTTAGAAAGCTACATGTATATTAACTCTTTCATTGCAAAGTCAGGATCTGATAATCTCTGAAATTTAGTTACATTAGTAGAATCCAATTTTACACGGTCTCTTTAAACTACCCAGAAAAAAGCAACCATTTGCACTAGCATTTCACATGTACCTAAAGATTAAAATGGGGCAGGCCTCTACCCTTCTAACCTTTCATAAAGCATTGAAGACCTGGCTTTTCTCCCTAGCGCTAGGATGAGCTGTTTACCTACTGGAAACTTGACTTCATGCAAGATTTTTGTTTTTAAATATATTTGGTTATTATAGTTTTAATATGGCCTTTATGTTATTTTAATTTTTGATTGGGAGCCACTCAATTTGTTGTAAGATGGGAGAATATAAAAAGGTTTTAAATAAATAAGGTCAAGTTGATTTCATCTCTAGCTTTCAACATTCTATAATCTGACAATGGGATCAATGGGCTACTTTTTTTTCTGGTTAAAAAAAAAGCACTTTAGCAATATCATATTTTCATATCTCCAAATCCCCCAAAGTCTGGAAAAAAGAGCCTGTTTCTATTATTTTTTGATTATATATTTTTCATTATTAAAATGTATTCAGCACAAAGCTTTGAATCATTTTTAATGAAATAGGTCCTCAGTTTATTTAGGAGATAAATTCTGACTAGCTGTGAACATTAGCCGAAATTAATGTATTTTTCCCAAAGGTGTTTTTCAAAAGGCAACTGGACTTTATTTTTTCCTTGAAGATGTTTTACTTTTCATCCAAGAAGCTTCTTCAGATCTGACTAAACGGTGGGGAATTGAAAAGCACCTTTGGGACAACCATGATCTGGAAGATTGAGAATATCCATAAACTGCATTTTTTCCTATTCTACTTCATAAAGTTGAGTATATTTAGATGTATTTTTGCTATTAAAACTGTGGGCCACTGCTACTCATTATGTATGAAACATATACTATGACTTTTACATATCTTTTAAGGACACATTTCTAAAGAGAATATTGCTAGAGGAGATGGACCTTCTTTTTACTGACAGAAAATAGCCTACCCATTTTTCCCCATTTTCAAAATCTTACAACATGTCATCCCTCCATCTAATTCACATGGTTATCATAATGATAGTGGACAGCTGTATATTCTGCCTACTTACCCATTTGTCACCAGGACACTAGATGGAATCACATCTTTGTTAAGAGCTTCCAAAGACCATCGATACAAGTTTTGGGAGGATTTTTTGTTGGTTAAATCATGCACTAAAATTATTCCTAGGTAAGGAAAAGATTTTTATTTTTTCCTAAAATTACCAAAAGCACATAGAAAGATATAGCAATTATAAAAACAAAGCCAGGCCTCCAAGGAGCACAAAAATGAGAGTATTATTCAGTCTCTCATTAAGGACAGAATCAGAATGAAAGCAAACCACGTTTAGAAGTAAAGTATTGCAGAAGATGATTAGAAAAACCAGTTTTGCCTAACAAACAAGGTAATAAAATCAATTATGATGCATTATGAAGCAATCAGGCATCATGAAGCAATCAGCTAGGGCAAGGGAATTTGATGGATTATGTAAGGAAAGAGTACTGAGGCTTCAGCTGGAAGGATTTTGGTCTAGATATGATAGCACTTTATAATGAACCATAGAATTGAATTGCTGTAATGTAAATATTTTCAGTTCCTTGATTGCTCTTCCCTAACTTTCTTGAACTGAAGGGACTATAAGCATGTTCCCAATTTTAATAAGACCTTGCCCCCAATGTTATTCTTGCACAGTACTAATTTATGATCCTGTTCCCTGGTTATTTTTTTGTTTTGGTTTATACCCTGATCTTATGTTCCCACAAAAAAATGAAATGTTCTAACATCCTGGAAAAATTCCCATTTCTAATTCCCAATCACTTCTAACCAAATGCTATTGGCTGTAGAATTACTAGATGCTGTGCATGGATTCAGTCCTTTTTCAGATGAGGATGGAACTATTTCAGCAATAAAAGTTATGTAAAACTGAATAATAAAAATTATGTAGGACTTATTCTAGAATATTATAAAAATGAATAATAGTTTAAAAAACTTTGTTAAAAATAATCAAAGAAACAATAGCAACAATTATTTTTCCTTCCCCATCTTTTGTTTTGTTTGTTTTAGTTTAAGTGTGGGGGAAGGCTTTTCTTACTTCTACTTTTATAATCCTCAATAACAGAAATTCTCAAAGTGATGTATTACAGTTAAAGCATTCAAAAAAGTTAGCTATGTAAATTGATGTAAAAATCTACACAGACAACAGTACAACATACAAGCAAAAATCACAATTCAAAGTAAAGTAAAAATTTACAATAACATGGCTGGACCAAAGAATTTTACCACTGCTGGAATTTTACTAAATGTGGGATCTAACTTACAACAGAGGTCAGCAATTTATTTTCAAAGAAATAAAAGATACAGAAATAAGAGGAACAAAGAAAGACAAAGGAGAGGGAAAAAAATAAAGAACAATCTTTTCTAAATTTAATTTAAGTGGCAACAATACATCTAGTTGGAAATTCCAGGTAAAAAGAACATACTGCATCACTGAAGACAGGACCCAACAAATATATCTGGATGAATTTCAGTTGAAAAGAAGATATCAGAGAAACCAGAGGCTAATTTACAAAGTAAAAAACAATTTGAAGGAACACTGCAGATAATAGGAAACAGAATTTCTTGCAGGGGAGGGCAAATGCCATTGATAAGTGTAGCAGAACCAATACTGATTTTCCCATTGCCAGAGGCCCAAGCTAATGCTGATTTGGTAGACTAACCCATATGAAACCCAGACTAAAATGGGTCAGTGAATTTATTTAACTGATAAACAATTAAGAAGCTGGAAGAGAGTAACTAACTCAATAATCTCAGATGAAAAAGAATGAATGAAAACCAATCAAGAAACCTTTAGAAAGAGAGAGAGAAAAAAGATAGGTATAATTTGGGGTGCCTGAAAAAATCCTGCCATAAGAGGAATTGATCGGCATACTTAAAAGTGACGGAAAAAAGTCATTTTGTCAAAAATGACAAAAGAAAGGAAAAGGGCAAGTAATACCGGGAGTAATACAAGCAAGTAATGCTACTATTTTAGTTAGAGTTGCTTCAGTAACTAGAAAAAATGAAAAGCTAGAGGAGAAACAATTTGCAGCATCAGAAGTACCACATAAGCCATGCATACAGATGGATAACTGGAGCATCTTGATTTTAGACAAAAAAGTTCTCAAATATAAATAGCAACCCACCGGCAGAGATGACAATAAAAAGACCTCAACATAGCAAAAAAGTGGACTTGGCTTGAACTGCAATTAGATTCTGGTAATTTTGCTTGGCTATTTCCAAAAATATAAAAAATCAGTAAGAGCAGATGGCCCTACTCTATACTTCTATTTGAGTTTATGTATGTAACTTGGAATTTTCTGTAAATCTAGCCACGGATAAAAGCTCTTTTCAAAGGTTGAAACTAAGAACCAATGCAGACATAGAATGGATCAAACCAATAACAAATTTGAAAACATGCCTTGAAGAGAAATATTTACAATAAAGTTATTAGATTAAATAAAGCATAAAATGCAAGCTGCAAATCCTTAGCCCAAATTAAATCAAGGATGTTACCATGGGAATGAACAAGGGGGAATCTCTAATATCTTTAGATCAAAATAAATTAACAGTGATTGAACAACCTTACCAAGTTAGAGGAAATATCAAAAACAGGGAAATCTTCAGGCAATAATAAGGTACAGACAATGCTCAATTACTGACTGCAATTGGGAATGGCAACTGATGAGAAGCAATGTGGTTGTAAAGGCAAACATCACATGACTACACCTGACATATCGATTCCAGTTGACATTAAGTGAATGACTATTGTTCAGTGCAAAGTCACAAGATTGCAATTTGTGACTTCCAGCCAGCATCCCACTCACTCTGCTTGTTGGAAGCTGCCTGTGAAGGTTGCAAATGATCACGATTGTGGAACACTGTCATAAATGTGTGCCAGTTGCCATACATCTGAATCATGATCACATGACCACAAAAATATTGTGATAGCCACAAGTTTGAAGACTGGTCATAAATCTTTTTCAGCACTGTCATAATTTTGAAGTTGCTGAATAAGCAGTTGGTAAGCAAGGAATATCTTCTCCATTTTTATATAGATATTATATAAGCTATTTTATATTTTCAAAGGTGTTTTTATTAAATAATCTGACTAGTGAAGCAGAAATGTATCATTTATAGTCTCTGAAAGCTTTGAAAGTAGCTTATGGAGCCCTTAAATATTTTTTCCAAATTATAATTTAATGTGATAAAAATGGGACATTCCTAATTTCATGGAAAATAAACAAACCAACTACATTAACTGAAACTGAATTTAAATTAAACTACATTTAGTTTTTATTTGTTCCAGCAGTTTCTGAACTATAGTCATTCAAATGAAAATTGTGCACCAATGCAATCAAAGTCCCAACCTAATCAGATTGATTAGATACAAGAACTAATTGCACTATGCTACACTCTACTATTCTGTAAAGCATGCTGGCCAATGTAATTCAAGGCTGGCAGAAAGGAAGGAAGGACACTGAGCCAAAAAAATCAATCCATGATTAGTATACATTAGGCATCACTTGTGCAGAAAAGCAAACTAAAAAAATAATAGTGATAATTGGTGATAATAGTGATAATTAATGGGTGGTATTCGGTAACAATTCACATGCTAGTCCTAATACAAATTTAGAAAAGAATATTTTTAGCTCCAAGTATACATAGCTAAGGATTAAATCAGGTATCTAATAGGAATAGTTGGTATTCTACTTTGAAACTAGTATTGGCTATTAATTATTTAATAATCTCATGAATATAAATAAAGAATGGCTCAGAAACCCTTAAAGTACATATATATGGCAATGATATAGATACATAATATATACAAGTCCATAAATTGCCTCCAGGTGAGATGGATGGCATGTAAGTTGCTAACTAGAATGTACTGGTTTTCAAATAAACATTATGAATAATAAATATACTGAGAAACCTGTTCAGGAAAAAAGTTAAACAAATTTGTCAACACATGCAAATATATGTTGTATCCAAGAAAGTAAAGTGTTTGAAACTGAAATTCAGCCAATAACTGTTCTTTAATATAAAATTCTTGTTTGCAATATTTAGGGAACATAGTCTACATAAATCAAAGCAATGTAACAGATTTTAAAAGTGCATCCATTACCATTTACTGAATTGTAGAACATAAGACGTGTGCTTTTCACACTACTGGCACTGCCTACAGAACCACCAACATCCCATAATTCGATGAAATAGATCTTTTCTTCTGGAGTTCCTTCTTTGTAGTCATGAATCTGGTAACAAGAAACCACATAGCATAAATAAATTTAAAACAACAGTAAATTAAAACCAGTAAAGGTGGGTTAAGGAGAGAATTAGTTAGGTTCAGAATGAGTTTCTAAGAATGCAGCTTCTTTGGCCCATGCATGTTATACAGTAGGTTTTTTTTTTTTTCAAATGGTAATGAAAGTAACAAGGTGAAATATTCCTTAATGGAAAAAAACAGAAAATAAGTATTTTCCTGAAGATACTTGCTGTATTATATGGTGGCGCAGTGGTTAGAATGCAGTACTGCAGGCTACTTCTGCTCACTGCCGGCTGCCAGCAGTTCGAGTGTCACCGGCTCAAGGTTGACTCAGCCTTCCATCCTTCCGAGGTTGGCAAAATGAGGACTCAGATTGTTGGGGGCAATACACTGACTCTGTAAACCGCTTAAAGCGGGGTATAAAGCACTGGGAAGCGATATATACATCTAAGTGCTATTGCTATTGCTACTTGTTCTTATGAAAAAATCCAAACATGATTTTTATGGAGAATCAATTATCTGAATTTAGCTTTTATGGGGAGAGAGAATGTATACAAAATATCTGACACATCTATCAATATACGAATGTATGTATACACAAAACATACACATAGACATATAGGCTACACAAATCATTTGGAAGAATCATTTAACTGTGGCAGCCCCTTTATTGCCAATTTTGGTGAAAAAATTTAATTACATGAATAAACAGATAAAGATGATCTGCAGGAATCCTTCACTAATTCTTCAGGCGGATGTAACCATTATGACATCTGTTAAGAGTCACAGTCTGCTCAAATACACCCCAAATAGTTCACACAGATGTAATTCATTTTTGCATGCATGTTTATACTACAGATAAATTAAAAATACCATGTCAAAGTATAATAAGCAAACAAAGAATACACTATAAAAAATCTGCACTACAGAACAATTTCATATTTATTCTTTCCTGCTCCTTCTGTCTCCAGAACTCTACTCAACCATTCACTTTGCGAGTTGTCTGTTTTCTGGTTAGAGAATGCTTCAAAAGGAAGCTTGGTTAGTAGTTATTCATTATTTGCCCCTAAAAAAAATTCTGCATTCAGAAGCATTTCTTGAAATAAATATGGTTATATATGTCTTGGTAGCCAATTGGTATAAAACATCATATTTCAAAGAATTACGTGACCACTATACTCTCTATAAGAATTATAATGAGGATCACAGAATCAGAATATATTTGCTAAATCCTGGAAAGATCATTTTTCCTATTCTTTGGCCAATATTTTTTACTTTCATTCAATTCCTATACCACTCACTTTATATATAGTACATCTATTTTACTAATTTTCATTGCATATTTTTGCAAAAATACAGAAAAAAACGGTCATGTGTCTGACTAATGAAACACTTCAAAGAACTTGCAGGCATTTTTTAACCTAAAAAGCCTTTATTAGTGTAAAGGAGTGTCAGCACGGCATGGAAAATGCCAAGATCTGAATTTCCCTTCCTTTGCACATAACATTCCAGGCATTTCCCCTCCCCTATTTTGGGGTCATGATTCACATCTTCCAATTAACCTGGAGGGCAAAGCTACACTTCGTTCCCTTCCTCATGCTTTTCTCTCCTCTCTCATTCTCATCTGAATTAAATCTAAAAGTACCAGACAGTTCTGCATATTTTGTCAAAGCAAGAATATTCAATATTAGCAGCGTTGACAAAAACAGAATATCAGTTATAGAAAACATCTGCAAGTCTATGAATATTTAAATGCCTCCTTTAAGCCACCATATTTTAAGCTTAAACTTGCCTGGGATAAACATATGTCCGTCATCCAACAAAAATTAGAAATTAAAATTAATAAATAAATTTAAAAAGAAAAAAACCCTCAAGGGGTAGACTCTATGGACCATTACATCTTTTTCTGTGGTCCATTTTTTGTTTTTATATTTCTGTACTTCTTTCCTTCTCATCTCTGGCCCTGTTAGAGTTATCAATAATGGGTAGTACCCATCAACTACGAAACACTCTTACATTCCAGTTATGCTTTACCTCTGCAGTTAAATTTCAATAATTTTCTGTATGTAAAATATACTATTTCAAAGACAATATCACAAATTATCAGTATTATGTTTATACTTCCACATACACGGACATCAACAGAACAGCCCACAGTCCAGGATGGATTTCCCAGCATCTGATTGTGACATAAGAGGTGAACAAGTGATGATTTTCCCACACCTGTAACAAAGTAATAAAATAAACTTTCAAAAGTAACTAACATTTCTGCTGTCTTTTTAGTTTTGCTATATAACTGAAATTAAATAGGAACAAATCATCCTAGATAGCTCTTATAGGGTCTCCTGCTTGAGCAGGGGGTTGGACTAGAACAGGGGTTTCCAACCCCCAGTCCGTGGACCAGTACCGGTCCGTGGCATGCCAGCAACCGGTCCACAGGAACAACCAAAGCCCCATCCGTGGGATGCAGGCAACACACAAAACCACACACTCTCCGGTCCGCAGAAAAATCTTTCTCCACGGAACCGGTCCCTGGTGCCCAAAAGGTTGGGGACCTCTGGACTAAAAGACTTCCAAGGTCCCTTCCAACTCTGCTATTCTATGTAACAAGTCCAAAAATTAGATTCAGCATTGTACAAGTTGCATTTTCCAGAAAATGATACAATAGATTGTGTTATATCTTCAAATTATTGGAATCTGATCTTCCATGTCTGACATATTTATTAATAGCATTAGAGGAGTATGTCAAAACTGATAGCAGCCTGTAGGTAACTTGTCTTATCTTTAATAAATCTAAATAAAGTTGGTTATTAAACCCTGGACAAATATCACAAAACCCAAGATCTCTGGTGGATTATGCTAGTAAGAGGACGCAGTGGCACAGTGGCTTATGATGCTGGAATTGCTGTCCAGAAATTTGTACTTTGGCAGTTCAAGCCCGGCTCCATAAGTCCGAGTGAATTCTCAACACTCGATCCCTAGCTCCTGCCCATTCAGCAGTTCAAAATCATGCAGTATTGTGACTAGCTACATGGGTACCACTCCAATGGGAAAAACCTAGCTGTGTTCATGTATGCAGAGAACAGAAACCAGCACTGGACCTGGCCAGACATGAGGCATCATGACACAAGGTGAGGCGAGGCGAGGCGAGGCAAGAGCAGCAGAGGAGTCTGGAAGACCAGTAACCTGACTGCCATTGGTTAATTGGTGTAAAGCTAGTTCATCCCCTGCAGTCCACCAAACAGTCCACCCCTTGCAAGCGTCAAACAGAATGAACTAGCAATCTAGGCTGTCAGAACTAAATAAATTAAATAAACTGCTAAGTAAAAAAAAAAAGTCTCTGATTGTACTCTATTCTCTTTTGTTGTTGTGTTTCTTACAGATTGATTTGACTTAATATTTAAAACCAGAGAGTTGCTTGGAGGCGGAAGCCATATAAATTTAATATGTTATTAAATATATCATAGTACTCTAGCAGTTCCTGCAGTGAGTAAGAGGCTGGATTGATTATTTCTGTTATCCCTTCCAACTCTGGGATTCTATATTCTTGGTAGCTTTAATAGGGATGAAAAAGACTAAATGAAATTTAATAGAGACAAATGCAAAATTTTGTACCGCATTCAAGTATCAAATACACAGGCGTAGAATGACATATGAAACAAATTACAGTAAGATATCATAAATTTTATTTTGCTGAATGAATTCAAGTGAAGGCTAAATAGCCATCCATTGGAAATGCTTTCATCTGAATTCTTGTACTGAGCAAGAGAATGGATTCAGTAGTAGAAATGGCTCTTTCCAATTCTGAGATTCTATTGCCCCCAGCAGATATATTTTGAAATATCTTAATAGTTCTCTCCATCCCAAAACTGGGGTGGGGGGGGGAGAGTACAAGAATACTTTTAATTAAATTATACGTCCCTAAAGGTGACTCTAAGAGGCTAACCAGTCATTAAAACACCAATAAAAATATTTGAACTTTAAAATAATGGTCACATTATATTTTATTTAAAATTGACAAAGATAGGGAGGGAGCACAATGCACACGGGAAGGAGGTGGGGTCTTATCTTAGTCCATTAACCTACTGCAGAATAACGCGCAAGAATACCAACAGTTATTGCAAACACACTATAAGCAAATATGTTTGTATGAAGAGATAATGTTTCTGCAACTGTGCCTCTGTAGTATGTTATTAAGAGAAAAAAACAGGTTAACTAAGTGCGTTCGTAGAAATTTTTTTGAAACTCTTGTACCATCGAGCGCTGTGGCCTCATTTACATACACAGCAGATCATAGATCTAAAACTCTTGATTGGACCAAACCAAGAATATTGGTGTGTTATATAACCACACTTTCTAAAAATCAGGAAAAAAATAGCTGTATTGTCTGTTACACTTTATTTGGTTTTCTAAAAATCACATTTTAAGCAGGAAAGTAATTCCAAATAACAGCCAATCTGCCCCTCTCCACTAAAGCGGCAGAGTCTGGCTCTTTTTCGTGGAGGACGGCTGCGGTCGCTCCTCACGCCCTCACCCACTCACCTGAATCACCCAACACAAGCACCTTCACCCTTTCTAAGGCAGCCATTTTTTTTTCTTCAGGGGCAATTGCCAGAAGCAGCTACCGACGTAGGCCAACTCTCCACTTTCATTCTTCCTAAAAGAGACCAATCACAGATCGATTCCTACACGCGTATCTTCTATTGGCCGATCGTACACTCTTTTCATTTCAATTGGCCCCAAGAGCTGCGGGGGAGGGAGGAGGGAAACTTACTGAGGTAGGAAGTAGAACACTGTGTGTCGCAGAGTATTGACGTTTCAAGACGGCCAGACTTTCGTTTGCAGCCGCCTTGAAGCAAACTTGTTTGTGAGGTTAGTGGCAACGTGTTCGGGAGCTTCGCATGTCTGTCAGACTCGTTGGGTGAGACAGTCTTGAATTGCGGAGGCGATTGTGAGTGAAAGGAAGCGTCGTCCCTCCTGTCTCGTTTCACTGAGGTATTAGGCTTCGGATTGAATCCTCCTCCTTGTAACACGGTCGTAATAGCCCGCTTTCTGCAGGTTGAAATGTAGTATGCCAGGGAGAAGGGTTCCATTGTGTAGTTTCTTTCTGTTGGCAGCATCGGGAGTCGAGTGCGTCTGCCATAGCAGAAACACGGATTATTCCGTTATATTGATCATTGACTGAATAAATTTACTGGGTGGTCATTCATCCACTTAACACAAGCAAAGGAAAAGGTCTGACTTTTTCTTTGGAAAGAAGTGTATAAGTGGTTGAAGCAAAATATTTCCACATCTTATAATCTTGCAATCTTTCAAAACCATGTTTTTCCTCCTAGGCTGCGCTCAAAAGTCCAAGTGAATTTTGTTGAAGAAAGATGCTTAGTGCAATGGCTCAGGTTACCGGATGTGGGCTACAAAAAGCTGTCTAGAGGCCATCAGGAAGTTTGCAGCTCACATTAGGTAGACAGAGCAATAGTCCACATGTAATGCAATTTTTCATCTATTGGTCCTCTTAATGAAAGATTAAGTGCCTTAAATATTATATGAATTGATAGTCTTGACAGACTTAAATGCTATATGAATTGATAGTCTTTACAAACTGGAAGACAGGAATACAATTTTTTTCTGCATGTATAAGAACAGTGAAGAAGGCAAGAAGATTAGAAGTAATGTTATATATGCAGTTTTCTAATTTTGTTATTTATTATGCTTGTAGTTAACTATAGTGGATATTGGATTTGACACTGCTAAGTGGAAGAAAACAAGAATTTGAATATAATATTTCTTTTGCAAGATAACAGCTATGACAGATCCAGACATTCTTACCGAGGTCCCAGCTTCTCTGAAACGCCTTGCTAAGTATGTAGTGCGTGGTTTTTATGGTACTGAACATGCTTTGGCCCTGGACATTCTAATTCGGAATCCATGTGTAAAGGAAGAAGACATGTTGGAGCTTCTGAAGTTTGATAGGAAGCAGCTGCGAGCAATTCTCAACACTCTTAAAGGTGACAAATTTATCAAATGCAGGATGAGAGTGGAGACAGCTGCAGATGGAAAGACCACCAGGCACAATTTCTACTTTATTAATTATCGTCTATTGGTCAATGTGGTGAAGTATAAGTTGGATCACATGAGAAGGAGAATTGAGACAGATGAAAGAGACTCCACCAACCGAGCCTCTTTCAGGTGTCCTATTTGTTCCAGTACCTTCACAGATTTAGAAGCAAATCAGTTGTTTGAACCTAATACAGGTAAGATACAATAATTCCTCAAAGGGCTGAAATATTAATTTGCCATCTTATCTGGGAGAGTTGATTTGGGAATAGAAAAAGCCTACATACTGTGTTGTTCCAAGTGATTTTTGTTTAAAGGGCTGCAGAGTTTTTAGGAATGAAAATAATGGAAGTGTATTTATAATATAAATATTGGGAAAATATTAAAAGAGACATATTTCAGAAGCATATAACCAAGACATGGTCACAATGCATATCATAGGCTTAGTAAACATTGAGAACTGCACCAAAGAAAATGCATCTGGGAGAGAATGCTTCATTAGGATAGTCTAGTTGCAATCTTGCCCAAACATGTAAATGTACTGTTATATAAGAGAAGTTTATTTATTTATCAGACTTATTCAGTTGCAAAATTGGAAAGATTCAAAACAGCTTATATTAAAAACTCAGGAAAACAATCAGAGTGCAAAAGGTATAAAAACTAAATGATGTAATGGGGAACTATATAAAAATTAATTTTGGTTTGTTCCAGTGAAAATGCTTGATTGGAACCCAAAGGACCTTAGCCCTAATGGAGTGATGGCGAATCTTTTAGAGACTGAGTGCCCAAACTGCAACCCAAAACCCACTTATGCATCGTCAAGTGCCGGCTGGGTGTGGCCAATTGGGTGGGCGTCGTGGTGGTAACGGCAGACTGGGTGGGACTAAAAAGTTCAATCAATCAATTCCAACTTTTCAAGATCTTTTTTTTTTCCTGTGAGAAGCTGAAATTGATTGATTGACTTTTTTTTTTTTTTTGCACATGGTGGCGGAGGCCTAAAGTGAAAAGGTTTTATAAAACCCAGCTGAAGGCCTAGGACTGGGGCAACGGCGCACGTGCCCAGAGAGGGCTCTGAGTGCCGCCTCTGGCACCAGTGCCATAGGTTCGCTACCACTGCCCTAGTGTTTTTAAAATAGAGTAGCGCCAAATGGATCTTTGTAGGAATGATGTACCAGAGGGCAGAAAAAGCATGCCTCTGGGATCCTGCAAAACTGCATTTTTTGTCTGTAAAAGCTTTCTTGCCACAGGCCATATGTCAGAGCATGTTGAGGACTGCCTGATAACGGATAATAACTGGACCACACCATAACCAGAGCTGATATCCTCTCCACCACTATATCCTTTGCACTTCATTCTCTGTCATGTTCACACCGGACTTCTATACATTTTTTTCTCTCCTATGTGTATACATTCATGAATGTGGAGGCCTGGCATAAGGGAGAAAACAACAGCCCTGCTCACCCAGACTGCCTATTTTGTCCAGTATTTTGTGGGACTTCAGCCAACAAATTGCTAACAGGAAGCTCAGTAGCCTAGCCAGGAGAACAGTGGCAGCTGCTATTGAAGGAACATTGTTTCTAATTCAGAAGATAAAACAGCTTTCAAGTCAGTTAGCCACTCGCTGACTGATCCTCCATGAATTTATCTTGTCTTTTAAAACCATAAATTGGTGGAGTCATTAGTTATTATTAAATTAACTATTACCTTAAATGGCAGGTAAATACTTTTTGTCTTCTCTGTGTTTTATTGTCTCCCTAAATAAAATGTATCTTTTCCATGATAATTTTATTCTGCACAACTCATCAAATTAACAATTAGCATTTTATATTTCCTAATTTTTACTGATTTATTTTCTGTATAGGAATATTTCGCTGCACATTTTGTGAGACTGAAGTGGAAGAAGATGAATCTGCAATGCCTAAAAAGGATGCAAGGACTCTTGTAGCACGATTTAATGAACAAATAGAACCTATTTATGCATTGCTTCGTGAGACTGAGGATGTTAATTTAGCTTATGAATTACTTGAGCCTGAGCCTATGGAGATTCTTGCACTGAAGCAGAGGTGGGCCAGAGTATTAATTTGTCTGAACTTGATAGTCAAGTGTTGACAGTCTTCTCAAATTCTGTTTCTACCAATATATGTCATTGGATATGGACATTTATGATTTATCTAGGTGTCTACAGATGATAGCTGTATAATCCTAGTATACTATATTGCCAGCATAAATATCTGAGAAATTTTAATAAATTGGGTGTAATCATATGCACTCACAGAAAAAAACTATATTTAACTGAGCTGGACTTCTAGCTAATGCCTGGAATTATACCTTTAGACTTTATTTAAGATATTTCTCTAATCCAAACATGTCTGTTTATGATTGTATGCAGCAAAGAACGAGCTGTTGGTGCATTGGGAAATAGTTTACCAAGTGGGCAGCACAGAGAAGCCTGGACAACAAAGGGTCCTTCTTATGGGGACATGTACACTCAGAATGTAATTATTAACATGGAAGATCAAGAAGACACACATCAGCCAGCAAATGAAGGAAAGCTACCCAGAGAGAGACCAGTCTGGCTGCGGGAAAGCACAGTGCAAGGTGCTTATGATCCTAATGAAGTCACCGAAGGTAAGAAAGGCATAAAAGGAAAAACATTGTAAAATCCAAAAGGGCATAAATAGAGAAGCATGTACATTACAAGTACTCAATTTCTGATGGCAAATGGAACTGGAATTTTCATCACTAAGCAATGTGGTTATAAAGTATGACCACATCGTTTAGTGAGGATAATTCATGCAGTCCCGGTTGCCATCGTTAATTGAATCCCATCGCCATTAGACGAGGTAACTTCCTGCTTGGCTTCCTACAACCAAGGTCAGTGGGGAAACCAGCAGGAAATAGCAAAACCCAGGCTCACAGACAGTTAAGTGGTTGCTACTGGATGAGGGAGGGAGGGACGGGGGGCAAGAGATGCTGCACAGATTGGGAAAGTGCACAAGGAAGAAAGGGAGTGCACGAGCGGCACCATGCTGGGATGGTACATAGGAAGTGCCATCTGGATCATGGAGAGGGCAAGATCTGAGAAGAACACTTTCAGCACCTAAGCCTAACAATGGATTGTGTAGGAAAAACTGACTTAACCATAAACCCAGAAGCGTGCCATCTAGGATATAGGAAAAGCTGATATTTGGGGATCATGGTTGGTAAGGGGGAGATAAAGCCTGAACAGGGAAAGGTGGAAATGCTGAAACAGGTAGAAGTCCCCAAAACAAAGAGATTCACTCTTTCCTGGGTTTGGTGGGGCATTACCAAAGATTTATCCCTCATTTCTCTATTATAGCTCAACCCCTAACAGACCTAATGAGAAAAACAGAACCCTCCAAAGTACAATGGTCTACAGAATGCCAGGAAGCATTAGAGAAAATAAAAGATGCATTGTTTGTCATTAACCAATATATAATTTTGCTTATATACACTTATATTTACATAAACTCATGTTTCCATATACTCACTATCACCTCAATATTAATAGGCAGAACTTAAATTTAAAATATTGTACTATTAATATTTTTTCTATTATTCCACTTCTGTTTTTGTTATCATGTTATTTGCACTCAGTGCATTGTAGTAACTAACCCTAATCCTTATTGATGTTTTAAATTTTAGGCATTTTTTAAATCCAATCCAATCTTTATTAAGGTCATAGTCCAACATAAGATTGTGGGATAATGTCACCAAAAAGAAACATAAGGGAACTAAAAAGTGAAAATCTAAAATGAATTATAAAAATCTAGAAGATGTAAATGCTAGATAAATTAAAAATATATTCTAAATATATATATAGAATCTAAAAAGAAGGGGTGGTAACGTTAGAAAGGTATATGGGAGCATTAGTTTTTGGACTTTGTCAAGATATAAAGCATCTTAATATGACTTATTAGGTGCACACTGAATCTACTTTACAATGCTGAGTCCCAACTACAAACCACACATCGTTATCCAAGAAATTTAATTGCATAGTACCTAGCAACATTGTCTGTTGTGGCAGGACCAGCATCTGAATACTGTCATGTCCAAAATGAATATAATTATTTAAATACTTTCTTGCAGGTGGTCAAGACATAAACATGTCCCATGAAGGTGAAGAGGGACAGGGAGCCCAAGATAACAATGAAGAGGTAATGCGTGCTCTGCTCATCCATGAAAAGAAAACCACCTCTGCCTCTACGGCTGCTATGGGAGGAATTGCTCCTTTATCTGCCACAAATGCCAGTGATTCTGAGAGTGAGACCAGTGAATCGGATGAGGACTCCCTTCCTTGTGCAGCCCCTGCTCCCACAACACTCTGTGGGCTGACAGATGACAATGACGAGGATGAGTTTGAGGTAGTGACCGAAGACCCCATTGTTATGGTAGCGGGACATCCATTTTCTTACAGCCAAGTAAACCAGCGGCCGGAGCTTGTGACACAGATGACTCTGGAGGAGAAAGAGCAATATATAGCTATGGGCCAACGTATGTTTGAGGATATGTTTGATTAACTACTTCTGCTTAAGTAGCAGTGATAGATGATCTTCAACTGAAAATTCTGAAAAGCAAAAGATTGAATTAGAACCAAACAGAGGAGTCAAAGATCAGAACAAAGGGAGGGAGCTGCCGCAGATGCAAGAAGGTGTGAGAAACCTGCAGTCAATCCAGCTATGTTCTCTCTCACATATTTGCATATGTGCACACACTGCTGTGTTTAGTCTACAAGTTTTCCATTGCATTATACTTGTGGGTTTTGTTGATTTTTTTTTGCCCGGAAAATATGAATGCTCTTTTGATGGCTTATTTTTCTTCCTTGAAAAAAAGGATTGTACTATAGAAGGCATTATATTTAGTTTACTCTGAAAATAACTTCCTGTATCATATAGTTGAAAGAACTTACTGCCTTGCAAGCATGGTGACTATATGGGCTTCTTATTTCCAATGGTCTGACAAGCTAAATGCTTGCCTGCCATATATCTTTGGCGAGGGTGGGCAGAAAGAGAACCTGTGGTGAAGAGAGTATAAATACAATCATGTTAAATCAGTGAGTGTTGGTGACTACAGTGTACATTTTTTTTTCTGCAGAAGGCATTCTGAAGATAGGAGTTATTGTTAAAGGACGAAAAAAAAAACCCATAATCCAGACACTACAATGTTTTCAAATTTATCTGCCTTTTAAAAAATGCATATTAGTGAGTGACTCTTCTTTGCTAACTTAATAGATTTAAAAAAATATTTAACACTTTCATCTGCAGTGCTAAAATTTCCAAGGAGGTGACTTTGTTAAAATATAACGTGAATCTAATTTTCTTATCTTTTGCAGAAGTGGTGTTATACATCCCATTTTTGGATAGTTAGCCTGATTGAATCAAGCCTCACAGTTTCCAGAAAGACTAGTCTAAAAATGTGGACTGTGTGTCTTTACACATTACATAATCCATGAGGACAAGGCAAAAATAAAAAAGTTGCCTCTTAACAAACAAGAATAATGTGGAAAGCAAAATGTTGCCTTTGATCAAACTTGGACTCTGTCCAGTAAAATATATGTGTCATGACTAGGAACTACTATCCAAATAAATTGTGGGGAAAGCAATATATTGTTTTAATAGAAATCTAAATAGCTTTAGTATTTTTTAAAAAAATTATGCAGACTTTAGATGCCACTATAGAGCATGACAGAGTCTATTTTAATATTTCAGTGGTACCTTCATAAATTCAATTTTGTGATATTTAACTTTCTAAAACACATTTTTTAAAAAAAATCATTGTGCATTTCTTCTTCGGAATAGTGGTAGACTATAGATAAAATAATTGTATTTCAAAGCTCCAGCATTTATTGCATATTCCATTTTTATATATCAGTATTGTACAAGTTAACAGGCTTGCAAATTGAAAAGCTAATGACCATGTGTGTTGCCTTTTCTAACTTTCAGATACTTTGATAGAGTCAAATTTTGTTTTACTTTAAAATAAAAATAAAATAATGTAATGCTTCCATTAAGGACTATTGTTTTTAGATTACAAATAAGCATTTTAAACAGCTGGTTTTATTTTACTTTAATAATGAATATTAATTGAAGAATTACTGAAATATATGCAGCTGTTCCCACAAAATGCTTGCCTGTCCATCACAATGTCTTTGTCCTGTGTATTTGTATTTCATATTAAGGATGTACGAATGAGTAGATCAAAAGTACTTCTTGCATTCAAATACCATTGTGAATGCAGATCTTCTGGAGAATTTGACCAGGATGTATTGTATTGACAGTTAAAAGCAGCCTTCCAACTTGGTTGGTCCCTCCTCTTTCAAATGGAAGAAAGAAATACATAATTCAAGGGAAGGTTGCTCACCACTAAATAGCATTGCATCAGAATTAAATCATTGTGATACAAATAGTAACAAACCTGAAGTCTAATTCTTTTAATGGTAAAGTATATTTAATAGTGAACATGCTGTAGACCAGCGGTTCCCAACCTATGGGTCGGGACCCCATTTGGGGTCGAACGACCATTTCACGGGGATCGCCAAACAATGCAGTCCACCATTTCCCCCCCTTTTCCTTAGCTGTGCTCTTAGCTGTGCTACTCCATTTTATTCTATTGGCTTTTGAAAGCCAATAGAATAGACAAAAAGTATTCATAGACATAAAGGCTTGCCTTCAGAAGTGGTGGATGCTGAAGGTTTTTAAGAAGAGACAGGACAACCATTTGACCAGAATAGTATAGGATATCCTGCTTGAGCAAGGGTTTGGACTGGAAGCCCTCCAAGGTCCCTTCCAACTCTGTTATTCTATATTCTCTATAAATGCAGCATTTCAGATTCAGTTGCAAAAAAGACACATTGGATCATATGGGGATGCTCACTTAGCTCCTGCCTTTTTTGCCAGGATTGTGTGGCATCCTATCACAGCTCCAACATGATCTCAGAAGAAGATGCATTTTGTTTTAGGATATTTCATGTGCATCCCACATGGCCTGAACTACTTTTTGGGCTTTGAATTTGAAGCTTAGCATGGATCTAAAATCTTTTTTGGAACATAAGAAATTCCTAACTTTATAGAAAAATGGAATATTGCAACAACTGCTAACAATAGTGACAGTGTGACTATACTATATGCTATGGGCTGAGACTTTTCTCATATTCTTTTTTATCTTTTCTCTGCCATGTCTTGGGCCCTATTTAAAAATATGTTTCATATAGACTCTATTTCTAGTTTTCAAAAGTGCCACTGTCTGCCTTTTAGAAAACAAAACTATCCATTTAGTAGTAAAAAGTTGGATATTATTAATGGACTCATAGAAGGGGCTACTGTGTCTCATCTGAGCCCAAGTCTATACCACAGTGGTTTCTTTCACTGGTATTTGCTGCCATCTTTTTTTCTTCCTCATCTTCCCAACTATAGGAACAAGATTAAAAAAAAAGAATGCATCTTCCCCTTTTTTTCTAACAGTGAAAGGTGAAACAACCACAAAGGCTACAAATCCAGCAACATACACTCAGTTTGCAGAAACTGATGCCATCTGAGGCATGTTACCAGACAATGTGGAGTCAAAATTGTTTAAAATAATTATTAGAAAATATTTAACAGTGAAGAAAAACTAAGATGAGTGTTGGCCTTAGAGAAGCAGCATTAGATTCAAAGAGTAAATGTAAACAAAGCTAAGCTATTGAAGACTCAGCTTTGGAGAAAAATAGTAAAAAGAATCAGATCCTTGAGTTCATCCAACTCCCTTTCCCAATAAAGTCTAGAAGACAAGGGGGATTGGATTGCCCTTAAAATCATGGAATACTCCCATTCATCAACCTGGAGCTTCTTTCCTTTTTTTTCTTATATCATTTTTCAAGGATTTAATTTCTATAATTCCTGGCCATATTGGATAAACAGTCTACTTGCTTGTAGAAGTGTTTATTCTGAGCTGATGTAATGAAAATGATTTTAATGGACAGTTATTTTCCATACTTTTACCCTTTGGACCCAGACATTAACCTGACTAGATCTGCTCAGCAATTCCTCTTTTCTTACATTCACACATATATTGAGGACTGTTCACCAAATTGCCAATACCATTCTAGGGTGAGCTCCATTTTGGAAAAGGCTGCACTAAACAAAGTAACTTTCTTTACGCAGCATCAGAATAAACGGTGAACTTCTTTGATGCTTGATTCAATTTCTAAAAGCAAGTGACTCTGGTTGGCATACAACAAAGCTGAAGCAATATCAAAAAAACATTATTATTTAAAAAAAATAAGAACAGAGCCAAAACAAATAACAGATAAATTGATGTTAATAGTAATGGAGCCACCTCATTAATTTAGTTGCCCTTAGGATTCTCAAGGCCTACTGACATCACCAAATCTTGAGAGACCAGAAGCTTGGAATTGATGGGGGGAAGTGATCGGGGGAAGAAGAAACAACAGCATGGATGTCACAATAGAAAAAGCCCACTGCCTAGGGCCCACCAAATGTAGTTCTTAGAAAACAGAACCCGTATCCTAGCCCACTTTGCAGATGAAACCTGTGACAATCACTCAACTAACCCAATCCCATGCAATGTGGGGCTTTAAAGGTCAACATCAGCACCTTGAAATGGACCTGGAAACAATACAGCCTATGAAACAGATGTAACATGTTCTACCAGAAACATAATTGCATGCATTGCTGCATTTTGTACCAGCTGAAGTTGTTGGATAGTCTTCAAGGGCAGCCCCATGTACCGCAAAGTTTACAGATTCTGCTAAAGCAAATCCAAAGAAGTCATATTACGAATTTGTACAAGTGAACTCAGCCATTACCTTTGAATATACTGTATACTCATTCTCAAGAGTGAGAATTTACATATGTATAAAGCCCAAGCCAAACAAACTGCATATTGGCAATGCAGTATAAGCCTAGTTATGTAAACTACGGTGTATCATACAATGCAATATTGTGATCCCAGCCTGTGAATATTATGTGCACCTTTGCTGGCTAGTGTGATGCCTGATGAGGCAAGGGAATTGGCAAATAACCTCTCCATTTATTTCCTTCTATCCTCATCCTCTGCAGGTTTCTTCTTCATCTTTTAGTGGCTTCCTTACATCCTTAGCACTGGCTCCTATTTGCCAAATATCTGCCTTATTTTTTTTTCTTCCTGATTTTCTGTCCATAATTTTTATAAAAGACTTCTTATTGGAAGTCAGCTTATCAGCTTCTTTGCTGATCTATACTTCTCTTGTCTAGCCTGAATGGAAGATGTGCAGTAGCAGGGATCATATCCAGGACTTTTAGCTTTCAAATACATGAGTGGGGCTGCAGGATGAAGGGGTGTCTAGGAATGACTGACAATGGTTCCCCACAATAATAATGATCAAGAACAATAACATTTCAGGAGAAGTATTCATGGTTCTTAACCACAGAGGAAAGTCTTTAATGCACAATATAGTCTGTAACAGAGTTGAAATATACGTTTCCTGTAAGAAACATTGTATACGTAGAAAATGATCCAAAATAATTGAGAATATAGACTAAATTGTGATTATAAATAAAAGTACAACTCTTCCATTTATTTCCCAATTCATGGCATATTACTTCCTTTAGATAAATAGAAACAATACATATTTTCCCTATTTCTAGAGATATTTAGAATTTTAGCATTATTATTTTTGTAAAAAATATTAAACATATCAAAAATACAGAAGAACAAGCCCTATTAGAGAATACATGTAGTAGCCTTGAAATTTCTAGCTTAAAACATTCAATAACTATGCACATAAGTTTTATCCAAGTTTTTCAGTTGTGTGGAATTCAACATTTCTTCTACCAGGAAACAAGTTAACTTTTTTAGTTTTGTTGTATCTGTTTATGGTGTTAATTTAACAATACTTATAAATCAATGCTATTTTAAAAGGCAAAGTCTCTTGGCAGCTGAGTTCAGTCCCTGTTGGCTCCCCCCCCCTCCCCGCAATTCCAGAGGTTTCAGAAGCAAACCTCACAGGGTTTTGGTCCCTTTCTCTATGGAACTTACCAATTGATGCTTACGATAAATTTCAGAGTTCGATGAATGTTACTATCTCTGAAATACTTCACGACTCCAAACTGCAGTCAGTGTTAGAGCGTCGGATCTTTAAGTGGTTCAATATTTTTCTCAGCCCCGCCTTTAGAGTGGAGTCAGAGAAGGCAGCAGGGTGGAAGACAGCAGCGCCCCCTTTAGCTCACCTCCGGTCAATCAAAAAGGACAATGACATAGCAGCAGGTACCACCTGATGAGGCTATACGGTTGCGCGCGCACGCGCTCTAACTGTTCCCACTCCCCTCTCCGATAATCGCCGGCGTTTCCTCTTTCAGCCATTTTTTCCAGCGCTGTGATGGGAGGAAGCGGCAAGAAGGTTCTTGACCCAAGCTGCAGCATTTTGGTCCTTTTGCCATTCCTTACTGGCCTTCGGAGACTTCTGTTTAACGGAATGAAATTCGGATTCTTTGAGTTATGTTTTAGCTTTCCTCTAATCTGACCTTCTCTATTGCAATATCTTCTGAGTTGGAACATTCTTTCTTCGATTCTTTTGCTTCGTTCTGGTTTCTTTCAACTCCGCTTCTTTTTAAAATTGCTAGCGGATTACCTAATAGTGAGCTCATCATCGTTCACCAACCTTTCCCACAGCGAAACAATCCTCCCTAGTTTTGTCGCGCGAGACGGGTGAGTCCGGAGGAGGAGTCGCTGCTGCTGCTGCTGCCGCCTCTGCCGCCTTCGCCTGGGGTTTCAGGACCTTGGAGAGCTTGCTTGGTCGGGGAACTGCGGTACCACCAACAGCTAAGCGACCAGAGGATTGCGCAATCCTCCCTCAATTTGCAGGCGATCCTGGCTCGCGATTCACGAAGTTGTGATCCAACACTCTCTTTTATGTCTATTAACTGTGATGTGCCTGCTGGGACGCAATTTATGTCCAGGCGTAATTCATGTCCCTCCACTTTTCATTGGTGGGTCAGCCCCATAGCTGATTTCATCAAAATCTAATTGGCAACCCTACTTTTTTAGGCCTCTTTGCAGCGAGGACAATCAGCCTTGTATCCACAACTTACTTGCAAACAAAAGAATCCTTATTTGGTTTGGTTTTGATTTAAGTAGAATATGAGTGGGTACATAAAAATTAATAAACTGTGGTTTTCTGCTAGAGCTGAACAGCATAGCAATATTGCAATCAGAGTGGGAGGCTGGCATTGTGAGAGAAGAGTGTAGTTGTGAAGCAGTTGTGAAAATATCTCAGATTGCAAGAGAATGTCATTTATTTACAAAGATGGAGGTTAATTGAATACTGAAGAACAGTTGAATACTCATTCTAAAGACTCTAAATATTAAGAAAGATCAAGAAGATTCTACAAATGTTCCAAAACATGGGTTATCTAGAGTAGAAGCGGGAATTTTAAAAAGCAAGCAAACGGACAGTAGCAAACAATTCTTCAGAAGAATCATATTTAAGATTGTAATAAAGTAATTGAGCATAGACGTTGGCTTTTAGGACTCAATTACTTAAAAGAACAATATATTTCCAGCAAAAAGGTGTGATCTACTTAAATCAATATTACTAGTTTTATAAATTTTAATTCTTTAAGAAGGAGCCATAACCAATCACTGCTAAATGCCTAGCCTTCAGTTTTTTCTTCCCCTAATGTCATTTTAGAATATCCCTTCTTAACATGCCTTCTTTTTAAAGCAAAATTAACATGGAGTTGTTATATATTTCATTTGAGTTAGTAGAAAATACCATACTGCTGTATCATTGGAACATTTGAGAAATTCTTTGTGAGAGGAAACAGTCTTTGCTGAATGTGAAATTATCAAACCCAAGGAGTTCTCATAAGTGAAATTAATCTTAAGACTTTTTCTACAAAATGAAGAAATTTAGTTTTCACAAAGTTTTGGATGGTTTAACTTCATCCCCTAGTGGAAACTGCAGTAGTAGTATCAGTGGCAGTGGGCCTGGAAGGAACTCGGAGAACTCCGGAGAGGCTGCAGGGACACCCAGGGATGAAATTCAAGAAAGGCTGACTGCAGACTACTTTCAGATATGCAAGGTAAGAGCTGAATGCTTTCTGTAAGCATCAAGATTCAAAAAAGTAGAATGCTATAGATGAGTTTTAACAGACCAATTTAAATTATCTTAAATATTGGCTACATTTCATTTTTCTCACTCTCCCCCCCTGCTTTATATTTTGTATAATGAAATCACAATAAACACTCAGCACCTACAATAAGTATGAATAATTATTTAAAGATGGGATTAATATCTTGAGTCGGGAATTTTACTCAAAAATGAAAAGCAAAACTATTTTCTATGTTAAACATTCAAAAATTTTAAGTATGGGAAAAGTCATCCTCTCGTTTTTGGCTTTGCTTATCAGGATTTCATTATTTTCTGTTTTGTAATTATCTTTGATAGCAAAGTTACAACCTAAGTTATAAAAATATCATATTCAATACCCAGAACTCATATCATCTTTGAAAGAAAAAAAGATATATTTTTTGCTTCATTTATTTTGGAAGACTTTGCATTAAACCTCATTTAAATGATGATTAATAAAGTTTGCTCCTTTTGAATAAATTAGCATTCTTAATATTAGTATTGCAAATTCCACCAGTTTATTTTTAACTGTACTATGATAAAATTTAATTCCTTTGGCTAAGGAGTAAGCAATCTTGACAGACCAGGGATCTGCTTTCATCTTCCTTAAATGCTTCAGTGAGATCAAAAGGCTGGTGGGCAGCTTAGGATACATAATACTCACACAAATTCTGATCATTTATAATCACAGATTCATCTTCTTTGTGTCTTTTTCCTGTACAGTACACATTTGATATTGCTGATTCAACCCCATATGGAGGTCTCTTTTGCCACACACCTCCACCACCACCCCAGCACTAAACAAAGACACCCCTTTTAGGACTACTTTTAGGATGAAGTTAATAATGAACAGTTTCATTAGGTTTATTTCAGTTTTTAAAACTTGAATTAATTGCTGTTTTAATTATTAAATCTATTTTTGAAAACATTGACTTTAAGCGACTGATTTTAGATATTTGATTTTAAAATGTTTTGCAAGCCAATTTAGAAAAAATATTTTCCTTACCAATATTTTTTGTGAAGCTGGGTTTGTGGTATCTTATATAGAGAGCAGGAATAGATTGGGAACTCTCTTAGGGTAATACCTAAACCAACATCACCACTAACCAAAATCCTTCACCAGAACTGGCTTCAGAGCTGGTGCTGGAATCCTGCAGGCCTGGGTTATTTTCATCTTCTGATGCTTGTGTTTCTGGAATGGCTGAAAAGTTTAATTAAACAGTTAGGAGCAATTATGGGTTTATACTAATTGGTAACAGGCCTAAGACATGATACATACAAAATGCTTAATTTGATTTTTGATGAGGGAGGTGTTTCATAGGTGGGGATGCCTCCAGTCCTTCAGTTGCCCTAGGTGGGCTGTTATATAGTTAGCTGGATTTCTGGCTACTTTCTTGTAATAGTACAGCCCCCATTGCCACATCACTTGCGTCCGCCTATATTACAAAAGGTTTATCTGTGTCTGGGTGCCTCAGTACGGCTTCGGTGGAAAAAAGTCTCTTTAACCTCTCGAACATCGCTTGGCATTCCATTCTCCATTTTAGTGGCTAGCTGGGTTTCACTGAGGATTCTCTTCGGGAAATTGAATTCTGCCATCCTCCAATTTACCCAGGGGTTCCATTTCTCTAGCCACTCAGCCATAGGATCACTAGGTATTCCATGCCTGGAGTCACTATAAACATTATGTCTTCCTTGTGGTTCCCCAGGGAAAGGTAGACTGGTAAAGTGACTAGGGTAGCTGGCACCCCCCCTGCTATGGACCCATCTAACTGGCCAAATGAGATTGGTTGTTTCAGCCTCCTCACTGGGATGCCCAAGTTCCCCACTAGCGCCGGGCTAATGAGGCAGCGGGTGCAGCCAGAGTCTATTAAGACTTTCACTTTGACAGCTTCGGGCATGGAGGGGGATAATATAGTCACTTTTCTTGAGGATGGGTGCGATGGGTCCACTTACCAGGGGTTCGCCCTCCAAGCTGTCATCCGAGGTGTCCACCGCCCCTGCGGTGTAGGCCGGAGTTCCCTCCCATGCTTGGCAGGGGGTGGGGACTCCACAGCCTCTGTCGCCTTCATGGCGGGTTCTCTTGGCTTGGCTGGGGACTTCCCTGATTTCCTGGCCGGTGATCGGTCTGGATTGCACTGAGGAGCTTTCGAGCGGCATTCTATAGTGTGATGCCCCTCTCTCCTGCATTTGAAACAGCCTGTTGACTTCTTGGCCGTAGCCGGTGGTTTCTCTGGTTTGCGCGTCGGCTCAGGAGGCGAGCGGCCCCATGGTTTTCCTTGGAAGTGCCTCTTCAGTAGGTCGATCTCTGCTTCCTCCGCCAGGACGTATCATTCATCGAGTTGGCGTGGATCCCCTCAAGGCAGGCAAGCATCATACAGGTCGTAGTTTAGACAGTCTTTGAAATGGCTAAGGAGGATGTCTTCTGGCCAGTTCAGCTTTTTTGGCAATGGCCAGGAATTCTTGTGTATATTCAGCTACCGGTTATCTGCCCTCCCTCACCATTTTGATTCTCTCGCGGGCCTGTCAATCAGCCGGGGGTCCTCGAATCGCCTTCTCAGAGAGGACATGAAGCGGTTGAAGTCGTTGAGCTCTGGGGCATTGGAATCATGCAGGTTCACCATCCAGTCTGCAGCCACCCCGTCCAGAGAGGATTGCACGATACGGATATGGGCTTTGTCGCTGGGGATGTCTTGCCCATATTCTTCCATGTAGCTAAGGACTTGGGTTAGGAAGAACCCCAAGCGTTGCAACTCCCCTCTGAATTTTGCGGGAATCTTTGGATGGATCGGTGCCCTCGCCACTGACAGTATTATCTCCCATTCTGATCGCCATCTGCAGGTTGGCGGGGAGTGGAGGCTGCCCAAATGGTACCTTCTGTCTCTGCAGACATCTCCGGGGCTACAGTTTCCGATTCCCCCTCAGTGCCTCTCCAGTTGTAGCCCAAGATGTTGATGCGGCCCCGGGATTCAGAGTGCTCCTCCATGAGAGAGCCAAGGGTTCTTTTCATCCGGTCAATAGCTTTCTCTAGGATCCAGTTCGAGTGCTGCGCGTGACCTTCCTCTTTGCTAAGGTGCAGGGATTTCTCCATCTCTTGCTTCCATCCGGGTTGGTGGCTGCCCCACCTCAGGGTCACTTTCCCCAATACTTTTTCCCACGTCTCTCTTGCCAATGCCCATCGACCACCAAGGTTTGTGGTCACACGTTTCCACCATTTCTTCTTCTGAGGAGTATGACGTCTCAGATACCAACAACTGGCAGGGTCCCTGCCAGAGGGAGGGCTCCCCTTTCATGGTGGGGTCTTCATTCCCTGCCCCATCGTCTGACATTGTAGTTTTTGCAAAGTCCCCCGGTAAGGGCCTTCCTTCCAGGTTGACTATTACTGCAGATCCTGTCTAATGTAAGGACACACTTCAATCCCACATCTTAAGAAAGCAGAACTCTTGGAGATGGTTTCCTCCAACAGGAACTTTTATTAAAAGTAGTTGATAGCAGGCATAATAGACAGGATTTGAGGGATTCCTTTACAGATTGATACTTTAAAGTGTCCCCGAGCAAACTCCACCCCACAGTTCATCCAGATGGTTCAGACCGGCCAATCCCCAGGTGTTAAGTCCATCATGGGAAAGGGGAGATAACATCGGTCCGACTCTGGTCGTAGCATGATGTTCAAGCAGCACTTCTCCTTTTGAGACCGGAGAAATAAGCCAGGCTCTGGAGGTTGTATTTCTTTCTCCCCACCCCTTTTCCTAGCTGACATGTTAAGGAGAAGAAAGTTCAGAGAGAGATGCAGTGTAGGAAGCAAATTGTTACATTGTAGTGGGCAGCAGACACAGAGGCAATAACAAAGCAAAAGGTTACATTGTAGTGAATAGAGGAAGCGAAAGCAATAACCCTACAGCATATCCCCCCTCTCCCTTGGGAGTATGGCAGAACCCAGGGAAAAGTGAGATTTGTTTTTAAATCAGAGGAGATAGATAGAAATGAAATGGAAATGGGTTCTGACACCCTCTATCCTTTCCTATCCTCTAACATCTGAGCTGAAGATAGAATTTGTATCTGGCGCTAAAGCATAATGAAAATGACCTTAACAGACATATAGGAATTATTGTCTTGGAAAAAGGGGTTCTAACATTATTTTTGGATATAGCTCAGGCAAACAGCTCTCTAATTCACTGAACTGTAAGGAGGAGGAATAAATATGCCCAGTGAGACTTGCAATAATCTAGTAGTATTATAGTCACTAAAAATAGTTTCAGCCAACCTGTGGAATTGATTTCCTTAATACTTGTACTTTAAAATACTTTATTCCATTCCTATGGCTTTTTATACCATTTTTTCCCTGTCCCTTTTAATAAGAAACAATGTTTATGTTTCTTAAAGAAACAAACTATATTGAGGTATTTACTTATTGCAAACAAATTTTACATTTTCTGATACAGGAAGATGACATGAAGAACTTCATAAAATAATTCCATGCTTTATTATGAAATGTCTACAGAAAAAGAAAATGCTTATATATAAAAAATATTTTAAAAATCTCAAAAGTATGAGCTTAGAGAATATGGCAATTGAGTCAAGGAGTGGGAGGGGGAGGAAGACTTTTAAAGAAAACAGTTTCAGGAGGGATTGATTTGTTAAATGTTTTCAGCAAATGCCATCAAGAATCTTATTATTCTATGATAAATTTGTTTTTTCATCAGAGGCCACAAGGCTGTTCTGTTGATACAATCCAGAAGTCTGGATGACTGGTTTGCTCAGGTTTGCACCTGCAAGGTTTAAAAATACATTGGAGGAAAGGCTACGTACCCCAGCCATGGCCCTTCTTGACTCACAGTCCACATTTCTGTAAATGGGAGATAGCTTTTTGCCATGTACCTGCTCAGATTATCACTCTGGTGGTTTCTTTGTTACAAGAGAAACAGAAGTATAGTATGTGGAGAAGGAAGGATGGGGAATGAAGGGTGTGTCTATCATCCATAGTAACCTTTGATTAACATTGGGAATCTCTAAGACAGGGGTGTCAAACTCGCAACGTCACGTGTTGCAGTGTGTCGCAACTTTTTTTCTATTGCCGGCAATGGGGTGGGTGCGGTTTCGGCATGACACATCCGGCCCGCAGGCCAGCAGTTTGACACCCCTGCTGTAAGATGTTAGAGAAGCCCAAGAAATCACATATCTTCAAGAAGGTTTCTCTTTCTGTAGAAATAATAAACACATGTCATTGGGAATTTGCTCTAAGGTTCTATTTCTGTATGTGCTAAGTCTGATTTTCTTTATATCTCTGTACAAGTTATGATATTGGGTGTTTAATTTCAACCTCCATAAATCTGTCATGAAGTAGTAATTTTGTTAAAATCTTCTGGATACCTGTCATATTTTAAATTCTGTGCAATTTCTTATATAGCCATCCATATCATAGTAAAGTGATCTTAAGTGGCTTACAATAAAAAATAATTAAAGTAAAAAACTACAACTACAATTAAAAGACATCAACAATATTATTAACCACAAGATAGTGGAGAAAATTGTGTTAAAACCAGATGAAACGCTTTGCAGGTGGAACCCAAAGCAAACCTCTTCTGCCAGAATGAGCAGATTTAATCAGGTGGAGGTGGTCCCTTAGATATCCTGGCCCCATGCAATGAAGGGCTTTAAAGGTCAAAAGCAGCACTTTCAATCGGATCTGCAAGCAAACTGACAACTAATACAGCTTGCACAGCAGAGGGGTAACGTGTGCACATATAACTGTCCATGTCACTGCATTTTGCACCAGCTGAAATTTTTGGATACTCTTCAAGGGCAGCCCCAGGTAGAGTGCATTACAGTAATCTACTCTGGAAATAATGAGGGCATGAGTAACTGAGAGCAGAGTCTTTTCTTTTGCTTTTCTTTTGGATTTTTGTTTTTCTTAACTAACTGGTGAGCAAGTATAATACGGTGAAGCTCAGAAATTCTGAAATTATCTCCTTCCATATTGAATGCTTGCTTATGCTGGAAAGTTTTTAAAGTGTTTATCTTATAATGTATATTTTTCCCCTGATTTGAGCTGCATTTTGCAGTCCAGAGGCTGTTCCAGACTATCTGCTGCTATCCAAAATTCTCCACACTGCGGAATAAATTTTAAATTTGGTCTTGTGTTGACGTTTGCAATATGTATCTGCATGCATACAATTTACCTGGTCAATGCGTTAAAACCTATATGATTAGTTAATTGATTTTTTTTTTTTTATCACTGAGTGGCCACTCAGCTTTTTATTTGTTTTAGGAATTAAAGAAAGCATAGAAAATATATCTAGGAGTTACAACTATTCTTTCCAACTAAGACTTATATTTTCTATTGCAGACAGTTCGTCATGGATTTCCATATCTGCCCACTGTCTTAGCTTTTGACCCAGTTCAAAAGATTCTGGCTATTGGAACAAGAACAGGTGCAATACGAATGTATCCTTTGCTGTTGGGCAGTATGATAGTTTCAACTACATTTTACAGGTTTATCAGTTTGTTTATCATCTTTATTCAGATAAATACAGAATAATTTTTAAACTATGCTTTGCTATTTTTGTGGCAGTACAAATCAAAGTTTCTTTCTAGTTCTATGTGCCAAGGTTGATTCTGGGCCCTCAGTTTGTTTCATAATTATGGACTTGGCTAGATAGCTTGATCTTCTTTTGGAACTAGTTTTGCTCTCAGTCACCGTGGAACCACTGAAGGATGATGTCTACATTTAAGAACTACAATTAAGCCCTTAAATATGGTAATATAAGGCTATTTGGAAAAGACCATAATTACATATCAAATAATTGGGAAGAAATAAGCATTTTGAATTAGTAGTGGGAGATTATTTTATCATGCTTTATACAGTAGCCGAAAATAATCCATATAAACAACTGCATCCATTCTAGTATTTGCCAGATTTCCTGTTTTGGAACAGAGTGATGATATCACTATCCATACATTTGATTATGTGATTTATATATTATTTCATTTATATAGAGAGCACCTTCATCCATACTTCTTCCCAAAGACTAACTATTCTCATTCTAGTTAGAAAGTGCCAACTGAAATTGGACATCAGTTTGGGTTCCAGTCCTTTTGGCTAACTTCTGAATTAGTTGTCAACATCTGAGATACACAAAACACTTAAGAATACCAATACTGAGCAGCAATGTATCCCAGAAAAGTCAGCCTAATAAGAATCAAGAATGCTATAGGATATTTGAATACTATTACTAATATTGGGGTAGGTTGAATAAATTGTTCTGTATGAATCCTTTGAACTCATAATCTAGGATGAAAATAAACTCTAGAAGTCTCTAAACCTTTTCACAGACTTTTAATTATCTTCTTGGATTACTAAAAGCAAAGGTTAATTCTGCTTTGATTCTGTATTTCTCTTATTTTATCAATCAACCTAAGCAATCTGATCCTTGACTATGGTACTTAACAGATTGGGAAGGCCAGGTGTTGATTGCTATTGTCATCATGAAAGTGATGCTGCTGTTCTGCAGCTTCAATTTTTAATTAATGAGGTAAGGCTTCATTAATAAGAACTGCACTACATTCAGAAGATCTTTAATAGAAAGATAAAGTTTTCACCACAATTATTCTTGTTAGGTATTATTGTTTCTTTGTGACGCTAAAGAAACTATTTTAATGTTGAATCTTATTATGGTGGCAAGGTTATTGGTTGGACAATATTGGAAGAAAGATCCTTTGCCTACTTTAGAAGAATGGTTGCTTAAAGTTTCTAATTTAGCAGAAATGGCTAAAATTTCTGCTTATTTGAAGGATCACTCACAAGAAAGATACATCTCGGTGTGGAGAAGATGGATAAATTTTGTACAGAATAAATATGGGATTAGAAAGTATTTAGTTTTGAATAACTTAAAGTTTAAAATGGGAATTATTTATATTGTTAATTATGCTTTTGTTTGAAATTTTTCTTTTGTATTTGAGTTAAAGTATTTTAGGTTTTATTTTTGTATAGTTGGATAGGTTTCGTTAGAATTTGTTTGTTTATCTCTTTTTTAACCCTGTAATCAGCTCTGGGAAGTAAGGGGGGGAGGGTAAGGGAGGGGGGAGGTAGGGGGGGATATTATATTGTATTGTATTAAAATTTGTATAAAACTTTTCAATAAAAAAAATAAGAATTGCACTACAGTGACATTGGACTGTTTTAGTCATTATGTCTCAGAAAATAAGGTTTCGAAGGAAGAAAGATATTAATGAAAATGAAATCTCTGTCTAGATAGCCTATTATTCACACAAGTCTGTTTCTTTGGATTTTAACTGTTTTATAAATTAATAGCTAATGCTATCAAAATTTAGGATAAAAATTTGGGCAAGTATACTACAGATCTTTCATTTCCATGTACATTCTACAATTCCATTATAATTTATTTTTTTGCTTTAAGACACTGAGAGTCATTGGATACAAGATGGACAGCAAATAAATTCCATAAATAATAAATAAATAAATTGAATTATAAATATAATAAATATTTAAATTCAAAATAAATGTGCAATACGTATATCCTAAATGTGTATCAGTACACCACATATGCCTCCTAGATAGTGGTATACAGGTAATAGTATTTTGGCTTTCAATCTGGAGTCTAAATTAGAGATGCTAGAATAGTGGGAGTAGGCTTGGAGAAATATTGGGCTTCAGATGAGCTTGTGGCATTCTGCTTAAAATGTGCTACAACTGATCAGCAGGGAATGCTGCATGTACATGATGAGGGATCATGACTAGTTTATTCCTTCTCAGTCTTATTAAAATCATTCTTCAAAGCTTTGATTGATCAAAACTGTGGTGGGCAGCAGAGAACAGTGTCTATGAACCTATCTGTACCATCATGGCTTACAAAAAACATAACTTGGAATATAAGAAGAGAAAATTTAAACAATTTATTGTTTAATTAATAATTAATATTAATTATTTATTAATTAACAGAAAATGGGGAAATAAATAATATGATGTCTACTTGTGACAGAGGAAGAAGGTGATTTGACGTTATTTATTTATATTTCATGCTTCTTAACTGCCGATCTCTCTCAGAGAAGGGCTCTGGGCAATGGACAGTTCCGGAGCCATGTTAAGTAGAGTTGAATATGCAAAAAGTGAAGGATAGTTATAATGAATTAAGGGGCTAAAACTTATATCTGAAAGTATGAATCAATATCATCTGGATTATTATGGTTTTGTATGAAAGAGAAATGTTTAGGCTGTTAACAGTTACATGTTATACTCCAAAGGACTATAATAATTTAAAAAATACATATTGGTTTTGGAGAAAATTGTAGAAAAAATGTGATCTAGAGCAGTGGTTCTCAACCTTTTTATACTGGCGACCCCGGTCATAAGGATGCGCCGCACATGCGCGGCGGTGCCCCCATGAGCGGTGCTGCCCCATGCGGCACACATGCGTGGTGCCGCCAGCTGAGAAAAAAAATGGCGGATCGCGTTGTTTGGCGACCCCCGTGAAATGGTCGTTCAACCCCAAATGGGGTCGCGACCCACAGGTTGTGAACCGCTGATCTAGAGGAAATACTCTCATAAGGTGAATGGATGGTGAAAATTAAATAAGAGAATACAGATAAAATGGGCCATTTGGAGATCCCAAAATGAATGAATATAGTGATTCTTTGATGAGCATCTGGTTGGTTGATCTGCAGGCTTCAAATTGACAGTTTAAGCATGAAAGTTGACTGGATGACTTTGAGTCTATCACTCTTTCTCAGACCTTCCACCTCACAGGGTTGTTGTTGTGGGGAAAATACAAACAGGAGGAAGGAGTATGAGGTATGTTTGCCACCTTACTTAAAAAGTAATACAAATGGTTCTCGACTTACAACACTTGGTTTAGTGACCATTTGAAGTTACAATGGCACTGAAAAAATTGACTTACGAATGTTTTTCACACGACCATTTCGACATCCCCATGTCACATGATCAAAATTCAGACACTTGGTAACTGACTCATATTTATGATGGTTGTAGTGTCCTGGGGATGCCAGATTCACTTAACAATCATCTTACTATTTTAACAACGATAATGATTCACTTAACAAACGTGGCAAGAAAATTGTAAAATGGGGCAAAAATCACTTAACAAATGTCTTGCTTAGCAACAGAAATTTTGGGCTCAATTGTGGACTTAGGTCAAGGAGTATCTGTAAATCGTAGAATCATAGGGTTAGGGTTAGGGTTAGCAGGAGGAAAAGAGAACATCAAGACCAAAGGAAACTACCAAGAATTTGTGAGGAAACTCTGAAACTACACTATAGGTATGGTAATGTAACAAACTGAGGGTAGTTTCTAGCCCATTGGGGTAGGCTTCAAAGATTCCAGCACTGGAACAGCCTCCACCAGGTCAATTGTTAATGAGTTGTTTTTTTTTTAACGGTTACTCAGAGTTTTCTATGAGCAGCCACTGTGAGCAAAGCCTGAGGCCTAGGGACTGGGTCAGCAAAAGGGTGTTTTTCTCTGTGTTTCAAAGATAATTTGCCCTTCAAATGGACAGCAGCATTGTCTAAATTTGAAAGCAAATTAAGACATTGATCAAGGGCTCGACTGGCATGAGAGTATGTAGTCATGAATAGATTTTAAACTTCTAAATTTAATTTGGCAATTTTCCCAAGGGGCCACATAAGAAACTGGGACTGTTTTGGAGGGCCGAACCAATGTAATCTGATTTGATGTCTTCAAACTCTGTCACCTCAACGCCTCAAGTTACTATAGGTGGTGGGGGAGTGCTGCACAAGCTCAGAAAAGTGCTCCTGCAGCCACCAGCTGCATGAAGGAGCACACCGTGACTGCACAGTCCTAACTCGGTTTCTTCTCCTGCCTCATGCAGCACTTTTATTTTACATTTGATTTCTGATTAACCTCATGTGGGTCGGACAGGGATAGCCAAAGAGCCAGATGTGACCCATGTCTGTCCAAATCTGTTCTAAATGGATGCTGGGTATATATTTATTCTACATGGTCTACAATAACATGTACATTTTTTACAATATTACAACCAGTACCTAGCTTTGGTTACCATTGACCATGGTATATTTTAGGGCCAGCTGCAGGGGACGGGGATGGGTGGCACAGTTCTGTGCTGGTTCGGCTCCTTTCTCTGTGGCAGGGTTAGGGTCCAGCCCTCAGCCGCTATTCTGTGTGTACTGCAAAGCTGGGAATTTTTTCCACTTCTTTTCAACAAGTATATGAAACCGCTGGGTGAGATCATCCATTACCACGGATTGACGTATATACTGTATGCTGATGACACCCAACTCAGATTTCTACTTTTGGTGACTCAAGTGATACTATGGCTGCCCTTTCGTGGTGCTTGGAGGCTATGGGGGCCTGGATGGGGGGGCAACAGGTTTCAACTGAACCCTGGTAAGACCAAATGGCTTTGGGTTCGCGGGGTTCGCAGGGATCCGGGATCTGGGATTTTGTCATCTTTGACTCTGGATGGGGTGGCATTGCCCCAGAAAGACCCCCAGCCTGCAACTTCGGGGTTCTCCTGGACTCCTGACTCCTGTTTGAGGAACAGGTGGTAGTCGTGGCTAGGAGAGCATTTGCCCAAGTTTGTGTTGTGCACCAGTTGCGGCCTTTCCTGGAACAGGATCCTCTGTGCTCAATTATTCAGTCCCTAGTCATCTCATGACTGGACTATTGTAATGCACTCTACATGGGGCTACCCTTGAAGAGCATTTGGAAGCTACAGCTGGTGCAGAGTGCAGCAGTGCGGGTAGTTTGGGGGGGGGATCCAAAGAATAGCCCCTTTAACACCACTGCTCCGCGAGCTGCATTAGTTACCAGTCTGCTTCTGGGTGCAATTCAAGGTGTTGGTGATCAGCTTTAAAGCTCTTCATGGCATAGGTCCAGGTTACTTGAGGGACCCTCTCACCCCACTGGGATTGGCCCGTACCACTCTGGCCATCAGAGGAGGCAGGCTGCAGGTCAAGCCCGAGTATTCCGGCTGGTGGGGACCAGGAGAAGAGCCTTCTCTGCTGTTGCTCCTGCCTTCTGGAACATCTTGCTCCCCATGTGAGGTTGCCCCCAACCCTCCTATCTTTTCATAAGGGCCTAAAGACATGGCTGAGCCAGTCAGCTTAGAGCCCCAGTGGGGGATCAGCGCAATGGAGGTGGTTGATTAAGTAATAACAGATCCTATCTCCCCACCACCACACTCCGCCATCATCCGCCCCCAGGTGTTTTTGATTTTAACTGTTTATGGTTTAGTTTTGATGTAACTGTAAGCCATCCATAGTTACCCTAATTTATAAAATAAATTTTATAAATAAATAAATAAATGCCCATGAGGATTCTGCAATGATTGTAAGTGTGAAAAATAGTCATAAGTTACTTTTTTGAGTGCCACTGTAATTTTGAATAGTCATTAAGCATGTAAGTCAAGGACTACCTGTACACAGAACTGAATGATGGAAACATTAGAACATATTCCTTTTTTCTTTTTAAAAAAAAAAAAGTTGGGCAGTTTTACTTTATTTCATGTTGTCTTCTGAGAATAAGGGTAATGAGAAACTGACAGTGCTGCTGCTGCTGTAAAGAAACTAGGAGACACTTTCTCCTGAATCAGGTCAGTTTGCCTAGCAAGATGCAGATATAGAACAGCAACAACAGATCCAAACTACCTTTTTAAAATTGTCATTTTCCCAGGAAAGTCTGCATAATTACAGTATAATAAAACAAAGTATGTTCTTTTCTTGTTAGGGTGCTTTGATTAGTGCAAGTTCAGATGACATGCTCCATTTGTGGAATCTAAGGCAGAAACGGCCAGCGATTCTTCATTCCCTGAAATTTAACCGAGAAAGGTAAGACTCCAAAAGTTTTTGGGTCTACTTATTGTTATGGTTACGACATATGAAACTCTTCAAAGAACTTCGAGGCATTGTTTACCTTAAAGAATCTTTATTCGAGTAGCAAAACATCGGCACTTACATAGTCCAAGCCAAAATCTGGCTTCCCCTCCTCACAGCACATAGTATCAAAGCACAATTCCCTCCTCTTATTAACAATCATAAATCACATTCTCCAATTAGTTTGAAATGCTGGCTTTCCACCCAGTTCTTCATCCCGGCCATGTCTTATCATCTCTTATTACAAACAGCCTTGGTTCTCACCATTATACAGTATCGTTATGTCTAAACTCCCATGCACATTCCTCCCCCCCCCCCAGTATCATCTAATTCTAACTCTAACAGTAAAACTTAAAGTAAAGGAAAATGGATGCATCTCCATATGTTGTCAAAGCAAGAAATCCTATGTTAGCAGCGTTGACACTTATCTGATTTGACTCTTGTGTTTTTGGATACTGAAACCTTATTATATTTATGCAAGCAAGCTTAAGCAGTACATGGACTAGTCCCAGATGAACCAGGGAATAAAGATGCCCGTGAGTCCAAGGACCCTCGTCTCTGCTCTAATTCACAATTTTTTATTTAAAGATTCTTCAAATAGTATAGGCATTGTTCTGCCCAAGCATTTTGCATGGCATGAGCGAGTTTCCACTTTTCACATTCTTTGTCTAAAGCCATCCTTGATGGATTTAAGTATGATTAATAGCATTATAGAAATAACGTTGAGAAGTGTACCTGCAGAAGGACATCCTAATTTATTCTGAATCCAATTTCTGGTCTATATGTAGAATTAATTTTAATCTTGCTGAAAAGTTATTGCAGCTTTGAATGTTAATGTAGTTGTGATTTGACAGAAGATGCAGTGCACAAATAATAGTTTTCATCCTAGCTCAAATTCAGTGGCATATAAAGCAACATTTTAAAACTTAGTTCATAAATACTAATCTATTTATTTAATAATTTAATTATTATTGGGCAAGCCTGCCTATCTTGATTATGTGATAAGCAGTAGGGCAATGTCTGCAGGAGAGGGGAGTGTAACTTTGCCTTCAGAATTTTTACATAAACTCAGGATTAAAACTGGTGACTGTGTTTTTTATTTTTAAATATAGTTTTTAGTAATGGCTTTAGTATGGTTTTATATGTTTGTTGTTTTTAGTTGAATTTGTTTACCGTTCTTGATGTTGTTTTAATTGTTGTGAACTAGTTAGAGTCACAGATGTGAGATGGGCATCTATATGAATTGAACAAAGCATAAAATATATAATAAATAGTAAACACAGGTGTATGCGTGTGCACATACACATAGAGAGACCAGGAGATGATGTCACATTTTTACAGATCTATATGATCTGTAGATGACAGATTCCACTTGGATCAAATCATTCCAAAGCTAACAAGGTCCCAAGCCATCAGAACCTTGAATTGGACCCTGAAACCAGTAACTAAGGCTTCTCCCCCAAAATGGAGGTTATTTTCCTTGCAGGATCCAATCTGGGTCAGCCACTGGGACCAGGGGTTTCATCTCCTGAGCTTTCAGACTCATGCTGCAGCCCATCTTTTCATACTTGTTAGGGCTACTTTAAAATAATTCTAAAATCTATTTTTTTTGTTTAATTTATCTATGATTGGGAAGTAATAGTTTTAACTCAGCATCCATCATCATTCTAGTTTTTTTTTTAAATCTGAGCTTGGAGGAAAAGAACCATACAACTATATCCATATTCTAGAAGATTAAAGTTAGAATTAAGATTGAGCGATGGGCATGAAACTCATCTATTTTAAATGACTAGGAAAATACTAAAACAGTGCATCGGTAGACATATAAAAAGGAAGAGAAATCCTGCAAAAGATAGATAACTCAAGGAAAGAAAGAAAAATAGATTTTTTTTCTAGATTTCAAATGACCTATGCTGCATGTCAAGCAAGTGTTATACCCATTCTACCTCTACAAAAGATTTTGACAGACTGTGAGACATTCTTGAGGAAAAGCTGAGAAAAAAAATGCAAGAAATGAAATTTCATTTTAAAGCTGGTTGTCTATGGAGATTCTCAATTATCCAGATCATGACTGTCCCCAAAATGCTTTTTTTCAAAGGCAACTGAACTTGTTTTTTTTCTTGAAGACATTTCACGTCTCATCCAAGAAGCTGCTTCACCTGTCACTTTAGAGCTGGTTATTGTGCATTTTGCTGCTTTCTCTTTAGATATATAAATTTAATCTAATTTAATTTAATCTAACACCTGTATGCACAGAAAAGAAAGCCATTGTCAAGAGCCAAGAGCCAAGAAAGTTTGGAGACTACAGGGGGATTATCTAATGGAAGGCTGGAGTAGCCTATAGCTTGGACTAAATTCCTTGCCAGCATTTTTGGACTGGATAGGTTTTTCTTCCACTGTATTAGTGTGAAGCTGAAGAGTACCATAAGGATACAATCCATCACAAATGTGGGCCTGGAATGGGCCAGCCCTGATTAGGTTAATGGGATGAGGAAATTAAACAAATGTATGACAACCTCACAGCAGGATCAAGTGGTATCTACCAGTTTTCTGAAATGTTGCATCTTCTCTTGACGATCCAGGAGAGCAGTGGTAGATTGTAGGAAGGGGTTGTGAAGAGCATTTGATTACAGTGATTGACCAGGAGCCATATGCAAATGTGCATATGATGTAAAGAGAGTCAGCAAGTTTATCTTTTCCCCTGCACACTGTATCTGGCTCCCTACTTCTTTAGGAATGTGTCTTAGCACTGAAGCAGTGTTAATGTCCTCTCTTATATTGTGGTAAGAGGATCTTTGCTGTACCAAAAAGTCTGTATTTCATGAAAAAAAAGCAGTGAACTAAAAGAAGACACTCTTGTGATATTGGTGCAAATATATCTAGACTGAGTATTTTATACTTTGTCAGTCCAATATTTTGATCTAGCTCTGGTCTTTCATGTCTGATCTAGGAAAGAAATGGTCAAATACTCTTACCTCCTCTATATTAATTATACCTGGGGGCAAAATATTGTAAGATGAAAGGAACTAAAGAAAAAAGGTAGATGTGGATGAAAAGTCTCTGTCAGAATATCAAATTTTCCCAATAAGGAAAAAATGAAGAACTGGATGTTTGTTGATATTCTAGAGACGCATAATCCTGAGAATTTTAGCTTTTATTTATTACACACATATACAGAAACACACACACACACACGCACCCTAGATGTGAGATAAAATGTGTTGTCACTGCTATATGTACTTATTCCAAAAGAAAGACTTTCTCACCTTTTTGTTCAATTTTACCAATGTACAAATAGCAATCACTGATATAGGTGGTGTTCAGAGAAGGCTAATTTGAGTTCTTGCCAATATGTCTGGATTAGATATGCAAATGCTGCACAAATCATGCCAGATGTTGAGCAATTAAATTAGCTCAACTGCAAGACAACCCAGTTTTTGTTAAGTTCATTTTGTGACTGGGAATGATAGTGGAGTTACATTGGAGTTACACTGAGAATAGCTATATCTTTTCTTTTCTTTTTACATAATGGTGTTCTTATTCTGTATTGGAGTCTTTTAGTGAAAACAGCACTGATGCATAAATAATACTGGATAGTTTGCTGACAGTGAAGATTCAAAACCTTAACTAATAATTTAGGCTGATATTTGTTCACTCCTTAGGAATAGACTTTAATTCAAAAGTATGATCTGTTTTTCCCACACTAGTTTAACAACTACTATTTTATATGATCTGAGATGAGAAATGTGATGTGTGTTTTTACTACAGTTATATAATGTGATTGTGGTGCTCAGCTGTGACATCTTTTACTCCTCTGGAAAAGGTGCAATCCAAATTCCTAATGAGAGCCATATTTCAGATAGTATCCCAAATGTAGTACAAAGGTGGGAGGCAAGACTAGCCAAAATTGAAACAGGTGCATGGATTTACATTTTTGCACATTTGTTAAAACTATTCTTTCCCCCTACAGGTTTCAGTTCTCTTCTTATAGATGTCAATTTTGAATCAGTATGGTTCAGGACCATCTCACAAAAACTCCAGTATTTTGATTTCTCCAGGGAAGTGCTTTTGATGATGGGGTGTGAGTGTGCACTTAATGCACTCAAATAACATATTAAAGATCTGGAAAACCAACAAGATTGGGTTGCTTTTCCCATAAATGTTTATTTGAGCAATCAAACTCCCCCTTTAATAATTGTCCCCAAAATCCGAAAGGCATTAATCTTAGCATGCTGCAACACACTTCCCACAGCCGTTCGGGAGGGCCAATACAAAAAGAATATGAACTGAAATTGTGCCCCTGTGGACAAGGAACCATTGAAATTACAGCCCACATCTTGCTATACTGCATCTTCTCTAAGGGCTCAGGGACTCAATTTATAACACCTCATCTATTAAAATATCCAGGAAATACTGATCTTTTTCACAGGGCAACTACTGTTAGCAGATCAGTATGAAGTAGTTTCTCTGAATTTTGTTTTTCTGTATGCAAAATTAGGTGGACTCTAACTGCCCACTAGTAATCCACCATTAATCGTAATATATAATTTTGTCTATTTTTATGTTTATTTTTCATTATTATTATTGTTGTTGTTTTTAATGCTTTTATTTGTACTGTTGGTCGGTGACTGTAATAAAAACTGATTGATTGATATAATGTGATTGTCTTTTCCCCTGACATAGGATTACCTTCTGTCATCTACCTTTCCAAAGCAAATGGCTCTATGTGGGAACAGAGAGGGGAAATACACATATTGTAAATATTGAATCCTTCATACTTTCTGGATATGTTATCATGTGGAACAAGGCAATAGAATTGTGAGTTGAGAATTGTTCATTATTTTTTCATATTATTGGTATTTTATAAAATAAAAACCAAATCCTCTATTCCGTAGGATGCTGTGGTGTTGTTTTAATAATTATCAAACTGATTTTTATTACCGTATTTGACTTTTTGCATTGTAACAATGCATTCTACTGAAAGCAAAGTACTACAACCCAGTCCCAATCTTGCTGCTGCAAAGTGAGAAAACAGTAGTTGCTTTTAGTCCCACTATCTTTCTTTCCTTAGAGCCTTGCAAGTTACACTCATGATTCTTGGTATCATAAAAGCCTACTTATCCATGCAGACCCCCTGAGCTACATAAAGATGCCTATCTTAGTCTGCAGAACATATTTAGGAAAGATTTTAGGAGAACTTAAAATGTCTGCAAATTTAATAAGTCAGAAGTGGTCTATATGATTCACTGCTGCTTCAGAGCAAGATTAGATGCCAGATGTAGTGAGTGAGTCAGTAGTGAGGTAATTTTCTCTGATAAGCCAGAAGATCACTGATAATGACAAGCATAGAACTCTGCTATCCAGCCCATCAAGCTGTGGAGAGGATACTGGGAATAGTAGCTGTCTGGCATAAGATATGGCTCTCAGGTTGAAACAACTGTTCACCTGCAATATTAAAAGTTTGCCTTCCAAGTTAAATATGAGCCAGTAAATGGTCAGGTGCAGCCCACAATGCATCCTGCTCTCCACTGTATTTCTTTCTGTTGCTTCTCTTTCGCTCTTTGCTTTTCCGTTGCTATGACCTCCAAATGTTAGCCTTTCCTTTGTTTGGCTCTATTTCTTTATCTACCATTAGTTTCTCCATTTATGTTCTCAGATGCTTGACTTGCTCTGCATTCCTGCATCATTTTCCCTTTCTCTGTTTATCTTCATTTTTCTGAAGGGAGTGTTTTTTGCATCCTTATTGCCCATCTCTAACCAATACTTCCTACAAAATAAATCTCAATCTTCTTTGCTCCTCAGGTACTGAAACAATATTTTCATATTATTTTTCTGAGACAATAATTCTCAAGGCTACATAAATCCAATTCTCAAATTATATTCATAAATCTAAATCTGCAATCCCTTGTTGCAATTTTTCCACTTAATTCACTTGAATCTTTCTTAAAATGTGCAGAATTAAGTACAGTACCTAAGGTGGGATATGACCAGTGCCAAATATAATGGAATTATTCCTTCCAATCATTTAGAAAGTTTACTTCTATTGAATTATCCTGAAATTGCATCCATCTATTTGGTAAACACACGGCACAGCTAACTTTTACAGTATTTCAACTTGTGATCCATTACTAGACTGGAATAATTTCCACTTGTTTTATTGTTGCCTTTTTCTTCTATGAAGACCTTTATATTTGTCTACTATTTTCACTAACCTATCAAGATCATTCTCAATGCCATTCCAGTCTCTTAGAACAGAGGTGCAAAAGTGCTATTTGGGGGCTGCACGTGATTTATCCCTTTTGTTGTTCTCAGATCCCCCAGTGTTTGAGGCTAAAAGCCTCATTTGTGCACATGGAAGAGGATTTAAAAAAAAAAATAGCCCGAAGAGGTCCTTAAGTTTTCAGATTCTTAAGACTCCAGTTTCATCCCATAACATTCTTGAATACCCTTTGGCTCCTTGCTCTGCCCTCTTTGAGAGTGCAGCCTAGGCCTGGGGTGACTTTTAAGCTGATGGGTATTGAGAGGGAAAATTTACACTATTAACTTGCCTATCCAATTTCCTATCTCCTTCAGATTTGATGAAATTCTGTTTATCTCTCCAGCACATTAAAAATGTTGCCAGAGTACTATCCTCAAAATAGTACCATGTTTGTATCATACTTGAGTCCTTGTTATGACTTCCCAGAGCAGAAATAGCCACATTTCTCTTATCAGGATTGATACTCTTAATAAGACAACCAAGTGAAAAGTTGTTTTACACTTCAACTTCATCCTGCATTAGGCACAGAATATAAGTATGGGATCAGATGTGTGGGTCTTCTAAAAGAAGTTAGTGTTAATTATTCAATTATTTCAAGGCCAGATTATTTGAAGGAGACTTCTGGAGAGAACTCAGGCAATTACCCCACATAGTTCTATTTTCAGTAGCATCTGTTCAGGCTTGCATGTATTTTTTCAGAGAGAAAAAAAACACTGTGACATAGAGCAGCCCACACATATCCTTCAAAGGTTCAGCCTACTCCCTGCTGTCATACATTTCTGCTCTTAAATTTAAAATATAAGGGATGTAGCTCATCAAGTGCACTTATAGGCAGGAGCTTCAAATTTGGTTCCCACAGTCTTACATTTAGTTCTCCTAGCCCAGGGGTAGGCAACCCAAAACACTCAAAGAGCCACTTGGACACGTTTCCCACCAAAAATAAAACACTGGGAGCCGCAAAACCCTTTTGATATCTAAAATGAAGCTAACACTGCACATATCCTTTTTTACCTTTATTATATATGTGTGTGTGTGTGTGTATATACACACACACACACACACACACACATATGTTTTCTGAGGTTTTCGCGGGTGTTTGTATGTAGGTCTTTGGTTATTCGGGTTTTCTCCCGCGTAAAATTTGAAGTGTCTTGGCGTATGTGTGTGTGTGTGTATATGTATATGTATGTATGCATGTATGTATGTGTATACACACACACACATACACACACAGGTTAAAAAAAGGATATATGCAGTGTTATCTTCATTTTAGATGTCAAGAGGGTCTCTCTCTCTCTCTGTCTCTCTCCCTCCCTCTCTATCTGCCCTTGGTCTACCACTCCTCTTCCCCCACTCTCTTTCTTTCTCTCTCTCTCTCTCTCTCTCTCTCTCCCTCCCTCTCTCTCTTTCTCTCTCTCTCTTTCTCCCCCCCCTCTCCTATCTGCTGCTCACCTGGCAAGCTTCAAGCTGTTGTCCAACAAGATCAGGGGTAGGCAACCTCGTCTCTTTTATGACTCATGGACTTCAACTCCCAGAATTCCTGAGTCAGCCTAGCTGGGCTAGCTAGCTCTCTCCTGCCCTTCCTGCTTCCTGCTTCCTGCAGAGATGCAGCAAAGGGAGGAGCTCCGCCCAGTAAGCTTTTCAGCTCTTCGGAGAACATGTGAGTACACTCTCTTTTACACATACACACACACACACACACACACACACACACACACACACACAAAACACACACACACACACACACACACACACACACAAAACACACACACACACACACACACAGATTGAAGCAGGGAAGCGCAATTGCCTCTCTCTGTCTCTCTCTCTCTCTGCAAAGGCAGAGGAGGCTGGGAGCCACAGGGCAAGGCTCAAGGAGCCGCATGCGGCTCCAGAGCCGCAGGTTGCTGACCTGTGGCCTAGTCAGTGGTTGAGGCCCCAGGCTTGGAACTAGGAGACTCTGAGTTCCAGTGCTGTCTTTGGGCCAGTCACTCTCTCTCAGCCTAACGCACTTCAAAGGGTTGTTGTGTAGAAAATAGGAGGAAGAAGGAGTATTAAGTATGCTCGCTGTCTTGATATATGTAAATATATAAAAATAAAAGCAGGATATAAATAAATAAATATGTGGATGTTTTACAGGAGCATGAGTAACATACAGACTTGAGATGAAAGATTTTGGTTGTTCGTTCCTGGAAAATTGCTTTATTAGAATCCCTTTTACAATTTGGCATCCTTCGGCTGTTTTTGACTCTAATTCCCTTAATCCACAGCCACAGTCACCTTTGTCCTAACTCAGGGGTAGGCAACCCAAAACACTTAAAGAGCCACTTGGACCTGTTTCCCACCAAAAACAAAACACTGGGAGCCGCAAAACCCTTTTGATATCTAAAATGAAGATAACACTGCATATATCCTTTTTTACCTTTATTATAGGTGTGTGTGTTTGTGTGTGGGGGGTATTTGTGTGTGTGTGTGTGTGTGTGTGTATATGTATATGTATGTATGCATGTATGTATGTGTATACACACACACACATACACACACAGGTTAAAAAAAGGATATATGCAGTGTTATCTTCATTTTAGATGTCAAGAGGGTCTCTCTCTCTGTGTGTCTCTCTCCCTCCCTCTCTATCTGCCCTTAGTCTATCACTCCTCTTCCCCCACTCTCTTTCTTTCTCTCTCTCTCTCTCCTCTCTCCCTCCCTTTCTCTCTCTCTCTTTCTCCCCCCCCCTCTCCTATCTGCTGCTCACCTGGCAAGCTTCAAGCTGTTGTCCAACAAGATCAGGGGTAGGCAACCTCGTCTCTTTTATGACTCATGGACTTCAACTCCCAGAATTCCTGAGTCAGCCTAGCTAGGCTAGCTAGCTCTCTCCTGCCCTTCCTGCTTCCTGCTTCCTGCAGAGATGCAGCAAAGGGAGGAGCTCCGCCCAGTAAGCTTTTCAGCTCCTCGGAGAACATGTGAGTACACTCTCTTTTACACATACATACACACACACACACAAAACACAAACACACACACACACACACACACACACACACAGATTGAAGCAGGGAAGCGCAATTGCCTCTCTCTGTCTCTCTCTCTCTGCAAAGGCAGAGGAGGCTGGGAGCCACAGGACAAGGCTCAAAGAGCCGCATGCGGCTCCAGAGCCGCAGGTTGCCGAACTGTGTCCTAACTGTTTAAGTTTACAAAACAGAAATAAATTGTACTTGATTTTTATAGTCTCAATTTTGATTTGCAGATCAACAAAGACTCACCCTGGGCCTGTTGTGCATCTAAGCGATAGCCCAAGAGATGAAGGAAAAGTGAGTAAGAAGAATTCAAGTATTTCTCAGTATTTTTGTTTTAGCAGTTTTTCCCTTTTGCTACAATTAATTGGGCAACTTAAATACATAAGCATCCATAAAAAGTGTGAAATGCCAATACAATATTATTGAGAAAAAATAATGCACTTTCCTTTTGGGTAAGATTAAACAAGTTTTTATTAAACAGAGATTTTATTGACCTGAACATACAAATACAACAAATACTTCTGAAATGTGCAATGTATATATAAATATTTTGTAAGTAGGCTGTTGGTTCATTATAAATATGTACTTTCAGTCACTTTATTTTGTTTTGCTTAATGCAATGCTGTTTAATCTATGAATAAAATATTATAACATGTTTCAATATAAATATTGATTTACATTTTACAAGCAAAATGACAGTCAGATCAGAGGTGCTGCCTCTCCAAGATCAGAAAGATAGTTTCCAGTGGTCTTCCAGAGAAAGTTCAAGTAAACTGGCCTCTGGGCTACCCTGGAGATAGTCCAAGAATGTCAGTCCAATTAAAGAATGAAAATCAGAACTCTCTGTCTTCCTTGGTAGATAAATATTTAGCTCCATAACTAGTAAAAACAACTTGTTTTAGTTCCATAACTAATGAAAAATGAAGGCAAAACATCTGAAAGAAAACTCCTTGTTTAAGTAGATACATATTTTGTCAATCCTAAATTCCATACCAGTAGAAGCTGATGAGAAAAATACCATGAAAAAAATCAACTAAGTGATCTTTCAAACAAAGCAGGCTTCTTCTTCTTCTTCTTTTTTTTTTTTGCCTATCTTCCCACCAGCTGGATGCCTAAACTCAGCAAGCCAAGAAGGGAACCAGGAGTCCAATTACCATTACCACCTACTAAAAACCATCTGTTCATCTAAGCCATTTAATCATGAAAGATACTTTGAATTCTCCATGCAAAGTATCTATAAAAGCATTTAAAAACTTCGGCAATCATTAAGTATCTCTTAATATTTAGATTACTATTCCAATGCTAAACTTGAGAGAAAATCCAGATATCTCTTGGATTAACAAATGGAAGTTTTCTCTAATTGATATCCTGTATTCACAATCCTTTCCAAAGCTTAGCTGAAATGGTGGACCAGAATACTCCCTATCAAAGACTTATTAAACCAAGAACCAGGCTATGTCATTTTCATGATAGATGCCAAACTGAAGGAACGAGAAACCTTGAAATTTCTGAAGGATGCTTGCCAGTTTAGATCTGAAGACTTCATACCACTAAAAAGTTATGTACTATTACAGGATTTGTATGCCTTCCCAATCACAGATTCTCGGAAGCTTTGCCATTGCCTTCTAGGATTCATTTTGAAATACCTTCTCCTAGATCAGTGGTTCTCAACCTTTCTAATGCCACGACCCCATAATACAGTTCCCCATGTTGTGGTGACCCCCAACCACTTATACATCACTGGGTGCCAGGGGCGTGGCCAAAGAAAAGGGGGAAAAATGGCAGACAGCCTTGTTTGGCAACCCCCATGAAATGGTCGTTCGACCCCAAATGGGGTCCCGACCCACAGGTTGAGAACCACTGTCCTAGATAGATTAACTTTTATGCTCCTTTTGCAGGTGGTTATTTAGATTGATTCCTGAGAGTAATATTTCTTAAATAGATATTAGTCAGGCCTCTTTTATGGTGTTCTTAAAACACAGATTAAGGAACAGAGATTGCTACATAGCTAATTCCTAGAGATTTTCAGTCATCAAATGGTATTTACCAGATGACCTGCTTGATTGAAAATATTGAAAAAAAGTCATTTGGTGGGGTTTTTAAAATATTTAATAGTCTTCAAAGAAAAAATGTCTAGCAAACTTTCAGAAGAACTGAAAGTTACAATGTTTCCTTTGTAGTGTCATTTCTTACATGGCTGAAATATAGTTTTTAAAAATACATCTGTGGATCTTGTGATTTTTCTGTCTATAAATTTTTATTGTTCAAATTATAATTGTAAAATAATATGAGAGCTTCTTTGCAATTAAATTATAAAGGTGAGCTCTGACCACAAGGCAAAGTAATATTTGGAGACCAGCCTTGAGAATATTATAAGTGTTTTTTATGATTTCTATTAATATCCTCAGTAATGATTTTTTTAAATATGAACACTTGCTAACACTAAGTGCATATTCCTCATCCCATACATACATAATCCATTACTTTCATGGACTTGAAGAATCCTTTACAGAGAAGAGTTGCAATTTCATGACCTAGAAGCATTTCATCTGAGTTTCATCTCAGAGTACCTTCTAGATAGGCCCCATTGCCAGACAAGAAATTCATCCAGATCACTTCCTAATCCAGTTGAGACTGGGGAATCTATTATGATGATCTGAGGGCTCCCAAGAAGCCTTGGAGAATATGTGGAGAATTTCCTAAAAATCTGGCCAGCACTTGTCTTAGTTGGCTCAATCATTCCCAAGACACTACTTGCTATTCACCAATTCATGAAAGAAAGGAGGAAATGAGGCTTGAAACATCAGTAGAGAAACACTAGAAGTGAACCTGCCAGAATATGGATATCTGCTCGTGACAAAACTGTTCTGATAAAGAATAGAAAATTATAGAAAATTCTCTGTGAGAAATCCAAAGCTGAACATCTTGAATTAATATGCCTCTTTGAACTTTTCACAGTTCAGTGACGTGTTCAGCTGCACTAAGTTAGTTAGAAGAGGCAGTTCACTTATTTTTAAATTTATCTTTACACTGCAGTATTCCAGGTGTGGTCTTACTAGGATTTTATAAAGCGGTACTAATACTTCGCGTGATACATGGGGCGTGTTAGTAATAAGTATTGAGTCCATGGATGAGTGTGATTAAACTATGAGGTATGTGACTGGGAAACGTTTGGAAGAAGAACAGAAAATGCTAGAAAGAAACCACAGTAATTTGCAGCCCAGACAGAAAGAAACTATTTTCCAGTGAGAAAACAACCTGGAAGTTTGTGTAGTGAAACACTGCTTTGCATGTGGATCCACTCAGCATATCCAGAAAAATTGCCCAGTAAGAAAATTAAAAGATTCAAGCACGAAAGAGAAAGCAGAGAGATAGAAAAAAGAAGACACAGATTTCTGTGGTGAAGGCAAATAACAAAAACAACAAAGACATTTGGTTGTTGGACAGTGGAGCAAGTGAGCATATTGTAAATAACCCAAAACTTTTTTCTAGTCTGGGATCAGCTACCCAGGAATATGTAAGCCTGGCAAATGGTAATTATTATTTTGTACAGGGGCAAGGCACAGTATATGTACCATGTATTGGTAAATCGTTTGATAAGGTTTTATGTGTACCAGATTTAGATCACAATTTCTGAGTGTGTCTCGCTTAGACAATGAAGGGTATGAGGTAATTTTTGCAAAGGGTACACGCAAGGTCATAAAGAATAACAGGGTATTTCCACAAGGTTTGAAACTAAACAACTTATATATTTTGAACCACAAGGAAACTGGTGGCAGTGTACAGACAATCTTTTCTAATGAACCAAAGCATAATGAGTGTGCATATTTATTGTACAGAAGGCTGGGTCATACAAGCATTAAAGTATTGAGAAAATGCCTGACCTGGCTGTAGTTTTTATTGCAAAAGATTGTGACAATTATTTGGATTGCGCTATTTGCAAAGAGGCAAAATTGAAAGTATACCCTGTCAGCAAAAGAAGTGATAGGAAATCTGACAGAATTTTGCAGTTAGTACATGCTGATTTAATTGGCCCTCTATCCCCAACAATGGGAGGTGCCAAATATGCTTTGGTAATTGTTGATGATTTCTCTAGATATTTATTTTGTTATTTACTATAAAGCAAAACAGAAGCGTTTCAACAATTTAAACAGTGGATAATGTTTGTAGAGAGGAGGTATAATCAAAGGGTATGTCAACTACACACAGAGGTACCGAGTTCATGTTTTATATGTTTTACCAGTGGTTGAGAAAGAAAGGCAGGATCAGAAACGTATAGATTTACAGATGGACACAAAAATGTTATTATTTCACGTTCTGCAAATTTTTCAGAACGTGGGAATTGGGAAATACTGACGTTTTAATGCCTGTTAGTCAGAAGACTCCAGTGGATGAGCATTCCCACAGGCACATTGAACAAAAATCCAGGTAAAGCTCAGAGAAATGTTTAAAAAGAGAGATCCTAGTGAAACAGGAACAGTTTATTCCAAGAAGGTCTGAAAGAGTAAACAAAGTTGTTCCTCCAGAGAGATTCACAGCAGATGAGGTGAAGTTATGTGTCATTTTTGTGAGCCTCAAAATTACCGGGAAGTGTTGAATTTGCCGCATGTGTTTTATAATAAATATTCTTAAAACATATTAGTTTGACAATTTGATTATCTTTTCTTTCTTCTCCCTCTTCCTCAGTTATTAATAGGTTACGAAAATGGGACCATAGTATTATGGGATTTAAGAGCAAAAAGAGCAGATTTAAGAGCATATTATGATGAGGTAAGTTATTTCTGTTTTCTTTAAAAGCACAAGGTATGTAGAGTTTTCTGGTTTCTAAAATATATACAGTGATTAATTAATATCTTCCATTTGCCTCAGGCATGGCACATACTGAAAGGATGGCAGCAAAAAGAAATAAAAGTGCAAAGCTCAGTGGTACATGAGATAATCAAAATCAGCCCTAATTGTGTTATGCTTGCTATATTCATCTATTCAATTTATTAAAACCACATTGTCATGTTACTCTGAGGAGATCCAGTTCCTATATGGCATTTGCTTCCAACCTAGTCATAGCCGCCTTCTTAAGAAGAAAATTGGATAATCACATATACTAATATTTATTTAACCTTATCTCGGATTTTAACTAGGCAGAAGGCATAATTTAGAGCTAGTGCTCATTAATGTAAGAAACCAAGTCATCTTATTATATATAGTTATATGATGATAAGAATTTAGCATTCCCTTTTAAGATAAAGCAGCCTAATTCCTATTTCCTGGAATAGTGTACCAGCTGGATTATTATTATTATTATTAATTTTTTCTTCTCCAGATTTTGTGACTTGTTTATACAGGAAATTCCATAGAAAGTTGTGAGCATTAGAGAAGGTAGCATACATTAATTAAAATTGTCTGACAAGCATATATGTGTTAAGAAAATCTGTATATAGAGACTTCCAGTCTGATGCTATGAAGAGATGGGTGGAAGAAACCGGGCTCCTGCTACTTAGCCCGATTTCGTTCTGTCTGGTGACCCCAAGGGGTCAGAAAGTTGACCTGGAGAGGCAACGAAGGAGAAGGGAAGCTTTGGGAGTCTGGACCAGATGGCAGTCAGTCCAAATGAACCGAGGAACCTCTTCAAACGGATGGAAGAAAGGCTGCCTGTAAGAACAGGCAGTCCAAGTCATCATCAGCTGGAAAAAAGAGAGAGGAGCCGCAGCGCGCTGCCAAACAGCTGACTGTCAACGTGCTGAAACTGGGTGAGATTGTTTTATTCTGGAGCAAAGACCCTGGAAAGATCAGGGAAGAAGGGAGTTGAAAGCAGCAAGAAATTACAAAGAAGGGAAGGAAATTAAGGAATATAAAAGAATACTTAAAAATAGAATTTGGACTGATTTAAAGAAAATCTTTTTATATTCAATTTCTATGAGAAATAATTTAAAAATAACTTCAAAAGAAAACTTTTCAAAAAATGTTCTAAATATGGATATAGACCACCAGGCATGTCAAACTTGTGATGTCACGTGACATTGCACGACATATCATGACTTTTTCCCCATTGCCAGGCGCAGTTTTGGCATGATGCATCCCGCCCAGGGCAGTTTGACATGCCTGATATAGACAATATAGCAAATAAGGCCATCTAGTGATGAAAGGAGATGCTACAACAATACCAAATACTAAAAGAACTTGAAAAGCTCTTGACCTTGAAACAACACCTGGTGCAAATAAAGAGCTTTTTATGATTTTACACTAGAAGAGACTCTCCACAATCATATCTTTTGACTCTGGATATAACTACAACAGGAATTATTTGGACACAGAGGACTTTTTACATCTTTGAATTGATGGAGCATCTGGATTTAGCCTAAAGTAGTTGGCTCATTTTATGGTTGGATTTTAGCCAAAGACAGTTGGCTTTTTTCCTTTTTCTTTTTGTTAATCTTGCTTTTTTCCCCCTGTGGATTTATAAACTCACTCAATTGAAAAATGAGTGCACCAAATCTCACTAGACTTATGAAAAAAAATTTCTCTGCATCCTCTGTTGGAACGTCTAGCCCAGACATGTCAAATACAAGGCTCGGGGGCCAGATGCGGCCCGCAAAGTGGTTTCATGTGGCCCACGAAGCCATCCTGAAAACAGTGAAGGAATGGCCCCCGCTGCCTTGGCCCTGGCCCAGGCCAGCTGGGAGCCAATGTACAATTTTGTGGTGGCCATCTATGCTGAAACGCATTCAGTCCTAGCTCCACAAGGCCATCTGGAAACAGTGAAGAACCAGCCCCTGCCATGTTGGCCCTGCCCCCTGGGTGCATGCTGAGCTGTGTTTCTTGCCTGTTTTTCTCCCTCCCTCATCTCAAATATTTTCCCACCACTCTGTACTTAGGAAGGAAGGAAAGAAGGAGAGGGAGGGTCTGAGGGAAGTCCTGCCTTAGTCCTACCCTGCTGTCCTTTTCACCATCCTCTTGCCCTCTTCTCCTGGCCTATCCTGGGGTCTCCCATCCTATTGCTAAGGAAGCTTTGGATACAAAGCTGGGTCTTCTCCCATGGAGAGGGAATGGGCCTTGCTCTGACTTTGCCCTCATATCCATCATGAGCAACTTGGCTAAGGAGAGCAAGCACAGCAGCAGCAGCCTTGAGGAGGTAAATGCAGCTGGGCACCCCCTTGGGGAAGTGGGGCTGGGCTTGGTGCTGCAGGTGCTTGAGGACCAGGCTGGGCATTTGACCTCTGCTGCCCAGGGCTCTGGGCAGCCCACACCACCATCCAGCCCCCCCTTCATGGCCTGAGAGCAACAGTGAGGTTCCTCCAGTGGACCATGCCTTGGCACTTGCCCTGATCCCACCCCCTTCTTCCAGAGACCCTCAGATCTGTCCCACTCCTGCCTAGGCCCCCACAGGCACCCTTGACGTGAACAATGTAGAGCTGGCCACGCCCATCCAGTAGGCCACACTCACTCTGTCCATGCCCACCCACTAGGCTGCACCCACCCTGGCCACACTCGGCCCCCCGAGGGTAACCGCAATGCTGATGCGACCCTCAATGAAATTGAGTTTGACACCCCTGGTCTAGCCCAACAAGCCAGGGATTTATTGAAACAATGTTGCAGCAAGAAAAAATAAATACTGCTCAAATTGAGATACAAACTACACTAAAATTAATTCAAGAATCAATTCAGAGAAATCATGAAGAGGCAAAATGTAACTTTGATAAATTAAACAAATGCTGGATATAAAGACACAATTGAAGTTCATCAGCAAATGATTGTTAAAAATGAACAAAGAATTCAAAGAATGGAAAATAAATCAGATGACATTGACAAAAAGCGCTAATGCAAGAAAATGAAAAATTAGAACAAGCAAACCAAAGCTTAGAAGGAGCAGTTGCAGCTTTGGAAATGGAGAAAGCTGTACACTACTTAAGATTTCAAAATATTCCTGAAGACAGAGAAGAAGATATACCAGAAGTGATTATTAATCTACTGGCAGAGGCTTTAAAAACAGAATGAGCAGAGATAGAAATGGAGATAGATGAAATATTTTGAATGAATTCAAGCTATGCAAGGAAATATAAACTACCTAGAGAAGTCCATGTAAGATTTATAAAGAAAGCAATAAGAGATAAGATACTGAGAAGAGTCAGAAATGAACCATTACAATATAAGAATAAATGGTGCTAAAGCAGATCCCTGAGATAAACTTTATCACGCATCAGCGCAACAGAAAAAAAGAGGAGTAGCTGTATATATCAAAGAGACAATATATTCTAAAATAATTTATTCAGATGAAGAAGGAAGAATTGTGATGGTAGAAATATTTTTACATCAAAAACAAACACTATTGGTAGTAATATATGCACCAAATAATAAACAAGAAGAATTCTATCAAAATCTCCATAGAAAAATAACAGAAATGGAGTATCAAAATATTTGTTTAGTAGGAGATTTCAACGCAATAGTAGATGGGACATTAGATTATAAAAGTAGCAAAACAGGAAAAAGTGAAAGAAAAAGACTACCTAAGACTTTTTTTTAATATGATAGAGGAAATTGGGGTACAAGATGTTTGGAGGGAAACTAATCCAGAAAAACTACAATACACATTTTATTCAAACAGTCATAAATCCTGGTCAAGAATTGATATGATTTTGATGACACCTGAATTAAGGACAATTATGCAGGAGATTGAGATAGAATTAGGTACATGGGCAGACCACAACCCTTTAAAAATGACATGGAAAGGAACATAAAAAAAATTAAGATGGACTTTGAATCGATCTATATTAAAAGAAAAAGAATTTATAGAATTAGCAACAAAAGAAATGGAGTTTTTCTTTAAAGAAAACAAAAAAGAAGATACAACATTACAAAATGTATGGGATATAGCCAAAGCATATTTTAGAGGTATAGCTATAACATATACAGCAAAAAAACCCAAAGATAAAAGACAACAATATACATTGTTGTTTTTTTTTATTGAAAATTTTTAAAAGTTTTTACAAATAACAACAAAAAAACAACAACAAACAAGAAAAACAAAACAAAACAACCCTCACCCAACCCCTCCCAAATCACCCCCTCCATCCCCCCCCCGAGCTTCCCAGAGCTGAATATAGGCTTAATTAAAATTTTAAGAAACCTAAACAAATTTTTACAACTTATAAAATAGTTAATAATAAAATATATATGACATAAACGTTAAGGAAAAAAAATACTTAAAAAGAGAAAAAAAGAAAAAAGAAAGAAAGAGAAAAAGAAATAGGAAAAAGAAAAAAAAGAGAAAACAATCTATAAAATATCAAAAATTATATACAAGTTACAAAAAGGCTAAATAATATTTTTTTATATCCAATTTATGTTGTATAAAATTTATCCATTTTTCCCATACAACAAGAAATTTCTCTTGCGATTGCCCCTTTAAAAAAGCCGAAATCTTTGCCATTTCTGCCAGATAAGAAACTTTAAAAAACCATTCTTGCAAGGTAGGCAAAGATTCCTTCTTCCAATATTGCCCTACTAACAGCCTTGCGGCTGTAATCAAATTTAACATTAATATAACCTCCTTAGCATCACAATCAGTAACAATACCTAACAAAAATAATTGCGGAGTAAATTTTACCCTCCTTCTAAAAATTCTTTGAATATTCCACCATATCTTAATCCAAAAAGCTTTTATATTTTTACACGACCACCAGATATGATAATAAGTGGCGTCCAAACAGCCACATCTCCAACACTTAGGCTGTAAATCAGGGTACATAAGAGACATTTTTTGTGGATCAAGGTGC